GGATGATTAGCAGGTACTTGCGATGAGCTCGCAGCAATTCCAATTGGAGCAGCTGGCAAAGCCTCTTCACGTCCAAGAACCCAGGCGACTGGCATTTCTACTGGTGGCTTCTCACTGTGGCGAGTCTTCTTTTTGCGTGGTGATTTGGCATCCAACGTAGCTGCTGGCTTGGAAACTGGATAAAAACGATTCATCTTCTGTTCCTGGGATTCACNGCGATTATTTTGAATAGACAATAGAGAAAATAAATTCGGAAAATGAAAATATTTCTAGGTTACGGTAGTTGTCGTTGTGGGACCTTCGATTTTTGTAGCAGTGTAACAAGCAATCACAAGTTTACAGCGGTGAATACTTCTGTGCTCCTATCCTAGCATGGCTCGGGCTATCGACAATGGGATATGGTGTTTTAAATAGTAATCAGTTCACTATCTACTTGTTTTTGTAAAAATTATATTTTCAGCAACTGCAATGATAGTGGGACCGTATATAGCAACTGCAACTGCCGTTGTTTTCACTATCGCAGCTTTTTCAGAATTTTCGAGACGTTTTGAAAGTTTCAAAATAACACAGGCGGATCAAGATACAATATCTAGAGGTGATGAATATACGATTGGAGCCATAGATTATTTAGAATCCACGATGAAATTGAATAGGTTATATCGAAAGGTGAGTTATAATGACTTCCGGATTATTCGTCCAAGTTTCCAGGTGCTCGGAGAAGAAGGCGAGCGTAAAATCGCAAGGAACGGTGATCTTGTTGACGATCTTGTGAAGCACTCCACACGAATCAAAGAAATTCGAAAACTTCGAAAACAGATGAAACAGAAGCAGAGTATACATTCCGAAGAATTGGATGATTGATAATTACTTTTTATTTATAATTCTTCCATAGTTTTAAATAAAATAAATTAGTTTTTCCTCAAATTTTGTGAAATTCTTTAGTTGTAAATTGAAAAATAGAGTTTGATGGCTATTCAACCATTCTTATACTTTGTTCTGATAGATTCTTTAATACTTGAATTATCAACTTTTTAGAATGGGGTCAACATATGCCGAGTGGAATCAGAAAGCCACGTTGTGGCTTCAAACGAAAATGGGTCGAAGAGCAAGAATCGGTCTTCTAGCAGCTACTGTAGTTGGTTATCCTATTGGTTCGATTCTCATCAATGGTCCGTTTGTCAATTTGACATTTCCACGAAGGTTCTTTAGATTCAAATATTAGAAAAGTCAGGAATTGAAAGTTTTGAGGTATTCCGTCGAGCCACTTCCTGGTCATCTTCCATCCATAGCCGACGAGGAATATGGACGATTTCTAGAACGGGAGTCACGAGTTCCGAAAGATGCTGTTGTATCTGTTCATATCCAGAATAATTTGGCCACATCCGATGAAACAGTAGCATCCGGTTCACTTGGCGTTCGGACAGGACTAAACTTGGCTGTACCAATGTATTCGAAATTCAGCAATGCAAACGAAGCCTTAGAGTTTTTCAAGTTAGAGTTTGAAAGAATGATTTCTTTTTGAATTTTCTCGTCCTCACAGAAATCAGTACCAGGATGGCTTCGATTTCATGGGAGAGCGTGTTCCTATTCGGTGGGATTCAGAAATCGCAGAAGAGTTTGCCGACTGCTACGCTCTTTCAGACAATGTAAGCTTTGAATATATTTCCAAAGATCAAAGGTGTTCAGGCTCGCCGATTTGTTTTCCTTCGAGACCTTTACGCCTACGATGGTTATGCATCTCTCGCTCAACGAAGTATTTCATGGGCGACGTGGACCACTTTCAGTTCAATTTTCACATATTGGATTCATAATGTGAGCTATTGAAATGAGACTATAAAAATGCTCAGTTCAATTTTTGCAGAGTTCCCGATTGCTCAGCGGTTCTGCTGTTTCTTTTGTTGTTGCCTATCCGTTGTTGTTGGGTGCTGCTTGGTATGCTAACAAGCAGTGGCATTTGTTATACAGGTTAGTGAAAGTTGCTGTTTTATGTGAACGAAAGGCGAGATCCAACGATATTGTGACCTAATTTTTCAATTTTCGACAAATAGTGAAAATCCAAGCTTGAAATCGATTTTTTGTACAATTTACAGATTCATGACAGATATTCACGCAGATGCAGAAGCTGCTCGTGCATCGTTTGAACATGCGGAGGGTGGAAAAGAATACTACTGGAAGATGTTGAAAAGAAACAGAATCATGAGAGACATCAATCCGTCGTTGTGGGATCGAGTAACTGCAACAGGAGATATTCGAGGCATTGCCACACCGATCATCACAAGATACGATCATTTGAAGGTAATTTGATGATGGAGTTTTAATGAAAAATTATACAATTTGTTTATAGGATGTCAACGAAGAAGACGACGAGCTGAAGGGTGTCGTGGGAATGGACGACTGATTTTTTTTCTCTTTTTTTCTTAGTTTTCATGAAAATTTTAGGTGTTTCAATTTTTTTTAGACAGGTTTTTGTTTTGTCTTGTTTTATTTAATTGGAAATATCAAATTTTAATAAATCTTATTCTCTTTCTATAGTTCGTCCAATGTTTCCTTAAAACCCCGTTATGTTTCGGATCATATTTTTCTCCAGAAGAAGGCTTCGATTTCCAACATTTATTATGAGGCAGGGATGTTGGAACTTTTCGGAGTGTCGAAAAGTTCCATTTCAAAAATTTCGGAATCCCGAAATTTTTAGATTTTTAGAAATGCGGAATTTCGGAAATTTCCGATCTTGAAATTTGCAATTTTTTCGGAAAGCAACTTTTTCGCGACATACCGTAGTCCGAAAATCTCTAATTCCGACCGGAATTTTTTTCCAAAAATGTTCGGAATTCCGAATTCCGTTACGAACACCCTTGATAAGAGGTTTTATTTTAGATGAGTGTGGTAGTTGGATTAAGTGCATGTGCACTTTCTTCAATTCTCTTCGGATCCATGTTCGTGCCTGTCAAAAAGTGTCAATCAGGAAATGGGATTTTTGTACAATGGCTAATGTCAGCCGCCATACTTCTTGTTGGGGTTGCCGTTTATGCAACACAAGGTTTTCCAGAATTCGAACCTCTTGCAATGCTTGGAGGAATGTTCTGGGCACTAGGTGAGAGCAAGAATTTATCTGTAGATCATCTGAATACGTGGATTTTTAGGTAACCTGACAGCCGTTCCCATCATGAACACAATAGGAATTGGAATGGGAATGTTGGTATGGGGAACGACAAACTGTGTAGCTGGTTGGGCTGCTGGAAGGTTAAACTGACCTGATATGCAAAAATTAACAGTAGTTTTTAAGGTTCGGTCTGTTTGGTATCAATGCAACTATTCCAACATTTCCGATTCTCAACTATTTTGGTTTAGTTATGGTTATTGTCGGGTAATATTCTATTTCAAAATCATTTCATTTTTCTATAATAATTTCAGAGGTTTCTTGTTTTCTCAAATTCGACCAAATGAATCTCAATCTTCATCAGAAAGAAGTCCTCTAATGGTAGCCCCTGATGATGATTTAGCCGATGACTTGGTGGGCGGCGCAGACGATAGTGATGTAGTTGTGCCACGTGGAGGAGCCGTTCCAACACTTTTGGGTGCTCATCGGAATCAAAAACGGATACTGGCCATTACCGTATCTCTGGTTGCTGGTGTGTTTTACGGAGTGACATTTGTGCCTGTGATTTACATTCAAGACCATCCAGAATTAGTATGTTTTATACTGAAAAAAAGTCATCTGCAAATTTAAAACCTTCAGTACCCACTGGCTCCAAAAACTGGACTCGGACTCGTTTTCTCTCACTACATGGGTATTTTCTGCACAGCTTCCGCTTTTATGATTGGATATGTGATCGTATCAAGGGTATATCAAAAAATAGGAACATCTTACGAAATGAAAAAAATTCCAGAACAACCCATTCGCCTCATCTCGACTAATAGGACCTTCTTTAACTGCCGGATCGATGTGGGGTATTGCTCAGTCTTCTTGGTTCGTTGCAAATGACAACTTGTCACAAGCAGTTTCGTTCCCCATAATTTCCATGGTCCCCGGTGTCATTGCTGCGCTATGGAGTGTTTTCTATTTCCGGTGAGCAAACATAATTTCTTATGAATCGGATCCTTTAAAAATTCAGAGACATCTCCGGATTGCGCAATCTCCGTCTTCTATCCATTGCTGTTGCTATCACTCTGTTGGGAGCAATTTGTGTTGGAGTGTCAAAATGATGTATAAAATTTTCCTTGGGGTTTATTACAAATTTATTTATACAATTCTTGAAATGTACAAAATTGAAAATATTGTGAGATTGGTTATGTTCAAATACGGATTGTAAAACTAAATGTATTTTTGAAAAATTTTACATTCAATCTATATTTCAATGTTCTCCAATTTCCCAGAACATTGGATCTAAATTTTGTGGAATCTAAAAAAAAATATTTCCTGGGTCTGTCAACTTTTATCAAAATTTATTTATTCCTGAAAATTGTGTAATAACAGCAAGAATTAGTATCACAGATTAATAGTTCTACTCGGTTTCGCACCTCTCCCGTCTTTATTCGATGATTGCTTCAGTCGATTGAACTTTTCGAAATCGATACCCATCAGCAAACAAATCAGTATTCGTTCATCGTCAAAACTGATTTTCTGCTGATCTCCCATCACCATATCTATAGAGTTTGGTGATCGGATAAACAGATAACGACATATGTAAGCCAATTGGCAGATGTTGGTCAGATATGCAATTATGAACATAACCAGAGATCGATCAGAAGGAAATCTGAAAATTGATCGTATGCAAGAGAATTAATTTGATAGCCAACTCACTTTCTTTTTTTGTTGAGACCGGATAAGAGTACACCGTCGTAGCTGAACGTTTTTAGGATGCATCTGAATAATATATGTTCAAGCGAGTCTAATTATTTTCTTGTACCTATTCATGTCAAGTACGGTCCTCCATCGAGCCAGTTTTCCAGTTTCACTTCGATTACACAGAAGTCCTCCTAATCCCTTGCCAATTCTGAAACCTTTTCTATAAATGGTGTGAAGTTTCTCCACTACTCACTTGTTGGGATCCTTCTCCATCTGCACATCTTGTTCCACAAGATTCGCCCTCTCTTTAGGAATAACTTTTCCTATTTTTACCAACATATCTTCGACTGTACTCCTTCTTTGTTCAGCACCACAAATTACCATATCTTCACCGCAAAGTAGCGGGAAGAGAACCTGGAAATCAGTTTATCAAAAAAAAAACCATTGAAAAGACACCGCGTACATCACCCAAATGCCCGGTAATTGCTTTCAATGTTTCTTCTCCTTTTTCATTTGAATTCAAATGTTCTGAATCCAAATCCCACGAATGTGATGATGTGGTTATTGGTGCTACTGTAGCAATTGGACGAAGACCACAGAACAGAGCGCCTGTACTAGAGAGACTGTTGGCTTGATTCAGCTCGGAACAAAGTTGTCGCAGTTTAGGTATTATTGATTCGTACGCCTAAACACTTTGTTCAGTAATAAGCACTGAAAAGTTATTTGAACTCACACATGGAGTCAAAGTGTCGATGGGACTCAATGGAATAGAAGGAACTCGAAATGAGCATATGATGTCTTCGGCTTCTCCCATATTTTCTGTGTTATGACCACAACAAATATCATCTGAAACCTCTTTTATTTTGAATAAAAAAGGTATAGTCTTCAAACCTTCGAACGCCATTTCTTGGAATCTCTTGGTTAGGAATTTACTTTTCAGAAGTCGTGTTTGCTCGAAAACTATATTGAATCTGCTGGCATCAGTGAGCTTCTGTGAATCTCCATTTAATGTGTAATACTGTTTTAGAGTGGTTTCATCTGAAAAAAAACAGCACTTTTGAGAAAAGTATGTATTTTAAAAACTAACCAACGCTGTCTGAAAACTTAACAATATCGGTGACATGTCGAATGAATAACCGTCGGTTGCAAATTAAAACAGGTGAAACTAGTGTCTTCATTGTCGTTGAAAAATGGTTCAGAAGCTCTTTTGTGGGTTTTTCAGAGCATAAATACGCGATACATAGATTTCTCTGGAGAAAAGTTATTCATATTGACGGAAGGATATCCTAACCTGAAAGGCTCTTGCTCGCATATCATACAAATTGAAGTAATATGCAGCTGCGTGGATCCCTGTTTGATTATTTTCCAAAACAATCATTGTACCAGGTACTGTATCTGACGACATGAGCCATATCGCCATCTCATTGATGTCGACTCCGCGGACTGAAACTGTTCAAACGTTTTCGAAAAAAATTATTTTGAGCTTACTTTTGTCGTTTGGTTGTTGAGAGACAACAGCGAGAGGTCTGGGTCCAATCACTTGACAAAATTCCACAAGAGTGAGAAACGGGTCAATTTTTGCTACGAAACGATTGAATGGATCGACAACCTTGGAAGGGCGGAGGAGGAAATCTTCGAACGAAATCATATCTAGAAATTCAAAAATTGGTTATATAAATTTTGTACGCATTCTTGTGAAGATGAAGATGGAGGATTTTTGTTTAAAACAAATGCAGGCTGCTGATAAAAATAACACAAAGAAGCTCGTAAATCGTCACGAGTGACGACTGCGAGACCCTCGAACAAAACTTTAGAATGCGCCTTCAATGTTACGGTATTAAAAATTTTAAAATTGCAAAACAAGAGAAGGGAAATTCGAAAAAACAAACAGTAAGTACCGTAAAAACATCGTTTTATGATTACGTGCGGATTTTAAAACGTTTCATTTAATTTAAAAAAAAAGCTGAAATTGAGATAGATATAAATGTTTCTATGTATATTTCCGGTATCTGAGAAATACAAGCGGCATTGCAGATTTCTGGAATAAAAATAACCATCAATGTACTTTTCTAAAACTTTTATCTAATACATTAATATTCTATAGTTTAAAATATTCAACTAAAATATTTAAATTACAAGGTATGCACCAATCGTATATAAAAATATAATTTCTATCGATACAAACTCAGTACAACCAGAGAATGCCGGTAAATGCTGGTAAATGAACATCAATAGAGTTGATTGTACTGCTGTACACACAAAGAACCAGTTTTGCTAACTATCCAAAGGCAGAGGCCGTGGCCGGCGGGGTTGCACTACTCGGCCACCTTGTAACTCTTTTTTGATTCTTAACCGACGAATCTGGTATATGTTAGCAATACTGTCTGTTTTGGTTGTTGAAGATTTCACTGCAGTTTTAATCCAACTTTATTTATTTTATTCTGAAATTGTTTTAAAAAATCTTATGTGGTTACTCACAAAAAAAACAGTGTTTAAAAACACAGTTTTGAACATTTTGAAGATTAAAAATGTTCAAAAACCATAGTTGAACTTTTCTTTTCATGAGTAACCACATTATCGACTTTCTGATAAGCCATGAGGAACCAAATTCTGAGATAATTCCAATTCTATGTTTCATCTTTTCATAAAATCATGTTTCGAGCTCTCTGTGAAGTACAAAAACTTTTATCAAAAAGTTGACGTTCCTGTCCAGCTCACTTTTCGTTTGAAAACCTCAAAAAGTTGATCATTGTCCTCTAAAACACTTCCCCAAACACTTCCGATATCTTCTGCTACGTGATCTTTGTCTTATCCATTCTCACTAGTCGTTTGTCATTCAGTTCACTTTCGAGAAACCTTCGTTTTTTTCTCGGTTGGGGTATATCCAATGGATCCGAAGAATCACTGCATTATAATGTGAAAAAGATGAAGAAGAAGAAGAACGCGCCTCCTCTCATCAATCAGTTTTTTGTGCTCTGCACGGGAGCCAGTCGCAATAGAATCTTTCTTCCTGCCAGTTGAAAGTCGGAGTTGAGAATTCAATATAATTCTGAAGTTTTTTCCTCTGATACTTGAACTTCTTAACTTCTTATCGGATTTGGGCCAATTCTCAGAGTAAGTCATCAATTCCGTTTAAAAAGGAACGACTCAAAATGTGTTATTTAACACCGTCAAAGGATTTAATTTCCGGATTGAGAAAATCCAATTTCATTTTCTATCCCAAGAAAATAGAAAAAGATGGATTTCATTAGATAGAAAGCCATACCCTTTTTTGGTTTGCCTTGACCCAGATGACAGATAGATATCACTTTGTCTTTCCTTTCTTCACTCAATAAGATATCTCAAATTCTCTCATTTCTCTTCTTTCAAAAAAGATGAACATGGAATTGTCGTAGAAACTTACGAAACCAGATTCTCCTCTCCCCTCTTTTTTTCCTTCTTTTTTCCTCCTAATGGTGTGATGACGTGTTCTTCGTCTTCTCCCTTCTCCTCTTCTGAATCGATCAATTCTTCCCGCCTCTGCGTCTCAATCCGACAGTATCCTTTTCTTCCAAGATGTTCACTTCCCGGGTCTCCTTAAACATAACACTATCTCCAGTTATCCATCACTAACAGAAATGAAGACTAACGTCTTCTTTTGTCACCTCTCGGCACACTTTTTTGTTTCTCCTCGTGTTCCATGTTGAATCCACGTACTGATTCAGATGATCATGCGGAAAATTTAAAATCGAGAATTCTAGATGTGATCCTTTGGATGCACACAAATGATAAAGCTATTATTCTGACACAAAAAAAATCAGAGCTGTGGCCAAATATCCCACAGCGACAGCTACAGTAACCTAAAAACTATTTTTATTTTCAGAATTTATTATCTCGAGTTTTCTGTCATTTTCCCCCAATTTCGAAAGTTAAAAAGTTGAGTGAAAACGCACGAAAATCGAGAAAATAAATCCTGAAAATAAGCATATTTTTAGGTTACGGTAGTTTTCGCTGTGGGACCTTCCGATTTTTCGTACCAGAATAATAATACGTCACAGAAATCCTAAAGATTGAATAGTTGTCGAAAAACTTTCTATCTGTTCTTTTTTCCGTTTCCTCATTTTCTTCTTCCAACAACTGTTTCTCTATTCTTCTTTTTTTCTTCAAGCCTGGTTTTTTTTGTTTCAAAGAACCCTCTCTTCCACACTAAATGCCCGAATGCTTCCATCATTGCGTCGGGTTTCTTCAAGGTTCAAGACCTCCATCTCATCAGTCTGCGTCTCCATTCTTCTAATATTCTCTCTTCTAGTCACATCAACACTCGCTGATCAGCAGGTAACTTGTAACTTGTTCAACACTTGAGAACCAACTTCCTTGAAAGAGGAGGAAATATTAGAGGATTACGGTATAAACATTTTCAGGCATGGCCTCTCCCGGAGGAAGTGTCCGCATCGCTGCTCCATGAAATTCCAGTTCTTCATACCGCATTCGTCCAAATCGGAGAAGAGCTTCACTATCTGAATCAACCGATTCGGCCGGAAAATGTACACCATCTTCCTGTCTTTGATTTCGTTTCAGATGGAGGGTCAGGAGACGCATCGACGTTGAAAAATAAGAAGAAAAAGAAGAAGACCAACACATACAATGTGATGAAAATGGCTGGAAAAGGGAAACTTCCAATGGAGCTCGATCCTCCGATGATGGATTTCGGACAAAAGTTGGTTTTCAGTTTTCAGAAACAAAAACTATTTAAAAATGTTTTCAGTTCTGTTGGAACGGCGCAGAAAAGGAAGATCTATATTCGTAACATGAAAGCCGAACCGATATTTTTGGATGCCATTGTTGTTAGCTCGATTGAATTCCAGGCATCTTATTTCGAAGAATATGTAAGTTTCCATTTTTTTTATCTTCTTAAAATCGATGTTTCAGAAACTCGAGCCCCATGGAATCACTTCTTTGGAAGTGGTTTTCTTACCACGAGAAATCGGAAAGCGCTCAACAGTTGTCCATTTTTACACATCAGTTGGATTGTTCACCTATAAAGTTGGTTTTTATAATTCATTAAAAATTTAAACTAATATAATTTCAGATGCAAGGAAACTGTGTATCCAATCCATACCGAATTTCGCCATTCACCGGATACCGTCTCCCGATGAATTCTTCTGTATCCAAACCCATTTCTATTTTCAATCCATATGCATACACGATGAGAATCACAGAGGTTAGTGCATATCAATCTACCGTAAAACCTGAAGGGCATCTCGGTTCCTGTGAAAAATATTAAATTGTTGTCATTTTTCATATTATCACAAAAATTTTGTTAGTTGACAAATTGTTGCTATCTTGCATACAGGGTGGCCGATAATGATAGGACGTTTTTTTGAGGGCTCCTTGGCCAGGCGCCAAGGAAAAATTATGAAAACTTTCAAAACTAATAGAAAGTAGGGACCCTCTATAGGCAATGATTTATACCATTTCGTATCATTTTGTTTTTTGTTCGGATTTATGAAGAATTCTCCACACCAACCCACATCGCGAATTTACTCGAGAGGGGAGTGCACGTGTTGATGTGGCCAGAAGAATTGGAATTTCCTCATAAAGTGTCTGAAATGTTTTTGAAAATATTCAAAAGGATCAAAGGAACCTATTAAAGCCAAAATGAAGGCCACCATTATTTTGAACATTCACCAGACTCGGGGGATCATCAAACTTCAAATTCGGCGAAAAAATGTGTTTTGACCTTGGTATTGCAAGGTCCAGGGTTCAAAAATCGTCAAATAGGATTCGAACATTTGTAGTTACCGTGTCTACCATAAACTGTTCCTTTCTTATACATCCGGGGCCTGCAGACGCGAAAAATGCAAAAAACTTTTTTCACAACCTGCGGCGTTGTCAGACGAGATCTGAGGTGACGTAAAGGGTTTCACAGATGAAACTCTTCCAAACCGTCGGGATCAGGGACAATTGTTACCAAAAGATGATAACAATTCTCCTGAACGTATTTTATCTTCAAATTGCCTTTTCCGTAAAAATGTCAAGGTTTGGGATAAAATCACGGCAACCAGTACCAATTTTTTGATTTTTGGTAAAAATCGGCTCACAGGTCTACCAAATGACAGTTTTGATGCATAACTTGTTGCCCTGGACCACTCAGAAGTTTGTTGGACATCTTTAATACCATCCGTTATTACAGTTAAAAAACGTTTTTCTGAAAAATGGGAGACGGTTAGAAACGTCCTATCATTATCGGCCACCATGTAGTTGCTGAGAAACATTAGTTCAAACTTGATAGTGTGGCTGGCTATTCTATCACAGGTTTTACTCTAATTTTGAACTGCCGTAATTCTAAATTTTGCTTTTTTTTCAGGTCTCGTCATCTGGTGGAAATGGACACATTGAACTTCCACACGAAGTAGACAGCATCTTGGCTGGAGAACCACCACAATATTGGGACATCCGTCCGTATCAAACAAAACAAATTGCCACGTTGGTCCTTGTTGGTGGAACTTCTGAAAACTCTACAGTATTCGTCAGAGTTGCATCGGAAATCATTTACCACTCTGAAGATCGTCGTCCTCTTACAGACATCTACCTGACAGTTCCAATAGAAGTATTGAAAAGGCGTGGAGTGTATGCGACGGACGAAATCCTTGACTTTGGGATCATTCGACAAGGCGTGAAATCAGAAGCCAAAGTGTTTTCTGTGGCTCAATATCAAATAGGAGGCCGTCTGGAGTTCGAGACACTCTATGTCGAGAAAGGCGACCATACTGCAATCTACATGGAATTCGCTTCTCATCCACCAATCGTCGTGCATCCTCCAAACAAGGGAAGCATCACTTTGGGACCAAAATCAGATCTGGTAAAAGTGTACTTGGAGGGAAATCGAGTTCAGATGAGCAATCAACAATACATGAAACATATAAGTGGACATATAATAGCAGTGTCAAGAGGAGGAAACTATAATGTCAGTATTCCATATAGGGCTGATGTTTTCCGTGGAAATCTTGTATCCATTGGAAATGATCTTTCCATTCAAGAAGATCTTCGTCCACCTCATCAAAGGATCATCCGATTGGAAAATCATCTTCCCTTTGATGTTTCTATTTACAACATCTCATTGTCTCCGGACCTCGTTTCACATTTTTCTGTAAGTTTTTATCAGTATTTAATCTTAAAATTGTTTTGAAATCGCCAGATTCGTTTGATTGACCGCACTGCTCTCATCCGTTCCGGACACATTTCACCAGTTTTTGTTCTGAAATACAACAAAAAACTTCCGCCGCCATTTGACAATTCGACTATTTTTGTCCATACAAATGTGTCAACATTCAATTTGAGTCTATCAACATACGCCGGAAAAATGGCTGTTGAAATGACATCTGTTGATAAGAATTCGTTTGATTTTGGATTTGTGGAGAGGAATGATACAAGAACGATTCGAGTGAGATTCTGAAGACGTTATATGAACATCATTGAATTCGAAAAATATTTCAGTTTGTCGTTTGGAATCACAATCGAGCTGAAATGCGTCTCAAGAACCTCGTGGTCCCTGATCGAAATGCATATCGTCTCTATGAAGTTGGTGTTAAATCGATCGGAAACTTCTCGGATGTTCGAAACGACGAGCGTCTAGAATACGTTGAAATGGCAGATGTAGACATTCCACCGATGAAAGGAAAAATTTTTGATTTGGAATTGAAAGTTCCATATGCTGGCGAAGTTCGAAATGGAAACATTATTTTTGAGACTGATCTAGAAAGCAAAGTATTTGCTGTGACCTATCAGGTATCAAGTGGATCCCTCCAATCGATTCCCGATGAAGTCTCATTTGGACAGACGTTCCCATCAAAATTGGTTTATCGAACTCTACAGGTATGATTTCATATTCATTAAGACATTCTTATGAACTACGCTTCCAGGTGTTCAATTCTTTTGACGAAGATATGACAGTAACCCGTATGACAACTCTCAATGAGGATCCTCGTTTCTTCTTCGAAGGTTTCGATCCACATAACCCACCGGTTCTTCGTTCCGGACGACTAACCAATCTGGGACGTGTCATGTTCTCTCCATCAGCACCTTGTGAACATGAATATTGTTATCTGGGTCTCCCACTAGGAAGTACTGATGGTGCATGGTTTACACATGGACTTGGATTGCCTTCAAACCTTCCTGAAATCGATTCTTACCTTTATAAACAACTAAGAAGGAAGTACGATGCATTGGTGAAGAGTAGGAAGCATCATGTCAATACAACCATTATTCTGGATACAGATAAAGCAAAAAATATTAAGGTTTGATTCCAAACTTGCTTTTGACAGAGTATCTAAAATATTATTTTAGATCAAAACATCCGCTGAATTGGTTTGGCCTCGTTTGTTGACTCGAAACTCCATTCATTTCCCATTGACTGCTCTGGGGAACTTTACCATTGTCAATCTGACTCTGGCCAATCCAACGAATGTTCCAGTTGCTATTCAAGTGATCCCATTGGTCATCTATCCAGATGCAGAGTCACTCGTTGAACTAATGCGTCCACATCTTGCATCTGATCTTACAGATCATGTTGAAATGAACGAGACGTTGATGTTCTCGTTGAGAGATACAGAACTATTCACTTTGAAACCAGATTCTCCTGTTCCGAAACTTCGAGAAGCTTTCGAACATCATCTGAATCATGAAATGCCAAGATACAACAATGAAATCAATATTCCAAGGTTAGTTTGCCCTACTTTCTAGGTGATTTTTATTTTCTTATTTCAGATTCACACTGTCAATGATTCTGAAACCTCATATGAAAGTACGCCTTCGTCTCGGATTCCTACCATCAGACTACACTCTCCGATCATCTCTTCTTTTGATTCGTAACAATTTAACTGCTCTCGAACCAGTTGTGATGTATGGTAAAGGTGCAAGAATTGGTGTGAAGGTAGAAGGAGCTGAGGCGAGATCCAAGAAACCATTGTTGTTTGAAATTCGACATGATCATTTGACGGATTGTAATAATCCAAAAAGTAAGAGAAATCAAAAATGGACACATGAAACTATATATTTCAGGACTGATGCACAAACTACACTCAACTCTAACAGTTCGTCGTCCATTCCAAGTAATGAATACAGGCGAAGTACAGTTCACAGTAACCAATATGAGTATCAATGGAGTTCCTTGTGAAAATCGAGGATTCCGTATTCTCAACTGTTATCCATTCCGTTTGCAACCAAACGAGACATATGCATTGGATATTGCGTAAGTTAGATACATTAAAAGTGACAATATTTTCAAAATGTATGTTTTTCTTTCAGATACACTCCTGATTTCTTGACGACTACAAATGAAGCAGATCTTCAGCTGTATATGCACATGAATGGTAGCGCGTGGCTGTTCCCGTTGGCAGCTACAGTACCTGGGGATATGTTAGCAAAGTGTCATCAGGCTCTTCCTAGACCACCATTTGAGAATATTATGTATTACAGTTGTGTAACTGCATTGATGTAAGTGTTTGGAAATAACCCGAGTGTCGTAATTCTTTTTTTGTAGTTTCTGTTTGGTGTGCGTTCTCGCATGTGCTTATTTGGAAGGAGATCGGGCGATCGCCTGTGCCATTCGACAACAATTCGCCATCCCTCGCCACGTCTTTGATCTCAACAACTTGAATAAGACCTCATCATCTGCTCAACCAACACCAACTTCCTCAACATCTCCAACATCTCCAGAAACTCAAACGACAAAGAAGACGTCGGAGAATTCGACGCCTTCTGCACTCCGAGCGTCTTCTGATGCTTGGCTTGTGAAGAAATGGGGTTATAACCTCGCCAACTGGGTCGTTAAATGCGTCCATAAAGTATGGAGATGGTCGTTGTTCTGGAGAAAAGATAAGGCTGTTGGTGATAAATCATTGAAAACGACGAAGCCAACAAAGAAGAAGAATCCAGTAACAATGCAAAAAGTCGAAGAATTCCGACAAATGTTAGAATATGTTGGTCAGCAGAAAAAGAAGAATGCAGCTGGAATTAATACTGAATTTGATGAGGTTGAAGAAGAAGCACTGGCTGAAATGTGGGCACAGAGAAAAGATTCTGGAGTCAGTTCTGTCTCCCAAAAAGCTACTCCTCCGCCTGTCGAAGAACCAGTTTTGTCGAAAAGTCAGAAGAAGAAAAAACGAGCTGCTCAACAAAAAGATAACAATAATCTGGAACCAGTGGCACCAGCAGCTCAAAATGAGAGCTCTTCTCGTGCAGAGTCTACGAAAACTACTCCAGGCCCATCTCCAAAACCAAAAGGATCAAATCAAAAGAAAAAGAATGTTTCAACTCCTCAGACTAAATCCCAACCCGTGCATGAACCTGTGGTGTCTTCATCAGTCAAACCCATTCCAGCTGAAACGCCTAAGACACCTTCTCCTCCGAAGAGAGCTCCTAGCAAGACTCCAAGCAGAGCTCAACCATCTCCTGCGCCATCAACTACCACGATGCAACGTCCTATAGCTCCATCGCCGGAACTATTGTATAATGAGCAATCAAATCCAGCATCTCCTGATTTGTTTTATAGACAATTCCTGTCTTCAATGGGAATGCCACTGGAAGAAACGTTCTGGGATTCACCAGCTGCTCAAGCTGCAATGCCTTACTTGAATATGTGGAACTATGGAGGACCATTGAGTGTGGAACAAATGGAAGACTTGATTAGACAAGCATCGGGACAAGCTCCAACGGATACTTCAAATACAACAACAACGACGCCTTCTGAAGAAGCAATGGAATGGAATCAAGGACAAATCGAAGAAGAGGAAGAGGAGAGTGTTGCAGGTGAAGATGAGCCAGATTGGATAAATGAGGTAAGACAAAGTTTAAAGATAGGTTCCAAAATTAAAAATGGCTGTGTCTTGTAGAATTTGAACGTGGATGATGCAGAAGCTGACTTCTCATCAATGGCGGCGGCATCGAAGGATTTGTTCCATGATGAAGATGTGGATGAGTTGCATTTGAGAAGACAAAGAAGTCCAAGCCAAGCATCGTCAACTCTGTCGAGAAAAGTAAGTTGGTTTTCTGAGAGAATCCTTCATTATGTCTTTTATTTTCAGCTTGAAAATTCTCCACAAAAAATGGGCGGACGTCGTCTAACGATTGGAAGCGAGAAAAAGAATAATCCACCAACAAGCGAATTCACACGAACCCCTGGAAACCCAAATCGATTTACAAGCACCATTCAAAATCCCCCTCCTTATTCTTCTGGATCGATTTGGGGTGATTCTTCATCTTCGAATCTTTGGGGATCTTCTTCATCTCAACTTCCATCTACTTCATCTGCGTCTTCTCAACCATCAAATGTTGTTCATGACCCACTTTCACTGTCTCATTTGGGAATCAACGAAGGTTTGTTTGATATAACTTATGATCTATTTATTAATGATTTCAGCTGAAAGCTCTGTACCATTCGGAAATACAATGTTTAGTGGACCAGAATTCAATCTATGGTCTTCCAGTTCTCTTTTCTATCAACATCCATCCCAACAGCAACAACAAAATGATGATAATTATAAGAACAAGAAGAACGAATAATCTCTCATTTGCTCTACTTATCCCACCAAAACCGATCCATTATGTTTTTAACCGAATTTTCGCTACAAAAAGTCTGAAAGATTGAAATGAACTTTGCAACAATGCACTTTTTTATTTTTCGAATTTAAAGATTTTTTATTCTTCTCAACACATCCAAAATAGTTTCATTTTGATTCTTTCTTGCTGGGTCCTCCAGAACATGAACTTCCGAGTCACCATTACTCAATCCAAAGGCCATATATCCAATTTTGGCGCTTTCCGATAGCCACGTATCACATGCAAGAACTTGATTGGAATCCTGGAGAGAGTTAAATATTGAAGTTTCACTAACTATAACGAAATTGTTACGTTTCGGCTATCAGTTGTTATCGATGAGAGCTTGAACCCCAAATCCCAGAACGAAATTGAATTTCCATTGTGAATAGTGTAGAATCCAGATGGGTTACTGTAAAAAATAAGTGCTTCCGATTCTGTTAGCTACAGTAACCTACGTAAGGCTCCATGATATCATTGTGACACGAGTCGACAAATCGGCAGTTGGTAAATTGACAATCGCAGATGTCTGAGATGTACGGTATACAGAAATCGAACCATTTGAGAATCCAATCTTTTAAAAAATAGAAAAATCGTTTTCATTTCCAACCCAAAAAAATACCAGTAGAACAGTGTTATCAGTGGGATTAGCAGCAATTACCGCAACCTCTCCATACTTTTCTTTTTCAGTTTTGAAGATTTTTGGAATTGCTTGAGATGTATCTGATTTATAAACCGAATACATCATTCCAGTGTCAGTTCCAATGAAGAATCTCAACGGATTTGTTGTGTGGCAGAATGCAGAAACAGCGAACGACGAGGAGTGTCTGGAAGCAAAATTATAGGTTATTAAAATATTACCGTAAAACCTGTAATAGAAGGGCCCCTAACATTTAACTTTGAGCAAATTGATCTCGATTCCTATGAGAGATATCAAAAAACTTTCAACTGATAAATTGCTTACCATAATGTCACAAATATTTTATCAGTTACCACATTGTTGATATCTCTTACAGGAACTAAGATAATTTAGCTCAAAGTTGATGATTTGGGTGGTTTCAACTAGGGGAAATACGGTAGCTATTTATAGTAAAAATGTGGTTTTGAGAAAAGCAAACCGTTTCAAAACTGGATGTGGACGGATCACAGCAGTTAGAAGAACACGGAGTTCATTTGTCTCAATTCTGTTCGCAACCCAATACGAAATTGTTCCGGATGAATCGATTGTTGTGATATCTTCGCCAATGCTGCAATAAAAGTTTCAGAAGTTTTCACAAAAAAGTCTCTTCACTTTGACTTAGATACAGTAATCCCTACTAATGGAGTGGCATCTGTAATTGTAGTTGCTAAAAAGGAAGAATCAAAAGTGGGTCGACGAAGTGCAATGTCTGTGTCAGAATCTTCAAAAAAAATAAATAATTGTTCTGAATCTAAAAATATGAATAGGAACTAACCAACCCATGGAAGAGTATCTTCAAAAAATGCATCGGTAATTGACAAGTCAAATGCACAGAACGTACCATCCATCTGAATTAAAAAAGCTTGATTTTTGAAATTCAGTGTATTTTCAACATACCAAACAGACATAAAGTGTTTGTGATGCCTGACTCAACTCCATTGCTGAAACGACACTTTCAACCACAAACAGTCTGAAAATTGGCAATTTTTCAAACCAAAGTAATAATCTGGATACCTTTTAGGCGGTCTTCTTTTATGCACATAAAACTCTGCTATCAAACTTTTGTTTATGAGATCTGGAGCAGGAGATTCGAATATCTCATAAGCAATCAGAACGCTGTCTGATTCTCCTTTTTTGATACATGTGGCTTTGCATTCTGAAAATTTATCTGTCAGTTCGAATTCCTTCATTATCATTTCACTTACTTGTCACCACCTGGTACAGTCGAAAAGGATTATATCCTCTTGAAAATTTGGAAATCGACTTTTCGCTCGTTTCATCCTCTTCTGCTGACTTATCATCACTTATTAGAATTTCGCGAATTGTCTGAAATTTGAATACATATAGGAATATGCCAATACTAGAATACAGACCTGAGTAGCCGCAAAAAAGAATTTCTTGAGTCTAGCTCTATCAGAAGACGTTCTTTCTTTCTCTAATCCATTCTCGATTCTGGTACTTTCCGAATGCGGACACTGAGTTTCTTCATCTTCCATTTCCCCCTTTTCCGTTTGCACTTCTTCTGTATTGCACTCTTTTCCAGTTTGGGTCAATGCGTGTGCTTTATTTGATGGAGTCGAGGATAGTGGCTCGAAGATATTCGATGAAATATCAGTAAACACTTGACTCTTTGTCACCTCAATGCCTAAATAAATGGATAGAAATTGAATGAAGTCTGGAAAGTCTTACTTATCAATCCACGAAGTTTATTCAGTCTTCCAAATGCTCGTTGTTCTTGAGTTTGTCTTTCTTCTTCATTGTGATAAGAATATGGCTTGTTTTCTATCTGAAGCGTTTACAGATTAAGGGACATTGCTAAAAAATCTGCTAAATAACAGCCAAAAAACTGGCACATAACTGCTAGTCAGCAGTCGAAAGAGGATCGACGGGCCATTGACGGACTGTCGACGGACTATTGGAATTCCCTGGAAAACTGACTCGAAAGTTTAGCTTGAAAGTCAGTTAGAAAACTAATAGTTCTACTCTTACTAGATATCAGAATAACGATAAAATCTATTTTTCTCACATCCAACCATCTTAAAAATAGGTAGTTGAACTACAGTTGAACTTATTTCTCTCTAATAGAGATTTCTCTCTAATAGAGTAATCTGATGTTGGAACTCTTTACCCGCCAAAGTGTTTCCGGTGAAGCCCTCGTCAGCGGCTTTCAAAAATCGACTATTATCCTGTGATATAAAACATTTTCTTGTCTTGAATTCAACTAATTACTAACTCGGTTTTTCCTCCATCTACCATTTAATACAAATGTATGTCCCTGTTATATCTCCTAGTTTCATAGACATCACGTGTTAGTGGTTTTCTCCTCTTCGTTGGAATAAATAAATAAATAAATAAATAACTGCTTAATGACAGTCAAAGAGGCGCTGACTGGTCAATTACCGGTTGCCAAATTCCTACAGCGTGGCTTTTAATTACCCGCACACAACTTTGACGCCATGGATCTTTGTGCTGGTGCTAATTTAGTGCATTAAAATTTTTTATTGATTCGTTGTTTCAAAATTGATATGTTTGCCAAGTTTCACCTTTATTGGTTCAGTTTCAGGCGAGGCGTAACGTCCACCATTCCACTGTCATCCGTCTTTTTAAGTAGGGCATTAGTCGAAAAGAGACCTCCGAACGCATTGGGATTGCGGACATGTGGTTTTTTTAAACTATCAAAAGATTTACCGAGTCTGAATCTCTTTTTTATCACATTGTGAGAGGAAGAAAAGCTACGGTGATAATTCCGGAGAACGTTGAAGTCGTTCTTGATCAAATCAGGAGCAACCTACATAGATCCCTCAGAAAATTGGCCGTGAAGGAGTTTATGTCGTGGTTTTCAGTTTAAAAGATAGCCCGAAAGAAGCTTGACCTGAGATGCTATTGCGTGCCAAAAGCCGTCATCTTGTTGGAGAGCAATCAGCAAAAGCGTCTGGAGAAAGCTATATTTCTTCCGGGTGTCACGCGGTGAGGAGACGATTTGAGGCCCGTTTTCTTTGACGAGCAGTGGTTCACGATTGAAGCCAAGTTCAACTTTCGAAGTTATTGTGTGTAAGCCAAGAATATCAAGGAAGCTCCTGAGACAGAACAAACCATTCCTAGAGTTTTCCACCCAGCCAAAATTACTGTTTTCCATGCGATTTGCTCAAATAGCAAAATATAGGCAGAGAAAAGACCGTGAAAAGATATATCGAGCAAATCTTGAAGAAGAATCTGCTCACACGGACCAAATCCTACTTTGGACGGGTACATTTGGTTCACTAGCATGGGACACCAGGGGGACGAATGGCCGACCTACTCGTCAGATTTGAAACCCCTTAACTATTCCTTCTGGATTCTTGCAAAACAAGATCTGCCTAATATTCTATTCAAGTTTAAAGGCTCCGGAAGAGATAATTTCCCAGAAATGGGGCAAACTTTCAACCACCATCGATGCCTACCCATGACGTCTTCAGGTCGTAATTGAGGCGAAAGATGACCGAATCGAAAATTTTTTGTTGCTTTTAACTTTTGTGCGTCCAAATAAATTTCTTGTTAAGTTTCATCAGTTTTCGGCTTTTTCTTTTCGAGAATACTTCATTCAAAGATGTGCGGGTAATTAAAGGCCACCCTGTACAGTATGGAAATTTTGGCAAAAGATTAAATACATAACTATCATCGAGAATTCAAAGATTAAATATATAACTATTATCGAGAATTCTGCAAACCCAAAAGTTCCTCATATAAAACATTTCTACTAAAACTAATTAGAATCTAGGCTCGGTTGGTGAAAAACGGCTTAACGACAGTCGAAGAGCGGCGACTGGTCAATGACTGCTGGTGGGCGGACAGAATTTCTGCAGAATAGACAATTTGGTTTGAAAATCAAAAAATTAGTTTAGTATGAAGTCATAGAGAATTCTGGGAATAATTGGAACCTGAGGCTCGGTTGGTGAAAAACGGCTAACTGACAGACAAAACAAGCTGTAAACAAAGGCAGAGCGCGATGGGAGGATAACTGCTAGATGTCACAAAGTGTACTTTTTCAGAATATTTCCGAAAACAAGAGAACCCACTGTAGATTGGAAGGAAATTTGAGTATGGGACGACGCTTTAGGTATTTGTTTTTGGGGAGCAATCTCGGTTCGTCGCATATGACTTGTAGCCAAACGTTGCAACAAATTACCTTCGAACGGAGTCTAAAAATTTCGAAAACTTATAAGACAATTTAAAACGAAGAAAACAAACTTCATCAGTTTCTATTATTATCAAAGGTTTCTCTTCTCGAGCAGCTTCTTCTGCTGTTGGTGTTTCCTTTTCTTTTGATCTGTCATCATTAAAATCTTCAAAATCCTCTTCATACTGTTCGAAATCATCTTCGTACTCTGGTTCGGGGGTCTTTGGTTTCTTCACTTTTTTCTCTTTCTTACTACTTTCCTTCTTCGAAGACTTTTCTTTCTTTTCCTTTTTTGAGGAAGATTTTCTTAAATTTTTAAAAATCTAATTAGTTTCCAAACATATAAGGCTCACTTCTCCTTTGAAGAACTACGACTTTTAGATGACATTCTTTAGAAAATAAGAAAAAAATGCAAGCTGTTCATTGCTCTATTCTATTCTCCGCATTTCTGTTGTCATGGTGACAAAACTCAACATTTTCCGGAAGTCCCGCGAAAACGCGGGGGTTTCGAAAATGGAAGAGAAAAGAAAACATGAATAATTTTGCTACTTTTCCACCTGAAAAAAGAAACATCAAAAATTCAACAAGACGATCATGAAAATTTATTGGGAAAAAAAAATGAATGATGCATTATTGATCAGTTATGACTATATTCACAAGTATTATCCGGAGTGTTCGGGGATAAGAAAGTAATAGAACATTTTCAATAGCTGAGAATGTGGTTAGTTTACATGATAAAACAAAAGAAAACTGGAGAATTCTAAGCATTGGAGCAGTTTGCACTTGCAACATCTCCTTCAAGATTCCATCCGAGGCCAAGATCCCGGGATTCGTCTAACTTGGTGTTGTCTACATCATCCATTTTCTGAAAAAATAATGTTTTCGTTTTTGAGGTTGTAGGCTTACTTCAATGGTCCAGCTCGAGAGAACAGACATGATGGAGGCGCTGACAGGACAATTGAGCTCACGAAGATATCGAGCAATATTCGGCAAACGTCCTCCTTCTACATTGCTACTCATCGCCCAAAGAGTCCACTTCCGAAGCATCACACATTGCTCATAGCTCCAGTTTGGATTCATAATTGGACCACCGTTTATTTCAAAGAGTGCATTCTCGTAAACACGGAACCAAAGTAATGGGAACGAACGGATCAACGAATCCATCTGGTTTGAACTAACGTAGTTGAGAAGACCACGCAGAGTATCCCATTGCTTTGTTATTTGAAGACGAGCCATCACTTGATCGATACTCTTGGGATCCTTGAATTCGTGGTCAATGATAAGACATGCAATGAGGGCAGTCATCGGTTGAGTACGCGACGGGCATTGAAGAAGAGTTTTGATGAGCTGCATTTTATCCGTCTTTTCGTCACATTTCATTTCGGCTTTATCGAATAAACGCTCGTTGAGTTGAGTCTCCAATATTCCGCTGAAAATTGATCAGTTTCTGTATCAAAAAACAAAGTTGGGCTCTGTTAATCACTCGAAGTACACTTAGGTTACACACATGATTTGAAAAGCCGCGTTCAAATTAGGACTCGAAAAGAATGACATTACATACTAAACCGTTTAGCCGCGTTCAAATTAGGACTCGAAAAGAATGACATTACATACTAAACCGTTTATTGATCGAATTGAAACTAACCAGATTCTCATCAAGTCCAAATCTGCTGCAAAATCGGAAACATCTTTGTCAGTGAAGGAACGAAGTATAATACAGGCGGCTCGGGTGACTGCAGTGAACCCGCCAACAGCTTTCCGACCTCCTTTCAAAATTATGTTCCCGAGCCTTCTCATCAGACGTTTCTTGTCCAAACGCTGACAAAGAACGACTATCTTGTCCAGCGCTGGATCGAAAATTGGGATTCGCACCTCATTCGGAGCGTCTTGCTCTTCTTTTTGATCTGTGAACGACGTACCACCAATCGACTGAAAATTGATCTAGGTTATGAGAAAATTGGAAAAGTGACTCCACCTCATTCATGTCCACGTGGCAGAGTGGAGCAGTTGATTCCGTATCTTCGATCCAAGCAAATACCAGTTGTTCGTGCAGTGAAACGAGATTAAGGTCATTTGCTTTGGCGATTCTCTCCACAACACGACATTTTTTGGCAACATCGGTAGAGTTATCCCATGAAATCATATGATCATAAATCAGTGAACAGAGCTCGCGAACGTTTTCAATATTGTCAGCTGTTCTTTCATTGTAAATTCCATTCTTTTTGAGCTCAAGTTCAGTGAAGAACTTCGCAATTCCATCCTTCAATCGTGCACTTTGTTCCTCCATATCTTCACGCTCTTCTCCTGTCAAATCAGCAGTCCAACGCTCAGAAATGTCCACTCCCATTTGCAGTAGCTCGATTTTGACATCACTGAGAATGATTTTCTTGAACAGAAGTGCGATAGTGGAGACGACCGTCCCACGCTGGGAAGCCGAATTCAACAGATGATGGATGGTTTTGCGTTCTCCTTCAGGTAAACTTTTACCGAAAATTGCATATTTGTTAGCGTGAGCGAAAATAGCACAAGAAAGAAGCTGAGAACGAGAGAAGTGTTTGGTCAGCCAGCTAACTTCCCGAAGAAATGCTTGCCAAATTGGGACATTGAAGATTGAGAGTTCTGCTATGACTATTTTCCTCACTGTTTCATCAGCGTCTTCCCTTTTTCGTAAAAGGAACGCATGGAAAGGTAGATGTAGCATAGCCTAAAGAATTACATTCTCATAATATGCCTTCCCTTTGAAACTTACTGTTTTTGGCATATCACTAATTATGACACTGTTTCTTTCGTACACCATGGCATCGGGTTGGTAAGACGAGTCGGAGCCTGAGAAGTCATTCATCTGACTTCCATCATCCTCATACACAAGTCGTTGCGAATGGCCAAAAGGTTCAAGGAATCGACCTGATTTCTCATATTCTTTCTCGTCTTTCACCAGAATTCCTTCTCTTTTGGTGAACCAAATAGACTCCTCGTTGCTGATGTGGTTAGTACGCCTATATGTCCATAAGAAGTCCATGATCTTAAAAATATGATTATGAATTCGGTATCATGGAATTTAACTATTACAGATTTCAAGTTCTTCTCGAATGTGATCTCCGACCCTTCTGAGGCGTACTGTCCGAACGATGAAACAATGAATTGAATAACTTCATAGTTATAAGGGCATACGATGTAAAGTAGACAGTGCAAATAATTGCAGATGCACGATGCATTTTCTTCGACAGCAATCTGAAATCACTTCGATTTTAGAATTTCAGCGATACCGTAAAGAACCAACTCTGAGAGAAAGTCTAGCCAACTCTATGAATTTCTCAATTTCTTCTTTGCGAATCTCTTCGTCGGTCAGTCTCCCAGCTGCAGAAGCCTTGCGAATAAGGAGTGTAGCATATCGGACCATATACTCTCCAACTTTGATCTTTGCATTTCGAGATAGGATCTCGACATACTTTTTTACGTAACTGAAATACTGACATTAAATTTTTCGACTAGCACAACGTACTCATGAAGTCGTAACGGTGATAGCGGTTGCCGAAGATCGACGGCTTGTTGAAGAACTTTGTCCACGAAGTCAGTGTTTATGGATACACGAATGCCTTCTTCTGCAAGCTTCTTCACCAAGAATTTCTGCTCATAGAATGATATGATTTGTGGAATCTTCTCCATGTTCCGAGATAAAATGCTTATAACAAATGCCAACTGTAGATACTGAAGTAAGGCTTTGGTAGAACTGCGAAGTCCTGGTTTTCTTTGCAGCTCCAGAACAGCTTTGTCGAGACGATCAGCCGGGATTCCACCGAGGAGCGTAACTGCGTGCCAGAAGTCAAACTTTTTCTGTTGCAACATGCGCTCCACAATGGATAGCACAGGCTGCTCGATGTCGAGGACGCTCTGCGAATATTCGCCTGCCCAACAATCTGAAAATAAATCATGTGAAATTTAAGAAAGTCATGAACTAACTAAGTGATCCAGCGAACACTCGAGCTGATACATCCAGAAGATCTTGTGAATGCATGGCAAGGAACATATTCAGTTGCTCCCAGTTTCCTCGAAAATCATTCGCATCTTCTGGAGTAATATCGGACTCATATGGACGTGCAACAGAAGGTGCTACTTGTGAAAGAGCAATAACACCTTGTACTCCTTCAAATAAAGCTGGTTCACATGAGAAATCGTAGGTTCCGAGTGGTTTCTTGAATTCAAAGAGACGAATTTTCGATTGAGAAGAAATGTCTGTCGATGACTCTGAAGTTCCAATGGGTAACGTTGCCGTTTCTCCTGCTCGGAATAGTTCCTGTTTGTCGTTTTCGTTCTCCTGCCCACGAAGAGACTGTTTGATGATGTGTTCACCAAGATTGAAGAATGCTTCCAGTTGAAGAAGATAATCCAGATCATCACTAATGATATCAAACGGGAAGCGACGAATGGTTTCCCGTACAACACGACCCAAACGTTTAACAACAAATGCTATCTGAATGGAAATGAAATAATTGAGATCTTGACGAAACACTGGACTAACATAATCTGCACGAGCCACTTCAGTCTCATGTGGCAATAGTTCTGGAATCCGGAAAGTAATCCAGCTCAGCGCTTGCACAATCGGTTCCAGCATATCTCGAGTAGCATCTGTCCATGGACTGATGAACTCAACATAACTAATCAAGCTATCCATAACTCTGTCGGTGTCACTCTCAGCAATGGCTTTGGTCAGAATTAGTTCCAGGAGATACTCTGTTGGAATCCCCATGTAGTTGCACTTGTTGAGCTTCTGAAAAAGCTTAAATACATTTTGAAACTTCACATTCATTGTTGTTACCACACTCATAGTAGTATCGAGCTGGATCAACTTTTCCAAAAATTGTCTCTGCCAATCTTCATCATGAAAATCTGACAACAATACAGCTTTGGTCTCGTTCTGCTGGACCTCCCGCAGAAGAACGAGATCGTCTTTTAACTTTCTCTCCGGATCGTTGAACTCATTATCCCGACACACATAATACGAAAGCAGTTCTTCTCCAACTCCTAACGTTTTTTCTCTTTCATGGACATTTTCTCCGATTGCAGGTGTATTGGCTACACTTTCGATGAAAGAAAAGACCAATCTGATCGTTTTTAAACGTTCGCGATCTCCGAGACTGTCAATGTAGTTGATGATGGATGTTGTAACGTCTTCATGACATATCATGTGGATGACAGCAAATGCTTGAATGTATTCAATTTTTGCAGAATTGATATTTTTGCAGCCTTGCATAGCTCGCAACAAATCCAGAAGTTTGATTATATCCACGAATCGTGATGTCTTCTCCCGTTGGGCGAGCATACAGCGAATAGTCATGATGACGTCCATATTAGAATCATTTGATGTGAGCAAGTCGATATCATGCCGACTGTATCCATACGATGACAGCATTTTGTACAATTCAGTTCGTTTGCATACCATTTGCATTTCTTCGATTTCGGCTCTCAGGAGTGTTCGGCTGGCTAGAATCTTCTCTACAGCTTCGTTCAACTCAGTAGGCCATGGAATTTTAGCATTTGAAGCGATAGAAATGATTGAGCAGCATCGACGAGTTTCATCTCTCAAACTGGCACACAACTGAACACATTGCTTCTCCCATCCAAACATGTTTGCTTTTGAAACGGATGCACCAGACATCATCTGGATGTAATTCACAATAGTTTGTTCTTGGTCGAGGTGACGTTCAATCATGAAAGGCACAACAAACTTTTCGATTTTCGCATGCGTTGTGTTTGGATTGGTCAATGCATTTTGAAGAATTTTGTGACATATCCCTTCAGAAGTCAGATTCTGCAAGATTGTGAAGCTGATCGAGCATTCGTATACTTCTTTGAGCCGTTTGAGTTCGATCAAATCATAATACATCTTCTTGACTCGGACAATCGATGATGATCCGACATCTACTGAAGAGCTTAGCTTGCTTCCATACAACATAAGAACGCACTGATTGGATGGAGTGTTACCATTGCTGACAAGCAACTTTGTCATTGTATCATAGCTGCTAGCCGCCTTAATAGCATTATCTGGCCAGTTCGAAGAGTCGCGATACTCGAGAAGAGGGATGATGGTCAAAATGAGGTTCTCAAGGCATGGAACTAGCTGAAAATATTACTGATTTCATTTTCAAAAGGGATCGAACTTACATGCTCAGCAATCAGGAGACATGTAGGAAAAATGTCCATTGTAACATGCTCAACTACGTTGCTCCAATTTTTGATGTTTGCTGAAATCGCATCAGTGAACATACGGAAGAGAGCTTCAAGTCGAGAGCCGACATCATTCTCTTCAGAACACAAATAGTCAATTATCATTTTTCCATGTCGACTGAAAATGACACGAGCTTGCTGAAATATGACTTTCATTCTGTTTTATCGGGGGAAAATCTACTTACCGTAAATTTAGCGCCTGTAATGAACTCATTATACATCTCCACCCATGGGTTACCACCGTGCAATGCTTCAACAAACAATTCCCAGATAGTTTCGTTGCTTTGAGCGTTGTCACTCTCGCCAGGACCAGTGATGATTCGATACGTTCCCCAAATGTAGCACAATGATTCAATCATCTTTAGTACATCCATATCACTGATTCGACGTTTCTTTGCATGAGTCAAATAGGTGCGAATTCTATCACAACGACGACTCATTCCGACCAAAGTGAAATAAGTTTCAGCAACCATATTGTGATCAAGAATTTGCCCCATCGTTTTCATCAAAACGTCGAATGACTCCTCATCTTGATCGCAAGAATCCATAAGATAAGTAACATGTCCCTTGTAAACTTTTTGGACATCTAACTTAAACGTTATGGCAAACTTTTCGGCTTCTTCGAACCTATTATTTTTGAGCAAAGATTCGAAGCGCATTTCCGGTCTTGACTGAGACACTTGTCGAACAACAATACGACTTTGTTCTAGCTTAGCGGGATCTTCGTTTTCAACCTCCTCCACAGCCATCAAAACACGGTCACTTCCTCCATAAGCGAATAGGGTTGTCGAAATAGCAGAAGACAGTGAAAAACAGTTCTCTCGCTTGGTACGATCGTAGATAATCATCTGAAATCAAAAGTTAAGAATTGGGACTCCAAAAGACTTGTTTACCTGCGGGCTTCCATTCTTTTCCAGAACTGCAATGATTGCGAAGAGCTTTGGAACCTCAACTTCATTTTTGTCGATGACAACAAAGTCAAGAATTCGGTCTTTTTCCGACATCTTCAAATCAAATTCATCCCAGAACGAAAAAGTTAACTGATCGAAAGTATGAATCCATCCTTCTGTATCAAGATGGAGTGAGAATCTACCACCGTCGCGAACTCGAATAAACTTTTTCTCTCTTCCGATAACAGAAAATTGTGACTCCGCAAGTCCGCACCAGTGAAGTCCCTGAGAGTTGTGAACAGATGCATATGATTGAAGTGGACCATTCGAAATCGCTGTGATATCTCCAAGCACATTTTCAATACCAATGGACATATGAGTTGTCTTTTGCATAGCCTAAACTCAACTACACTTTGAACAATCTGAAGCAATGCGAACCTGTTGGAAGTACTCTTGAATCTGATCTGTATTCCAATTTTCCACTCGGTTGTTTTCTTTAGGGAAAGCGACATCTCCTTGCAACAATACGGTACTCCAGTCACCAGAACGACTTCCGAAAGTGAGATAGCAAACAGAAGGAGTTGGATTGCAGAAGACAAAATCGATATCATGTGGAGCAGCTTCATTAAAATACAGTTCTTGCTTTTCCAATGAGAGAATCACGACACGACGTTTTTCGATGACACCCACAAAAAACGCTGAACTTCCAAGAATCTCAAATTCAGTTACAGCCCCTGAAATTTTGTAATTGTTGTGTTATATGAGACAACAGGAAAACCTTCCAGTCCAGTGTGGAAGGAGTATTCCGTTTTCTCCCCCAAAGTGAACACCGCAAGATCCGAAGAAGACGCAAGAGCGAGAAACCGTTCGTTGCTTTTCGGCTTGAGTTTCCAATTTGGAGAAGATTTGTCGGCGTTATTTTCGTCGAGAACTGAAACCAAATTTCACAGTTGTTCACAGTTGATACGGTTCTTACGGGGAGCGATGCGTGCAACAGTACAAACATCGTAGAGACCGACTGTAGACGTATTAGCATCAATGTTATCCGTCTGATTAGTTTTGCCTAAACGGCCCATTCTGAAAAGATTATAAGGTCACAAACCAACAAAATATTCGCCAAAACGGCTCGGGATCTGATAACTAAGTTTGGAGCCACATGTTAGGAAATTGCGCTGCGCCACACTTCGAATTCACAACTCTGCCGCCAAAATGAGAGCGCAGAGGAGCGCGAACTACAAATATTGAAGAAGGAATTTAAGTGGAAATTTTTGAGAAAAAACGATGCAAAAAGGAAAATTCGCTAATAAGATCTTATATAAGAAGAGAGATAATTGAAATTTAAATATTAATTAACACTTCTGGCTTTTAAGTAACCGTAACTGAAACACAAACTTTCACTCGGGCAATTTTGAAGAATTTTCACGAAGAAAGGGATATGAAATCTCTGTGAATCGAAAGAAAGTTTTGTTTCGCGATTCAGATTTGTTTCGCGCGCGGTTCAAAATTATCGTGGCGAGATCCCATCAGTTTTGATTTTGCGCCGTTGACTACTGTAGATTGCTTTGTAATTATTTTCTAATAAGTCTTTGGAGGTTCGTTCCCTCTTGGTGACGACTGCACTTTTATTGCTTTTAAGTCAGTCGAAAAAATAAATTAATTGTAAAGAATTCGGATAGTTTTATGGTTTACAGAGTTTTTCGGGGGTACGACGAATTCGAACTTTTTCAAAATCGAACAGACCTAAAATCGAACAGATTCAATTCAGAACAGTCCTTTTTTCGCACACGTACCAGAACAGAACGCGGACAGAATCGAACTGGTAAAGAGTCGAACTGTCCCAAATTGGAACGCTGCCTGCAACAGAGCGCGCATGAAAGCACACACAAAACAAAAAACAGCGTTCCAATTTGGGACAGAATCGAACTGCTACAAGTTCGAACTGGTAAGGAGTCGAACTGTCCCAAATTGGAACGCTGTTTTTTGTTTTGTGTGTGGACTGTTCTGAATTGAATCTGTTCGATTTTAGGTCTGTTCGATTTTGAAAACGTTCGGATTCGTCGTACCCCCAGTTTTTCAGTGCTGTGTGGTAACACAACGATTTGGTTTTGATCTACGCGCTTAACGCGCATAAATATTGTTATTCTCTAACCTCTCTCGCTCTCTCCCCGTTGATGATCATTATTGTTTCCAAGACAGTTTTGCCGGATCCCCGTAGTAGAGTTACGTTTGTACTCCTAGAATTATTCTCCCACTTCCCAGCGCTTTCTTTTATTGTTTTACAAGTAGTAATCTTAATAAATGACTTGTAAGTTAAACAGGCTGAACTCTAGTAAAGTTAGGGACATAACATTCAGGTTTCGTTGCATCTCGTTGTGTTTTTTTCAACTATGTATCCCCGCTTTTCTGTGATATCCCGTTTATTTGTAGCCCGAGTATTCGAATTAACATTTGTCAAGCAGATACTTTCTCTTGAAAACAAAGAAACATAACAAAGGGGTTTCAAAGTTGTCTATTAGTGGTGCATTTGAGTCTTTTTGAGTGATCGCATAGGGTTTTATAGATTCTCTGTGTCTCGGAGGATTTTCATTGTGTCTCAACATATTTCAAAATCAGTTCACTGGTTGGTGCACAACTGAAAACTTTTGTCATTTTGTAAGTCTCGGCGAGTTCTGATTCACACTTTCTGCACTGAGCAAAACTCCAATTTTGAAGTAATGCGTCGGCGCGGTTGACAAGTATGGCGAGAGGCGGTGCTTGCAATGCGCTCTACCTTTTCGCACTGTTCCTTACAGTTTTACACAAAATCCCCAAAATATTGTGCACCAACATCGTACCCAGCTTGCAATCCCGTGCAATTTAGGCTGAGTTCTTGAATTTTGGCTCCGCCCCCGACTCCGCCCACTTTTCCCCGGACTTTGCGGGGTCTCCGCAAATTGAGACCCCGCAAATTCCGCGGAGTCGGGGGGTGGAGCCTAAGTTGCAACCTTGGCACGGGTTTTCTGCGCATTTGGACACGGTCATGAGGGGGCGGAGCCTAAATTGCAACCCTAGCACGGTTTTTCTTGACTCAGCCCACTTTCCCCGGTTTTTCCCATTTTCTGGCACGGTTTTGCCGCATGGTTTTTCTCATGATCGCATCCAAATGTGCTAAAAAACCGTGTCAAGGTTGCAATTTAGGCTCCGCCCCTGACTCCGCCCACTTTTCTCCGGAGTTTTTTTTTCCCGGAAATTTTTTTCTCCGGAATTTGCGGGGTCTCCGCAAATTATTTTACTCCTTCAAGTGCGCTCTGTTGCGCATGGCGCGAAGTGTCGAATTTGAATTTAAAAGTTGACATTTTTTCCGGGAAGTCGCAACTTTCAAAAAAAAACTCTAGATATTTTGAGACTCCACCGATTCCGAGGAAGGCGTTGTCTCCGAAGAGCCGATTCCGAGAAAATCGGTGCGGCGTTTCAACTTTTACTTAAATCCGCCTCGAAATCGCTGACGTCTCGATATTTCAGTTGTCCAAAAACCGTTATATTATTCTCCACTCTGGTTTCTGTCATAGAATAGTGAAATCCTCTGTTTTTATCTAGTTTCAAAAATAGTTAACTGATTTTAAATTTAAAATTCGTCATAATTCTCTGTATCGCACCAATTCGATATCATGTTGTACCTCTCAAAAGCATGTCCCCTACAATTTCGAAGGAACATACTTAAATGAGGCAAGAGTTCGACTCGATATCTCTAGAATCCGAAAAAATACTGTAAGACTTTCTTCGCTTGCCCATTTATTCAAAGCAAAAAAAACGATCTTCCTTATTAATAAAACGCTAGAGGCGTCTGTTCGTCCTCGTGTCCGTCTGTGGACTTTTGAAAAAATTGAAAAAAAACATATATATATATATATATATTTACGTGACCCTTTTATTTAGAAAAAGTGAAAAACGAAGCGACGAACATTTGAAAAAAATAGATTGAATCGCGCCGAAGGCGCACCAGCTTGCTGGTTTTTATCTATGATGTTCTCTATTATATAGCTGGATAACCTTATTTGATAAATTTACTCTCAAAACGTTGCCACGGGTGGTTCTTGTACTTCATGATCAGTAATCGTCTCATTAATCTTAGTTCATTCTTTGTTTTTAATTCCAACTGAATTTTCGTTTTCTCAGGTGAAGAATTCACTGCGGAACCAATCATGGAACAATCTTTCAACGACGAAAACAAGCAACAAGGAACTGTGAGTTACATCGAGTTTTCAAGAAATATAACTTTTTTTTTCAGAAGCGGCAACAAATCGAATCTCCATTCTCGGCTGCTACTCCTAAATCGCGACTGGGAAAGGAGCCAAAACGTCTGTTTAGTCTTTCGAATGCGAATTTGGCTGATGCCAACTTAGAGCAAACTTGCATTGAATCGCGTCCGTCCTCTGCTGCTCCCACGGATTCTTCGTTCAGCACAACTGTTGCGTCCAACCTCTCATATCTCGACAATGCCGCGGATCCAAATTTGGAGCAAACTGAAATATATGCTGCTGGAACTTCTGCAAATTCGACCAATTTGAGCATGGTTCAAGAAGGGGACGAAACTGATGCGGATATCACATTGGCTAACAGTTTCAACGAGAAGGTTTTTGTTCAAAAAGGTATCGCTTCTCCGGTTCTCCAAACAACTCCTACTGGACCTAGCGCTTCTGCCAGTATCGTCAAGGAACCAAGGATTCCCATCAGCCCAATCCCAATGGGCGACTTAACTCCAACCGCTCCCACTGCTCTTGCATCATCGAGAATCGATCGAGGACTGGAAACTATTGATACGCACTCGATTGAGTCTATGATGTCCCCGGTTGGACATCTGAAATCTCAAATCGACTATTCTCTGTAAGTTTTTTATTGAAACCAATTTGAATATTTAACGAAATTCTTGCAGCCACGAGTTCGAAATCCTTGAGCAGAAGGTCGAACACGAAGAAGACATTAAGAAGTTGCAAGAGAAGATAGAAAAAATGCGTGAGCGACACCGAGAAGAGCTGAAGCAACTCAATGAATCTCGAGTTTTCGAAGAACAAATGCTGATGCAACAAATGGATGCGGCTGCGAAGAAAGCCAAATCAGATAAGGATGCAGCCAAGGAACGAGAAAAAGAGCTTGAGAACCTAGTCCAAGAGCTCAAGTCGAAAATGACCGAACCCAGCGAACTAAAGCAGCAGCTGGAAGAACTCAGCGGTCGAGTTGAATATCTAACTGAGAAGCTTCAGCAAACTGCAACAGCAAGCGAACATCGTACCAGAGAGTTAGAGAGTAACAACGTTGAGATTCACTTGCAATTGACAAACGCGAAGAGTGAAGTCGAGGAACTGAAGCAGAAGTTGATTGAAGTATCAGTGAGAGCTGAAGAAGAGGTTAGTAAGGCAAAACACAAGGATTCTAAAAATTAATCACTGATTACAGGCTGGACGAGTATCCAATAATGAGCCGTCATCAACGGAAATTATTGATGAGCTGAAAAAAGAACATGAGGAAATTCGTTCTATGCTGATGGAAGAGATTCGTCGCCTTGAGTCTGAAAATTCGAATTTTCAACTCCGGAATCCTACAGAGAATATCGAAAATCAGCGATTGCTCTCAGAAAAGTTATCTCTTGAGCAACAACTGGAAGCGAAGATCAATTACATCAATGAAGAGCTGAAGAAATCGGAGATGTTCAACGCTCATATTCAAGAGTTGACCGCTGCTCTGGAAGTGAGTCAGACTAATTCGGAGACGCTGAAACAGAGCTTGGAAGAGAAGGAAGCCAAGATTCAGGCGCTTATCGACGAAATGTCTTCTCTCCAAAAATCAACTGATGGTGTTGCTCAACTGCGAATCGATCTGGAATCTGCGAATTCAAAAACTCAAGAACTGACTGATTCTCTGAAAAATTCTCAGGATGTTATCGAGGAGAACACGGAAGTGATTCTGAAGTTGAAAAACACCGCTGAAGCATCGCAGACCGAAGTCTCTCAGCTGACAGTTTCGTTGCAAACAGTCACAAGTCAACTGGAAGAAGCTCGTCAACGGCTCGAGTTCTCCGAATTCAAGATTAGTTCTCTCCAAACTGAACTCGAAGAAGTTCGTCAAGAGTGTCTTCTTGATGGAGAATCTGCCGAAGCGAAAATCAAAATACTTGAAGAATCTGCTGAAGATTCTCAATCTATTCGTATCCAGCTAAAAGAGGCCGAAACTAGAATCAAAGAGCTTGAGGCAGCCAAGCAAGCTCTCGAGGAAATCGGTCAAGATTCGGTGACAAAAAATGACGATATCCGTGATCAGTATCAAGAAAAGTTGGAGGAGGCCGAGCGTCAGATTCAAGAACTGCAAACCGCTTTGGATACAGTGAAAGAAGAAACAGATTCAGTTTCGCAAAGAGAGGAGGTTGCTCAAAATAAAATCAACGAACTTGAGGCATCTATTGAAGTTCTCGGAAAAGCTGCTGAGACGAATGAAATGCTCCGATCGGAAATTGATTCAGCTTCAAAGAAGATTCAAGATCTTGAATTACAACTAGATTCCGCACAGAAGTCTTCGGAATTGTCAGGAAGTGAATTAGAGAAGAAGCTCGAATCGTCGCAGGGAGCCATTCATGAGTTGAAAAGCAATATTGAGACCCTTCATGCTGAACTCGAAGCAGCCAAACAGAACTCGCATGAATTGGAAATTCTGAAAGAATCGATGAAAGCACTTCAAGAAGAGAATGTAATTTCACAAGAAACACTCCGCTCCCAACTCGATGTGGCTATCCAGGAAAAACAAACTAACCAGGACAATGTGAATTTGCTTGAAGTTAAAGTTCAAGAATTAGAAGGTTCACTGATGTCGCTAAAACAATCTTGTGCCGAACAAGTCGATGAATTAACCACAGAACTCGAAGCTACTCGCCAAAAGACTGCAGATCTCGAATCCAAATGTCAAGAGCTGGTTAGTGTACACGAAACCGAGATTTCTGAATTCGTTGCGAGAATCGGCGCTAACGGGCAGAAAGAGTCGGAGTTGAGCTCTCTGCAATCAAAGATTTCTGAGCTGAATGCCCAATTGGATAGTGCTCGAGATGAGTTGGATAAAACTCGAATTGTCAATGAGAAAAACGTAGAGGAGCTCAAAACGCAGTTCAACGATTATCAGAAAGAAACCGATCAACAAAAACAGCAGATGGAAGGCATTATGGCAGCGATGAATGTCAAAGAAGCAGAGGTTATCTTATCAGACATTTCAATTTTTATTCTTGTGTTTTCAGCTCGCAGCTCAATCTGTGCAGTACGAAGAAAGAGTTGGACAATTGTCGTCGATGGTCGAGCAGCTACAGACATCTCAAAAGTCTGACAGTGAAGCCAAGATCGAAGAACTCAACGCTCGTATCGAGGAGCTGCAGGCAGGTGTCAATTTCGCTCAGAAGACTCTCGAAGAAGCGGAGGAGATGAAAAAGGAAAAAGATTGCAAGCTTCAACAGTCGCAGGAAGAGATGGAAAAGTTGAGACAACTGGTTGAGCAAGAGGTTTGATTAAGTGGCGATAATTTCAAAAAATATAAAGAAATTACAGAAAGCTGTGTTCCAACAAGAAATTCAACAGATCAACGAAAAGTTGGATGTTGCTGAACAAGCTTTGTCGCAAAAGGAAAACTTAGTGGTCACTCTTGAGTCTCACATCGAAACCATTTCTCACCAATTCGAAGAACGCCTCAAAGAAAGCAACGAACGAATCAAGGAAATGACTGAGTGGAAGTCCCAAGCAATGCAAGTTGGAACAATGGCCGAGTCATTATCACTTTTGCAACAACAGATCAAAGAGTTGTCCGCTAGTCTCCAAGAGTCGAATCGGCGTGTCATCGAAGTGGAAGAGAATGCTCACCATGATATTACTATCATGCAAGACGAGAAGAACGAACAGTCGGCAGCACTGGAAGAAGCCAAAGCTCAGATCGCTATGCTCGAAGATCAACTGAAAAGTGCGCGTAAAGAAATCGAGCTCCTCGGAAAGGAATGTGACCAGTTCGACGATGAGGAGAAAGTATATAAGGAGACGATTTCGGAGTTGCAAGCTGAAATCAAACAACTGAAAGGAGTCAAGACACCACCGAAGGCACTGGGACTCATTCAACAAGCCAGACTAGGGTTCGTCACATGATCGAAAGATTGATTAAGTTAATTACATTCTTTTCAGTGTCAAGCCATTGAGTCGCGAATCCTCTCGCATCGAACAACCGGTCATTGAAGAAGGTTACGAGGATGCTCAAGATTCATTCCAGTCACCGGCTCAGCAGAACCATCAGAAATCCTTCAACCAAACCACTCGTCAAACTGGATCCCTAAGTTTTACTGCTGGAGCAACTATGCTTCATCCTGACGACCAAGCTGTTGGAAGGTCTGCAATTGAAACTCCATCGAAGAAGAATCGGTCGAATTGCCAGCAGCAATAATTACTAGATCTCTCCATATTCGATTAACTTCTATGTGCCATAACCAAGCATTCTGACCCCTGACTATGTCAAATAACATCATTTATTTTATTGGGTCAGAATGAATATTTCACTTTTATCATTATTTAACTTCTCTCAAGTAAAATTGTTCATTTAAAAAAAGGTGAAATTGGTTTAAAAGAGCAAGCAAGACAGGCAATTAACCGTTTGTTGTAATACACAAGTTTTGTAGTCACAGAAAATAGTCGTTGGGAAGAATATTCTAGGAAATGCAGGGTTACACCCAGAACGGTATAACATGTTTCCCAGTTCGTCCTATGTACTGGAATTCTTCGTACCAATAGTAATGCCAGAGAATATAATCGAAGAAGTGATTGATACAAGTACCAACGCCAAAATATAAAATCATAAGATTCAGGTGAGCATTGACAGGATGAAATAGAGCAACGAGCAGCTGAAATAAAAGTACCATATCAAGCTTATTCCGATTTGTCTCACCTTATCAGCAGTTGCTATTGTTAGAATCACTAGTCCAAAACAGTAGGCATTTTGAATGATCAACATCGGCCAAAGGAGTAATGGATGGGGTTTTGGTATGCATAGTGTCGTCCCTGGAAACCATAAAAGATTCAAATTTGCACTTCTTAAAAGTCAACTAACAAATCGTCAATGCAAGTGCGATCATTTGAGTGAAACACCACAAACATCGCATATATCCACCATCCAAGTAGTTGGCAATGCATTCTTGAACCTGAAAACAAAATTCCGCTTTTTGGTTTTTTTTCATCTTCAATATATGGTGAGGGAAGAAAAACTTACATTGATTAATTCGTGAAAGAGACCAAAGTCAAATATGATGACGTCATGCGAGAGAAAGTGGCCCGTATTTGAACGGGTTTCGTTGAATGAGCAATAGAATATCTGGAATTGTTAGTGGGTTTTCTAATTTTTTTTGATATAAAGACAGAGATCCCTTTATGCTTTTTATGAGAACATCGAATCGAACGAAAAAGAACTCTTCTACATACAGTAAAACCTGTAATATAAGAGCCCCTTACTTTTAACTTACACCCAATTTATCTCGGTTCCTGTTTCACATATGAAAAAGTTGCCAACTGGTAAATTGTTTATCATAACAAAACAAACATTTAAGAAGGAGCGATTTTCAAAATTTCCAATTTTCATCCCAAATCACTTCAATTTCCAAAATTTCTGTCAAGTTTCAGTAATTTTGCATTTCCTTTGCGGAGCGAAAAAAATGTTCAAATTTCGAACGTTATTGATTGTCCCTCTATACTTTTGTTCATAACTTTTCTTAAACTTGTCCAATAATCGAAAACTTTTTGTTAAATGTAGCTGGGTTTCCAACAAAACGTTCTATAAGTTTTTTGAAAATGAATCAATTTTTGTGTCCTCTGAATCTTCACAGACGTGACGATGACTCCAGATGAAAAGAAAAATTCCGTCAGAATTTTTTTAAAGATTGGCTTTGTGATGTAAAATGTTTAGTGTAGATCCAAATGTATACGAAAAAAAATTTGGAGCGTTTTGGAACACTTGCTCTTGAGATGTGCTCACTGGAGCATGAAAGGTATGGTTCTAGAGTTTGGCTATAAGTCTGCTCAAAATGATTGCAATTTGTTCAAATTTAGAGAGAATGTGTGTCTTTAATTGTTCTACAAATTACAAAAACAAAACTTTGTTGTCTGGAAACAAAAACATTTTCACAATTTGTTCATTTTTGTGTATCAAAAACGGGTTAAACAAACAAGCAAAATTTTTTGTTCCCAAAATACAACGTTTTGTATGTAATTTTTAGAACAATTAAAAACACACGTTCTCTCAAAATTTGAACAAATTGCAATCAGAATGCAACCACTGAGACGTAGACTCCAGAAACATACTTTTTATGCTCCAGCGAGCACATCTCCAAAGCAAGTGTTCCAAAACGCTCCAAATTTTTTTCGTATACATTTGGATCTACACCAAACATTTTTCATCCCAAAGCCAATCTTTTAAAAAAGTCTGACGGAAAAATTGTTCTTTCTTCCGTAGTCATCGTCACGTCTGTGAAGATTCAGAAGACGTGAAATTGATTGAGTTTCAAAAAAATTGTATGATGTATTGTTTTTAACAAGTGAAGTAACTTCTAATTTGACTTTCAGATAGCTTTGTTTTTACGCATACATTAATTTAGGGTTCTAAGCTTACTTTTTAAGGACTGAGCCTACTTTAATTTCCATAAACCGGTACTAGAAGAACCGGCCCTTCTATTGTTCCAAGGTACCTCCAGAGAGCCCTTCTATTACAGGGGCCCTTCAATAAAAGGGGCCCTTCTATTTTTCTGGCTAGTTTTTTTTCCGAAACTTTGCATCAAAAACATCGACGAAGTTTCGCTCAAAATTCATGAAAATCTGCCAATTTCAACCAAAATTTAGCAAGATTTGCAACGAAAAATAGAATTTCAACAAATTTCTATTGACTTGTGGAGTTCCTGGAATATTTTCCATTGAAAAATTACGGAATTTTTTGATTTTAAAACACATTTTGAAGAGGGTCATTTTTCACAGAGGGTCTTTCTATTACGAGGGCCCTTCGATTATTGCTAAGCCTGCTTTTTTACCCTAAGCCTGCTTTTTAAAGGCTAAGCCTACATTTCAGAAGCTGAAAATAATTTTTAATAGCTGATTTTACTTTTAGGGGCCTTGTTTTTAGTATATCCCGATTTAAGTTGCTATTTTCGTATTTTTTTCACGATTAACCCCGATTACTGTACTCTGACAATAACCACTAGGCTCTGGGGAGAACTCGAACCAACGACGGTTGTTTCAAATTCATCCCTGTTAACCATTAGGCTAATCGGGAGCACGTTAGATGAAGTTTCGATGGTTATTATATACTTAACGTTTTCAAAAAAAAATAACTTTTTCTTTTTTTTTCGGAATTTCTGATTGTAAGATCAAATGATTCTTGAGGTAGTTTTTGGAGTTTCCGAAACTGGAAAAACATCACCAAGTGTTCAGAAAAAAGAAGGAGAAATTGTTTTTCCTGAATAGGCATTTCATAGGGATTTTTTAATACTTTTAAATACTAATTTGAACATTTAAAAAATTATTGGGATAGTTTTTAGAATATTCTAAACTGGCAAAACATAGCTTTCATAAATTTGTAAAAATATTCCGGAATCGGTTGAGAGACACATGTTCAATGAACATTCAAAAATGTTTTTATAAAATTGGGAATCGAAAACTTAGAAAACAAACTTCAAGTATTACCAGAAAAGGGAATTTTTTGCATAGATATTCAGAATTTTTTAGGGATTTTTCCACATTTTGTAAATGTCTTTTCAAGCTCTAAGCATACTTTTTAACAGCTGAAGTAACTTCTAATTTGACTTTCAGATATCTTTGTTTTTAGGTATACATTAATTTAGGGTTCTAAGCTTACTTTTTAAGGACTGAGCCTACTTTCATTTCCGTGAAACTGTACTTGAAGAACCGGCCCTTCTATTGTTCCAAGGTATCTCCAGAGGGCCCTTCTACTACAAGGACCCTTCAATTAAAGGGGTCCTTCTATTTTTCTGGCTAGTTTTTTTCCGAAATTTTGCAGTAAAAAAATCGACGAAGTTTCGTTCAAAATTCATGAAAATCTGCCAATTTCACCAAAATTTAGCAAGATTTTTATCGAAAAATAGAATTTCACCAAATTTCTATTGACTTGTGGAGTTCGTGGAATATTTTCCATTGAAAAGTTACGGAAATTTTTATTCCAAATCACATTGAAGAGGGATCATTTTTCACAGAGGGCCCTTCTATTAGAGGGACCTTTCTATTAAAGGGGTTCTTCTTATACAGGTTTTACGGAATGTTTTTTCTAAGTCTGATTTTTAAGTATGGGCGCCGTAAGCCTGCTTTTTAAAGGCTAAGCCTACACTTTAGAAGCTGAAAATAATTTTTAATGGCTGATTTTACTTTTAGGGGCCTTGTTTTTAGTATATCCCGATTTAAGTTGCTATTTTTTTGTATTTAATACTGATTCGACTACTTTCTCTCTATCCTTTGAGGGGAATAAATTCACTATAATTCGCATCATGCGAATACTGTGGATCCACGTTTCTCATTTTATCATTGGCTCTTATTTCTTTGAAATGTCACGGAAAAAACTGTGTGAAACAATTTTCTAAAAAAGCTCAGCGTAAAAAGTGCCCCCTGGTGTGTAGATACGATTAGGTTCTGTGAATCACGTGAATTTCCAAAATCCCAGAACTCGAACCGTTCAAGTTCTGTGAAAAATCCCAGAAATTGAAACATTCATTTCTAGATCTCGAATATCGATACTAAAAACCCACCTTATTGAAATGAGCAACCGAATAAATGTGTTGTGCAAATGAAACAGAAGCAACAATCAGCTGAAGAAAAGCGAAGAATGTGACCAGTTTTCTATTTCGAAACCGGATTCCGAAGAGGAAAGTGTTCTCGTCTTCCACATGAAACCATCGTAACATTTCCAGAAAACTGAAATGTAATTTTTGATTTCTCGAATATGATGTAGATGAATTCAAAAAAAAGGAAAACCAAAAAAAAATGAAAAAGGAAACACATGATATATCGAAAAACGTGTAACTGGCTGCAATGATGAGGGAGAAAACTTGAGAAATGTTGAAAAATTGCAGCTTATTTTTGGTATAGCCTTCTCTGACTAGACAAATACGGAAATTCGAAAAATTTCCGGTGAGGAGGTGGATGGGTTTTTGCTATTAGAAGATATGATATGGATGATGGATTAACATTCATCACCTTTTTTTATAAATCTGTTAACACGATTAGAGATTATGTTTGATTTGAATGGGACTCGCACTGAAAACCAAGGGATTTGCAACACAATTTTCTGATAGAAAATGTCACTTTTGATGTCATTGAACGGATTTGTAAACGAGAAAATAAGAGTATCGTTGGTGGATCATGAGTCAAGGAAATTCGGTTTAAACATGAATGTGTAACGTTCTGAAAACAAAAAAAATTGTCCAAAATATCTTATAAGTAAAAGAAATGGAATCCGGCATCTGGACAAACTACAATTTCGCGGAATCTGGAATACGGAATCTGGACAAAACTATATTTCAAAGGAATCCGGAATGAAAAAAAGCAAAGAATCCGGGATCCCAACCTCTGCAATATACTCAAAGAGGAATGATTGTGGGTTACGGTAAGTGTACATAGATATCGTAATCAGTCCAATGAAAGCCCACTCAAAACGTCAAATTTGAGCTCATTTATCTCAATACTTGTGAAAGATATCAAGAATGTGTCAACTGATAAAATTTTTGTGAAGTTATGAAAAAAATTTATCAATCGATAACTATTTGTTATCTTTAACAGGAATCGAAATAAATTAGTTTAACGTTAAAAGTAAGGGACCCTTATATTACAGGTTTTAGGGTATGCTAAAACTTCAAGATGAAAGACCCATATGGTGCACACTCATCAGTTTGACTCGAATTCCTCATCCAATATTTCAAAAACTGTCTCAAGTTGGTAACAATGACAAAAAGCTGTTCAATTTCCGAACCTTCCGAAGTTACAGTATTCAATTTGAAAAATCCTAAAATTTTCGAAAAACACTGATTGTATACAGAAAAAATAGAAAACTGATAAATTCTTTGAAAAATAGAGCTGCAAAAATTTTGAACAGGACAAAATGAGGATTTGAAAACTTGGAAAATTTCAGATTTTTGGATTTCTTGGAATTTTAAACAACATTTTTAGTTTAGAATCAATTTGAAAAAAATTCAGAAATTCATTCTAAAAACAGAGCTATAAAACCCTAGAGAATAGAATTGTTAATATCAAAATCAGCTGCTCTTCTGATGTCTTTCTCTGATTCTTTTAGGTTATTGACGCGTTTTTCATTCTGACGTCTTTGATTAGATCCAAAAATAGGTATTGCCTTGTCTCAAATCATCCACCACAAAAAAAGAAAAAATAGAGTCCGGAATCCGCAACAGACATTGTAATGAATTGTGCTCTCATGTTGACGTTGTGCTGAGAAAGCTCATTGAGCAAGTAAAATGGGGCCAGTTCTCGGTCCATTAGAAGGTATCTTTTGTTTCTGTCTAACCGAGCTTGAAACATAATGTGTAGGTGTTATTCGGTAGGACTAGGGTAAAGAAAAAGGAAAAAGGAAAAGAATAGAAAAATGGATGGATCAAAGGAATTGACATATGGAACTGGATAGGGGTCATGAGAAGAAGGAAAAACAAAAAAAGTAAGGTAATGTCATATATTTTGTTTTGTTTCGGTTACCTTTTCAGGTGAAAAACAAAATGGCTTGGAAGAAATAAAAGTATGGAGTTTCATTGGAAACTTTTTGTTGTCAAGAAAGTAATGAATATTCAATTCTTCTCAATAGAAAAGGCATCCTGATTCAGACAAATGATATTCGTCACAGATTGAGAAAACAATGAAAAAAGTGGTGACGAGTAATTTCCCATGTGTAATCAGTCAGACACATTGAGTGGAAAAGTACTTTAAAGCTTCAGAGAATCTTGAAAAGGCTTTTCAAAACCAGCAGGTGTCTTTCTATCCCTAGTTCACCTGTCGACTCATTTTGAATAGTCGTAGGTATAGAATAGGAGAGAAAAATGACCGAGGTCCAAAGATTCGAGGCAAATATGACTAAGCTCTCTCCTTCTTCTGAATACCTCCAATGCAAATTATTCAAATCGTCAGAATTCAACTTCCGTGCTAGATCTAATAGGAAAAGTCTAAAAAATGACCTATATAATATATAGGCTATATTCGTGGAAAATTTTCTAACTTCATTATTTTTTGTGAATACAAATTGCAAAATATAGGTATATATAATATATAATATATTTGACAGAAAACGAATACATTAGAGCACAAAAAACAAAGAAAAAAAAAACAAAACAAAAGTCATTGGCTGAATTGGTGGGCGGGGAGAGAGGAAACGAGAAGAAATATATGGAATAACGAGCCAATGAAAAAAAAACACCAAGAGAAAAAACCGAATATTTCCCTTTTCTTTCAATTCGGAATGCGACAAAAACGACAAAGACAATGGGATCTCTGTATCGGGTAAATAGCCACTATTCTTGACTTTAAAGGCGCGAGTAAAGTTTTTCTTGTGTCTTTGGTGCCCCCACATTCAACGTTTTGTTCCTTTTTTCTCTCTGCTTTTTTCCATCTAAAATTCTCATTAGATCTAGCCCACTTTTCTGTTTTGTCATCATCTTTTTCCATTTTGTAGGCGCGAAACTTGAAAAATATTGACGGGTTACACCGGTCGATTCTCAGAATTTTTGTGTTGGTATCACTAGAATCTAAAGGGGCTTTCCTGTTTTCCCATTTTCAGATAACTCTAAAATAATTTGATTTTGGGAAAAAAGCAACAAAAAATGTTCGGTAAATTTCGGTAAATGTGTCGGGTTGAAAAAAAATTGCCAACAAGGTATACAAAAGCGTGGTTTTCAGTTGATTTTCACAATTTCCAAGAGTTTGGAGCTCGGCTGTCAAGTGTCTGATCATTTTATAACTGCTGAAGGTTATAAAACAGACCTGAATTTAAAACTTTGCAATCACAGAATTTCTTGAAAATTCCTAGTTTTTCAGCCATTCGCCGATTTTGAAGAACACCCCTATTTTTTCTATTTTTGTACTGAAATGTGAAAAAAGCAGGTGTCGTTCAGAACTCGGCGAATAACTGAAAAACAAAGAATTTTCAAAAAAATTTGTGAGAGTTTTCGATCCAGGTCTGTTTTATAACCTTCAAAATTTTCTTTTTTGTATATGCTTATAAATTTTTAATGCAATAAAAACTTCGAACATTTTCATGCGCAAAAATTTTGCTCGGAGTCTCTCATTAACAAAGAAGACGAAACGAAAACTTTTCAAACTAGTTTTGAAGACCTCGAAGAACTTTTAATGTACTAAAAGTTCTAGGAAAGTCAATGACTATTCCACACATTCAGTGGATACCGTAATAGTCCAAAAGTTGTTTCAGATCACACAAAAAAAACCATCAGCAAAGAAAATCTATTTCAAAAAAGTTAACTTTCCATTAACTTCAACCTAATTTACGTCACATGTTAATAAAGAAAAATTGGATTTTCTCGATATAGAAAAAGAATTAGAAAATAAGGATATAGAGTCTCCGGAACTAGCTGCAAAATAAAACTTCTTCCTAACTAACAAATCCAATCAACTGCATTTCCAAACTTCCAATGACAATTTGCCTCTTCGATTGTTTTTTTTTCTTATCGTTGGGAACAATCAGAATTCCCTTGAAGCGTGTCTAGACATTTTATTTTGGTAAGTCTTTTGTGACTGTCATCTAAATCTGCGTTCCAATAATTGGGAGAAGCACATGGTGGCGTTCCCCCGAGAGAATACAATTTCTAGTTCCAAAAATTGAACTTTGGCGGAAATCGATAGAAGACACTTATCCATTAGATAGAAAAAACAGGCAAACGAGAAAAAAAAGTAGTTGAGAGTATTAACAAACATCAAACGGAATGTGTAAGTATGAATAACAAATTGGAGAGCTCTGAGACTTTGGAAGAAGAAGAGAAAAGAGGCATAGAAGAAGGAAATGAAGAAGATAAACAACAAAAAGGAGCCGCCAATTTGAGAATTGGAGCTTATAAATTATAAAAGGGCCCGGCCGGGCCTGAGGAAATTTTCAAGGCCCGGGCCCGGCCCGGAAGGCCCGGTGTCAAAAATTCTGTATTTTTGAGCCAAATTTTGAGGTCTCAATATAATTTTTTCCATTTTTTTCGTATTTCGGATTATTTGTCTGTCTGATAAAAAAAATCGAAAAATTCGAAAAAAATTTTTTTGGTCGAAAAAAATCACATAAGGGTCCCCCCTTATGTGATTTTTTAAAAATTTCGAAACTAGTGAAATGACGGGCCCGCCGGGCAGGGCCGGGCCGGGCCTTCGAAATTCCGGAAAAAGCCCGGCCCGGCCCGTTACAAGTATGGTGGAAACTTTTTTTTCTTCTTGAAAAGAATCAGGTGGACATCCCCGGAGTTACGAAAGAAATTTGTTTACTATTAGATGGAATACAATTATAATTTATTGTTGATGATTCGTTCTTTGAGTTTATTATTTTAGACATTTATTATTATAGATTTCTGTTGCTGTTTTTGATTTCTGTATTTTAGTTATCTCAAAATCTGTAATAGCAGAGCCCCCACACTGTCAAGTTTGAGCTCAATTATCTCAATTCGTATACAAGATATCCAAAATATGTTAACTGAAAAAAATACTTTTGATATTTCGATAAGCATCATGACAACTTTTTTCTATCTTTCACAGGAACCGAGATAAATTGGATCAAAGTTACAAGTAGGCTAGCCAAAACGGCGTTTTCTGGCGCCACACGCCGCTTTTAATTTTTGCACTGGCCGCCAGTGCCAGTTTTCAAAGCGGCGTGAATCGCTAGCAAAATTTTTCACAGGCATTTAACACCAGGTTTTTAAAATATGAATTTTTCAATAGAAAATACTTCATAGATACTTCATAGAGAAAAGATTGAAAAAGAAAAAAAAACGACAGATGATCCGAAACAGTGAAATGGAATGAAATTGATATTTTTAGTCCTTCGAAATATTTGATTACTTCTGGAATTCTGTTTGAAATTTTGAAAATTGGTGTCCGGAGCTTTTGAAAAATGTTTTCCGAAAATTCAGAATTTCCGAATTTTAAAAAGTCTTTGTGTGATTTTGAAAGTTTATGGATTTCATGAAACTCTACACTTTCCTGAAAGTTTCCGAACTTCGAATTTTCAGGATTCAAGAATTTTTGAATTTCCTGGAAATTTCAGTGTTTTCATCGTTTTTTAACAACTATTTTTGGAGTTTCTGTACTGTCATGCTTTACATTATTGAACGATCAAAAATGTTTTGATTCCTAAATTTTTGAAGTTTAAAATGTCAAGATCACTAAACTTCGGAGTTTTTTGAAACCTGCATTCTGAAGTCCCGAAAATCAAAGTTTACAACTTTAAATTCTAAAAAACTAAACAACTACTTTTGAACTAAACCTCGATCCAGACATAATCACAATAACTATTAATGGAAGACTAGTGGTAACTTCTCAAACACCAAATTCGTTCTAACACTTTATAATTGCCATTCTATCTCTTTAACCTCCATTATCTGACTTGACATTTGGAGCATTTTATCAGTTGACGGTTATTTGCTATCGTTCATAAGAACTGAGATAATTAAAATTGAAGCTACAGTGAGGGGATATTGGTGAATCAAAAGGTAAATTCTATTCTCAAAAAGAAAGCGGCGTTTGACGCCGGTTTAAATTTTAAACAGGCAAATATTGCCTGCTTAGAAATTTCGCTGGCTTTTAATGTAAATCACGTGAAATTGAAAGGTCCATAGCTCTGGCACTGGCGGCCAGCAACATCCCTAGTTACAAGTTAAGGGGTCTTTCTATTACAGGTTTCACGGGGATTACAAAAGTCAGTTTTAGAACAAATCTTACCAATTTCTCTTTCATAATATTGGAAAAACTATGTCTTGTTGCTGAAAAAACAGGTGAAAAATAATAAAAAAGATATTTAACTTTCATATAATTTTTCTTGGAATTTCACATCAAACCCAATAATCACTTCTAGTTAGAATTCTTTCTTTTTTTCAAAACGTTCTCTGCTCTCTTCCGTATTTCTCTCTTTATTTTCAAACGAATAATTCATAGATCCCCAGTCAACTGAAATTCATAATGACGTGCTCAATTTCCATTAATTTTAATTTTTTTCAAATCGAGAAAACTCGGTCGAATATCATTAACAAGTCTAGGGAAAAAAGGGAGAGGAGGAAATAATTTCATGAATCACTGATTTCCTGTGGGAATTCTGAAAGAGAAGGTGTTAGTAGAAGGAAATTGAGAGGCAAACAACTGGAGAGGGACTAACAGTTACGGCCGGACTAAAGTTTGTACTAGCATAAAGTTTGAGTTTAGCCTTTTACATGGCTCAAATTTGGACTGTGAAAATTAGAAACATTCATCAATAAACTGGCCAAGTTTCAAATTATTTGGTCAACTTTGAGCTGAGTTATTGCTTGTCAAAGTTGTTTCATCTCTTGAAAATTACAAGGAACGTTACGCCGTTCATCTTTGGACAATCAATACAATACCTAGATTTGAGTAGTCACATTGAAACTCTCAGGCGCTTTGAATCAAATGTAAAAACTACATTTCTACTAATTTTCAAACGTCCACGATACCTATGTCTGAAGATATACCCACTTTTATCAGTCCGGGTAAACTTGCGTAACCCTGTATGGTCTCACGCCCTTGTTTCTATTGAAAATGTATTCAGTTGAATGTACTAATTTTAGATGGAACCACTTTCTGAATAAGACTTCCCAGAAGGTCCTCTATTTTTTGCACAAAATATTTCGTCGACTTGAGACTGACTGGAAGACAAAAAAAAACGACTGAAAACAAAAAGAACCACCCGTTCGGGGGGCACCGTGTGCACTTTCTTTTTTTCTCCAAGACAAAAAAGAAGAGCAGAAAGAAAAAAGTGTGAAATATAATCATAAAAATATGTTTGCCCAATTCGGGTTCCAAATCAAATTACCATCCCAGAAACCAAGGATAAAGAAGGAAAAAGAAAAGAAACTTTGAACTACCACTGGTGAATATATCTGTTCTATGGAGAGAAAATGAGGGTGGGTGGAAAAGAAAATACAAAGTGTTTAAAGTAATTATGAACGAGGAGAAAAGTTATTAAAAAAAGACATCTGGAGCCAGAAAAAAGGTTCTCAGTCTGACATTAACTTGAAAGAGAATTTCGAAAATTAAAGACCAGAAGGCTGGGATTATGAATTTCCGATCTAAAAGAACAATACCGAAAATAGGTTGTAGACGCAGATTTTTGAGTTCCTATTCCTACGATTCAAAATAAAATGTCAAGGAGGAAATGAAGTGAAAAACACGAGAGAGAAGGAATATGAAAAATCAAAACCAGTGAAGCGAATTCAGATTCAAGATTTCCATATTTAGTGAGAAAACCATATGGGCTGGAAGTGGGTCGTTGGTTCACTGACATGGAAAAAAATCATGCTTGAATTACAAAGATGTACTTATCTTATGACTGCATGACGTTATTACATTGACTACCATAACATCTCTAATGGGGTTGACCTTCAACTTTGAGCCAATTTTTCTCTATTCTTGGGATAGCAAACAGTAGTTAACCAACACAAACGTTTATCGTACAATCAGAAATAGTTTACTACTTTTTGATATCTTTCACAGGAGCCCAAAAAAATTGGCTCACAGTTAATGGTCAGGATACAACTCAATTACAGATTTTGGCTCTACTTTTGGTTCTTGAGAAAAATTTTGGTCTTGTGGAAAAAAACAAATTAAATTGGAATGAAAAAAAGCTCTGAAATTAGCTTAACATTTGTGAACCCCTTGAAGGATTAACATTTTTCTGAAGGTCTGAAGTTTATTAGGGACCAAAACTTTTTTGAATGACGAAAATTTCATAATAGAGCCGAATAATAGTCGGCTAACGAAAAGTTTGTTATAATATTCAACAAAAATGTATATGTACATTTTTTAAATAACTTTAACAGGAATCGAGATGAATGGCTCAAAGTTGAAAGTCGGGGAGCCCTCCTATTAGAGGTTTCATGCTATTTTACGAGTCAGGAATTATTCAGGTCAAGAGATTTTTCAAATATACACAATATTAAATGCATTTCGGATAAACTACTGTCTATTCAATAAAACGTGGGCGCGCCGCAGGTTGCAAAGTGACACGCCCCTTTTTGTGACGCGTTCACTTTTCTCTCTTCTCACGCGTTTCAAAAATGGGCGTGTCACTTTGCAACCTGCGGCGCGCCCACGTTTTATTGAATAGACAGTAAGAACATTTAAAATATATCGCGGATTCCTCCAATTAAATGCTCCTCATCTAGATGTATACCAATCATAAGTAATTTCTGTAGTTCTCAAAAAGAAGCAAAAAAAGAAGAAGGATGACTTGAAACATGACATGTCATCTCCATATACAAAACCTTTTTCTTCTTCTTCTATTCAACACGCGAATCTTGTCTGAAATGTGACACTAACACATTGAAAAGGCAGAGAAGAGTGACAAAAAAGAGTCTGAAAGACACAGAAATAAATCAGGAGAGCACTAATTATGAGCCCATCGGATTCATGAGACAGATGAAACGAGAAATCGGCGAAAAAAGTCAAGATTCTTTCGTTGGTTTTCCGTCTCTTATTCTATTCATTAACTATGCGGGGGTTGGGATGGAAGGAGAATCGGAAATTTACATGTTTCATTTTTCATGAAATCAGCGTCTATAGATTCAAGCATGTGTTTCTAATATTGGTAACCGATTTTTAGTCTCCATGTATTATTCTAGTACAAAATAATCGGAGCTGTGGAAGAGAAACGCCGGTGGCGGATTTTTCCACAACGAAAACTTCAGTAACCTGAAATATTTTTATTTTCGGAATTAATTTTCTCGTTTTCACTGCTTTTTGTCTCTATTTCCTGTTATTTTCTCCAAGATATGCAGAAAACGCACAAAAGTCGAGAAAAATAACACATATTTAGGTTACTGTAGTTGTCGTCGTGGGACCGTTGCCCACGGCCACCGGCGTTTCTCTAACACAGCTCCGATTGCATTGAGCAGCAATTTCCTGATTTTCAGACGCCCTGTTTCAATTTTTATTGACACCATGAAGATTTTTGAAACCGAAAAATTGTTTGTATTTTTCCTTTGGACTGATGAGTGTGTGTTCAAAACTGTTGACAAGATCTTTAAAAGTCATAAAACTGTGTGAAAACAGTTTCCTAGTGATTCAACTTGAAGAATCAAAACTCGTTATCATCAACTTTTGAAGGAATCTGATAAATTGTTTTGTACATTTACAACTCGATTATTTATGAATCATCATTTATTAAATAACTAAAAAAGCTTGGAGCAAAAATTAAGGCAATGATAAATCAAAGTAATAGTAAATGAAGGCGGCGTCAAACACAAATACATGAAGTGAATTTTAGATAAAAGAACGGTTAAAACTGTCTCCTTTTGGTAAGCGAAAGCTGGGAAATTGTTTTGGATGTCAAGGAGATCTGCGTATTAAAAAAAAGAATAAAACGAGGTGAAGATCGCGAAAGACGCCCGTCTAAAATTAACGATGTAGCTGATAGCTTATGGCATATTGATGGATCCGCACGCATACATGTAAAAGTTATCAGCGTTGACCGTGGCAGCTGGCTTCGATCTTTGAGGAGATGTGAGGAATTGGAAAGAGTCTGAAGGAAGAAGAAGTTGACGTTGGAGAGAATACAGATTAATTTTACCTTTCCCAGCCTTTGGAGTGAGAGAGAAAAGTTGACAAGCCGAATTCCAAAGACCTCCTTGAGTTGGAACTTTCGATGCAGCGACGCTAGCTGATGGAACTCCTTGTTGGACAGATGTAGCAGACACGGCGGATTGAGTAGCCATTTTGTAGATTTTATATGGAGTAGCTGAAAAAATGAAGGTTTAAAAACAGAAAAGATTTGGTGAAAGAAAAAGGAAAGTAGACAAATGAAGGATGGTTCTAACTCTAGATGCGGCATCGACTGTAACAACTCAAAACACAATTCAAAACTGCCAAATAGTGCTCTCGTACAAATACTTTTAAGTTGTCGACAGACGCAATCCATTGACCTCTCATCCAGTCAAAACATCTTAAAGTGGATCCTTAGCAGCTCAAAAACATAAGTCTCTTTTCATTTTGCCTCTCCTTATAAACAATTTCAACTTCGCCCGCCACTGCTTTCTTATCTCAAGTGATAACAGATCAGTGAACATAAATACAGGCAAAAATATACTATCAAAGGAAGTCAAAACAAGAAAAATGACGTCAGCTTTTTAGACTATGCGCCGCCCCCTTCAGCTGTCACCTTTTGTTCTACTAGCCCACGTGGCAGATTTTACTTTACGATCTAGATCAAAAATTAGAAAATGGACTTTTGATAGTTCCCACTTGGGTTCAAGCGAGGGGGTCAGAAAGCGCGCCCCAGTAAATTTTTCAAAAATTCTCAATTCGCTGCCGAACTTTGTTGGCTGAGTATCACAGTTTTAAACGATGAGCGAAAATACGCGCGTTGCAACCCGTTGATTTTTAAGAAATAGATCATGATCAAGTTCAAACCCGCGTTCATTTTAAAATTATTAAATTTCTTCTGGCCTATGAGTTTGCTGGGGCGCTTTTTCTGACCCGTTGCCTTGGACCCAAGTGAGTTCCTTTTTGGCTGAGAGAACAAATTCAGATATTATTTTTAGTAAATATATTTGAAAAGGTATTCTTTCATTGTTCAACTTATGAGGAAGATAATCAGAAAGCGAGAAGAAGACATTTTTCGAAACGCCTGTATACCAAATATAAGAATCATAATGCAATCATCTTCTTTTAAATGTGTTAGCACAGTTGTGAACTTATTATCAATGAATCTTCAAAAGTACATATTCGAACAATAGATCAAATGAATGAAATCCGTAATAAGAGAGAGTACAGCTTCAACGAGAGACACAGAGAAAGGAAATAGAAAGTGCACCCACAAAGAGTATGAATTTGGGCCCTCAATGAAGAAGGAGAATGAGAGGGTGTATTTGTACTTTGGCGTGATGAATGAGTGTCTGAGCGAGGGCGCGGAGAGAAAAGAATGGGACAAAATATGAGTTTGCAACGAAATGAATACGATAAGCTAGGTGAAAAAAGCGTTAAAACCACTTAGATTCCCAGAATGGTAAAGAAACAGAAATGAGCAACATTCAAGGTCTATAGAAAGTGTTTCGAGTAATTATCTCGAAGCATTCTGGGGACCTGAAACATTTGTCTCTTTTTCTCTCCGTTAGCTTCCGCCTCCCGCAGTTTTCCGGAGAAAAACTAAAGAGAAATGAGAAAAAGAGTGACGTCGAAAGATTATTAGAAGGTCATATCCTGGTGGTTCTTTGTGCATTATGAAAAGAAACGTGCACAGAAAGAATAGAAAACGACGCATTGAATGGGAGAACGTATTCCACCGTCTGCAGCTGTTCACCGCTCTAGGCGTCTGTGCGTTTTGGCGGGCACAAAATGTTTGACAAGTGAGCGTTCGGATCGATTTACTTTGTTCTTATGGGCGAATGTGACAAATAGAGCATTAATCGATTCACTGAGATTTTGAGACAAGAAATCTATTAACCCTTCAAATGCTTTGGGAAGGTAAAAATCGTTCAGAACATCCAAAAAAAAATTCAAGAAAGTTGCACAGAAAAAATGTTTTAAATTATGTTGTGCATGCAGAAAAATCAGTGTACAGTAATCCTTGCATACCGTAGTTTCGGTAAAAATATAAAAATTCTGGGGCATTTTCTGGGAAACAACTCTCATTTCAGGGGCGGGATGTTAGAAAAACTTCGATCAATCGGGTGTGACAGCTCGAGTCTGGTGCTCGTAATCAAAAAAAAAAAATCCCAACGCATAGTGAGAATTTTGAAAAAAAATAGCACAGAGTGTAATATCACATGAAAAAAAGAGAATCACTCGAAAAAATTGTGAAAAGATAACGGATTTCAATCCTGATTATCGGTCAGGTACCCACTCGTGACCCGTCAGTTGTCTCAAAGCGTCTCAATAAGAAGAAAAAAGAGGTTCCGTGTTTTGGTCTTAAACAACATATGTTTATTTCATTGAAAGAAAGATCTCAAGAGTTCGCTGTCGTCGACGTAGCACTGCCAGATGTTTGAATGATTCTATTGACTGTAATCGATGCTCCAGCTTTCAGAACAATCTGAAAACAGAAACAGAAGTTGGGTTCTCGAATTTTTCAGAAAAACCATACCAAATCTATTTTCTCATTGCAAATGATTGCGTCAGTGTTGATTCTCAAATCAACTGTCTCGGTGAAACTTTTCATGTCGGCCAAGAAAACGTTTGCAACAACAGAAGTCAAATCGGGACACTCGTCAGCACCAACCCTGGATAAAAGTTTCGAAATTTTAAAGTTTATTGTAACCCACTTTCTATCATTTACCGTGCAATTTTCATTTTCTCGGATGAGTGGCATCGTAGGAGAATTGGTGAAAAGCTGAACATCTACCCCCTGCAATCAAGAACTTGTTTTCAGCCAGAGGGATAATTTTACCGTGTTGATGGCCAACTTCCAAATAATTGGAACACAAATAGGGTCAGAAATGTTACTGATTATCAGACGAGTGAAGCATTTTGCTGTTGACATCAGGAGAGGAGACCATCCATGAACTATCTAGATTCAAAGAATATTTCTAGTATAAAGTAATTGTATAAATATCTGTTTAGAACCTCGAACTTGTCTCTGAAATTTTCAATTTTGCAACCATGTGTTCTATAGACCATGATAGGCCCCGAAGAGATTATCTGAAGAAATTTTACAACGAATTCTTGTAAGCACAAGCGATTACTGACCATTTTTTCTGAACCTGGAAAATTTCCAAGAAACTGTAAATCCTTTTTGAACCCCATCAATTTTATTGAGAATTTTTTAACAGAGAAATAATAATAATTTTAAATACAGAGGAAAATTGAATTTTTAGAAGAAGGGATAAGAGTCAATTCGAGTAAAACAACACGTGTGGGAAGATTAATTTTCCAGTCGGCGTAAAATGTTGGCTGCGAGATCGTCGACTTGTTGGTTGAGGAATTCGTTTTTGTGACGCTTCTGAAAATTAGCACTTATCATAGAAACAAATTATTCATGTACTAGCCTCTTCTGTTTCTTGAATGATGTTCTTAGTTTCCTCCCGGTCAGCAACTTGAGCGTTCGCTCGTGCAGTGATTGTGTTGCCCATTCGTTGAATTTCATCAGCATTCAATCCTTGCTCTGACAGGTGTGGCAGAAGTTCTGCGGTTAGCTGAAAACGACTAAATAATATGAATATATTCAGAACTTGTCTCACATAGTGGTTTAGGAGATTTTTCTTTTCTTTTTCGAACAGCCCCAAACATTCATCTGGAATAGTTTGTCGCAGCTCTGCCAGTGTTTTCTGATCATTATCGATATCTAGTTTCATCTGATTGTTCGTCTCTTGAAGTTTCAGAATAGCTGAAAAATTATTCATTTGTTTTCAATCAAATTATAAAACGTACTTTTAATTCTTTCCGCTTTTGGCAAAGAGCTCCAGCTGTTTGTCGACATATTGTGTGGGCTTTTCGTTTCCATTTTACTGAAGATATCGTTGAAAATCAATATGAAAACAAAAAACCGGTGCTAAATACAAAGAATTTTCCATTTTGAAGAAAAAGTAAAAAGAATAATCGAATTGAGAAACAAAATTGCGAAGAAACATAAAAAACCAAGACCGAAAGATGTCGTTTTCAAATCTCGCGGGTGAAATAGCGGTGTTTTTACAAAACGCGCCCCATTGCGAATCTCAAATTATTTTCACAAATTTCCTACATTTTTTGCCTGATAAACTGATAATTTCAGGATAAATCTTCCTCAACGGGTCTCGCGATGTCTAAAGCAGAGCTAGCCGTTTTGGAGCGTCGGCTGCGCCCAATCTACGGTTCGCGAAAAACTACCCTTATAGGCATATAAATGTTAAATTCATGTTGCAGACAGTCTAGATAGTCACAACTACAAAAAAGCATTGACAGAATGCGACAAAGTGCTGAAGAAACATCCTGCAACGGTCGCAGCTAAAGTACTGAAGGCGTTGGGATTGATTCGGTTAGATCGACTAGCTGAAGCGATGGATATTCTGGACGTTTTGGATGTAAAAGGAGCTCGTCACGACGAACTTACTCTACAGGCTTTTGTTCATTGTTACAGGGTGAGTAGAAAACTGCCTATAGTTTATCAAAGTTTTCATGTGGTTTCAGGACAGTAATCAGCACAAAAGAGTGATATATCTTTACGAGAGGGCTATCGAGGTTGACCCTAGTGAGCAAAACATGACTCAACTGTTCATGGCTTATTCCCGAGAAAAGATGTACAAGGAGCAGCAAAAAATCGCCATGCGTCTTTTCAAGGATGTGGGTTCAACTACCTACTACTACTGGAGTGTGATGTCTCTATTCCTGCAGGTGAAAGGTGGTAGCTTAAAACCAGTTTCAATCAAATCTTGCAGGCTAGGGAAGACAAAGAGCTTGGTAAAAAGATGCTTCTGCCATTGGCAGAAAAAATGTGCAAAACTCAAATTGAGAAAACCAATTATACCGAGGGTTCGTCAGCTGAACTCGAACTTGAGTTGCTCATTTTGGATGGACAAGAGAAGTGGAAAGAATGTGCGGAATTCGTTGACAAGCCTCGAGCGATTGGTCTTCCGGTCGCACCGCATAATTTGGTGGAAAAAGGAATGGAGTATTATATGAAAGATGGACAATACAATCTCGCCTATGAGTTGGCTGTTGGGGTTGTTGAGACTATGTAAGCATCGTCTGTTTTAGATACGTTTTTGATGATATTTTACCAATTTAAGGCCTGACAACTGGAATCTCTGGAGGATCCTTGTAGCTTCAACAATTCGTATAATTGAAAAGATGGCTCTTTCTCAAAACAAAGAATATCAAGAAGGGTATATACAGTAATTGCTTTCGATTTTCAAAAACAAAATTTTCAGGGCTCTATTACTGGTAGAAAAGCTCAGTGAACTCATCGAAAAAGTTCAACAAAAATCCGAGTTTAAAATTCGTGGACCCTACCTAGCTTCTTTTTTGACACTGAAAGTTTTTGGAGAGTCTGCTGCAAAAGTACCAGGATTAGAAGATTTGACACCCCATTTCGGAGATATAGTGGAGAGAATGTTGGTATACGTTCGGAACTTCTATAAAAAGCCAATTTGTTTCACAGATTTACACATGGTCAGATAAATTGAATTTGTAATCAAAATATGAGTTTCTCTTTTTTTCAGTACTTTGGAGAATTGAACGAGGAGCAAAAACAACAATTCTTGAAAGGTCTCACTTCTTGGATGAATGACATTTCGAGTGAAGAACAAGTCGAAGGAGATGTATGAATGGGGTGATACACGAATGAAAAGTAATTGTTTTTTGTAGGAATCAAAAGTGTGGGCTATACTTCTGACGGAGCGATGCCGTCGTGCTCTAGGAGATTACGAGAAGAAAACATCCGAAGACCATCGATCTCTTTTCCAGCAATTCATAGCGCAGATTGCAGCGGTAAAGACATTCTCAGAGACTTGTATTAATGCAACGACTTCTGTTACAGAAAGGAAGAAGTGAGCATGCTCAAGGAGTTTTGTGCAATTTCGCCATTTCTCACCTATGGGATGCTTATCGCAAAGAAAGTGAGTTACTGTGTTTATTCATTGATATTCGAACACTTGCATTTTCAGATGACTTGGAAAAGTTCTACGAAATGATTCTTCTTCTTGAGTTCGTGGCCACCAGTAACAAAACTGATCCTCTGTGCAAGCTTGCTTTGGTCAGAGCATATTCATCACTGTGTAAGACTTTGAAGTAGGAGTTGAGTCTAATTAGAACCTTTAATAGGTATTACTGGACGCATTACTGCTCTTTGGAAAGTTCTCGACATAAAATCTGTTCAAAACGATACATTGGGTTATCTGACTTTCCCGGTTTATGAAACTTCCGGTCGGTTCAACCTCGCGATCATCAACTGTTCTCAATTGAGTATAATGTATGATCAGTCTGAGAAAGAGGTTTGAATCGAAGAAAATGAAAAAGTTAGCAATCTATGTCTTCCAGATTCAAGATTCAATTGCCCAGGCGTATCGTCAAGGTAAATTCACTGCTATTCCTCCCATGACGGCTGCCAGTCTGAAGTTGCGTCTTTCAGTGCAGGTAAATCGCATTTAGGGAACGCTTTGATTGTTTAGAAACGATTTTAGAAAACCGCGGCTGAAGTGATGAACCGATATCTCTCGTCTCTGTTCGTTCTGGAAGATTTAGACCAAACAACTGTAACGTTGTGGGGAGATGACGATCCGATTGGTGAGACACGCATCGGTGCGAATGTAATAAAGCGGTTCTTGTACAATACATAATTTCAGATTGGAGCAAGCTCGTCGACAATCGAGACTTCTCCGTTCTTCCATACACGGAGACTCCCGAGTATGAGAAACTTTTGGACGATATGAAAAAGAGAACTTTCCAAGAACTTGTGAGTCGTAATCCTCAATCAATAAATATGTATGGTTGAAAATAACAGATTGATATCTCTGAACTTCGCAGTACAATGTGTCGTGCTCTGGGAGCAGTCGGACGAGTTACTATGGATAACATGGATCCACGACTTGCTCGCGTTCAACTGAAAATGACCGTCATTGAATTCAAAAAACATCTCGAGTACTGTTGTAAAGAGTATCCTTCTTTCCTTATCCCTTCAAAACTGGCTCAATCCCCCGCTCCTCAACATTTGTCCCAATGGGTTCATTCGGGTGGTCCTCAAATGGTTCTAGAATATTTGGAGGCTGCTGTTAAACTCGTGGAAATTTTGGATTCCGGAGAGCATCCTGATGTTGAACTGGTTGGAACGAGAACAGAGATGGCGAAGAAGTTGATTAGTAAGTGACGTCGGGGAGCATTGTCAAAACATATCTAAACTATTTAGAACTCATTGAAATTCAACCAAAACGCAATGAGAATGAACCACTTCCACCATTCTGGATTGTTGACCCAATTATTAAATCATCAAGAGCTCTCCAAACGATCGCTGCTATTCAAATCGTTCTTCAATTTATTGAGAAACTGGTGATGAAGTTGGTAAAGAATGTTCCGACAACTGCGCCTGGTTTCGGAAAACCGAAGGGAAAGAAGGAGAAGAAGGTTGCAGAGGAGGTTTTTATATTAGAAATTTTGAAAAGTAGAGCTTCTTCATTTCAGGCGGTTGCTAAGGCTCTTGAGGAATGCAAGGCTGTCATATTCCTCGAACATATTCGTTCGAAGCATGTTGAGCTTCGATACGCTGGAAACTTCCTTCATACGCACTTCAGGCAGATGATGGCATATGAGGACAAGAACGTTCCAGAAAAAGTCGGCGAGGGTCTCGGAAAGGTACAGTCATGATTGAAAATTTAATCAAGCCGTAATACCGTATTTTTAGGCTCAAGTAGTTCTTCAAGAAATGGCTCCAACCATCGAGTCTCGTCTTCAAGTTTCGTTCCTCAACGCCTTCGAGGACATGCACACAACCATCAAATCAAGATTCTAAATTATTTATTTGCTTGTTTAAAATATTTCGTTCAGTAGTTGTTTTTTGTAGTTCAGTTATGTTCATCTTGTTGTTTTTTTTTCATTTTGTCCCATCATCCCTTTTTCCTTGTCCCCCAAAACATAATCATATGTTAATTACAGTTGGATCTCTGTGGATCAAACACACCCTCCGATGACGTTTTTCCCAACAATAATGATTTCAATTAGTGTTTTGTATTGCTCCCTTTTTTTCTTTATCAAGTCCCCGATATGATATTTAAAGATGAATTCCACAGTTTTTTTTTTCATTGACTTCTTTGTTCCTTCTCTCTGTTACCCTTTTCACAGAGCGGTCATCGATGTGACCAATAAGCGAAAAGACACCATGAAATGACATATAGACTGTTGCGCCGTGTGGAGTTTTAGACATTGACACAAGGGCGCCATTTTCTCTACCTTCTTTTTTCTATACCTACTTCTTCCTACCCTACACAACGGACGTTAATTTATATCGGTTGCAGGGCACACAGGCCGTCAGGCCAACCTTCAAATCTCATTCACTTGCGGTTCGCTTTTTCCCCCCCCCCCCCCCCCCCCCACAGGACGAAAAATCGTTTTTTTTTGTCACACTGATACATTGACGAGAGAATCAGAAGACGTCACACAACATGTTCGATCGTATAAACTGCATCAGATTTAAGTGAAACATAACAAAAACAGTCTTTTTAGGCTGGTACAAAAAATCGGAGCTGTGCACGAAAGTACCACACAACTACAGTAATCTAAAACAATTGTTATTTTCCGGATTTTTTTTTTCGAATCTCGTGCGTGTTCAGTCATTTTTTCACTATTTTTTGGAGGACTTTTTTTGGAGGCAACTCCGATTTTTTGCACCAGAATAATGGTTCCTGGCTCAAAAAACTAGTAATAAGAAGTTATCAATTTTGAAAGTGCAAGCAAATAGGAATCAAATTATTGTTTTTCATTCCACTTCTTCTATTCCTTTTCTCCCTTTTTACCTGTCCTCCTCCGCCTTTTTTATCACTTATCGTCTCATCATTTTCTACTCAAACAGTCACTTTTTGTCTTGTTTCTCTCTATTTCTCTTCTTTATTTTTGCCTACAGTTTCCGCTCAGTTTACCCACTTTTCTGTTATCTGTTTCTATTTCTTTTCTCGCGCAACGAAAATCAATAATTAACAATTAACTGATTCTTTAAAGGATGAATGGATTACTACATATGCATGGTCCTGCTGTCAAGAAATTATTAGGTTGGAAAATTGGAGAAGATGAGGAGAAATGGTGTGAAAAGGCAGTTGAAGCGTTGGTGAAAAAGTTGAAAAAGAAGAATAATGGATGTGGTAAGTTTACAGTTTCAGATGATGTGAAATTGTTCAAATTACCGTAAAACTTTTTATCGTTTGACTGGTATATTATATAATTTGCAGGGAAAGAGATAAATGGTCTCCCTATCAGAGTGAAAAGTTTGGATGACACTCTATTAGAGTGTTTACGGCATCTTAATTTTTAGCAGATTACTAAGCCAAAACTAGACATTTCCATAGTTGACCAGTTTCATCAAAATTCCATCAGCTTGCTCTTAATTTCAGCAATTTCGGCATTTAATTGATTACAATGTGATATAACAAGTGAAGAAATTTCTATAAGAAAGCTTTTAGTAGAAAATTAACACTGTGTCTATTTCACTAGTGTTAAAAACTTTCCTATAAAAAAAAAATAGTTAGACCCATTTTTGTAAGATCCCAAAGTTTATATTTTTGCAACCGTCCAAACGTTTCTGAAACTTTGTCAGTTGTTGTATCTACTAATCCATATATCACAAAGTGATTTCATGATAAAACATGATGACAACTCCATCTCCAACAAATTCGAATTTCCAGGAACTCTAGAAGATCTTGAATGTGTTCTAGCGAATCCAACTCCCAATTCGAGATGTATAACAATACCAAAAAGTTTGGATGGTCGGTTACAGGTATGTCAACACATAAGGCGCCAAACTGGTATGATGGTTGCTTAATATCAACATCCTCTCTCATTCATATTTGTTCTCAATCAACCCATTTTTTGAATCCAAATTCGAATAACATTTCAGGTTTCACACAAAAAAGGACTCCCACATGTTATCTATTGTCGAGTTTGGCGGTGGCCGGACATCAATACCCAACATGTTAGTTTATTCGATTTTTCCTTTTTTTAAATGATTTTCTTTGCAGGAATTACGTTCCATTGAAACATGCTCTTACCCATATGAATCGAGTTCCAAAACGATGTATATTTGCATCAATCCATACCATTATCAAAGGTTTCTCAAAGTTTATCCATTCATTTTTCGAATCAATTATTTGCAGATTGACTATCCCAAAAGGTCTCAATTCCTCAATGCCATCACCACAGCCAGCTCCATCACCTTCGAACAGTTAGTTTAGAATGATAGAAATCAAAAAGTTCGTAGTTTTAAGCTATTTGGCAATCTGGAAGTTCAACAGCATCGTGTGCCAGCTCTCCAAGCCCTTCTGTATTTTCTGAAGATGGGGAATTGGTAAGATCCAAATCAAATTATTCTTTTTCATAATTGTGATATTTCAGCAAGCGCACCAGAGACCACCACCTTTCCGCCACCCCAAATCCTGGGCTCAAATCACATATTTTGAGTTGAATTCAAGAGTTGGAGAAGTTTTCAAAGTAAGAACTCTATTGGGATTTCTTCATTATTCAAACTATTTTTCAGCTGGTCAACCAAAGCATTACCGTCGACGGATATACAGATCCATCAAATTCAGACACCAGGTAATTTTAGAAAAGATGTATTCTGTAACTATTCTATCTTTTTTAAAGAATATGCCTTGGACAATTGACAAATGTAAACCGAAACACCACTGTTGAGAATACGAGGATGCATATAGGAAAAGGAATTCAACTAGATAACAAAGAGGGACAAATGCATATTATGATCACCAATAATTCGGATATGCCAGTTTTCGTTCAATCCAAAAATACGAATCTCATGATGAATATGCCATTGGGAAAAGTGAATCGGATACCGCCTCACAGTCAATTATGTGCATTTGAATTCAATTTGTTTTTTCAGGTAAGAGTTTGTAATGGTTATTTATTCATTTAAAGAACATGAAATATTACATATACAGTGGCGAACGTTAGTGAGTTAGTGAGTGTCCCTCTATACTTTTGTTCATAACTTTGCTCAAACTTGTCCAATTATTGAAAACTTTTTTGTTAAATGTAGCTGGGTTTTTAACAAAACGTTGTATAAGTTTTTTGAAACTCAATCAATTTTTGTGTCTTCTGAATCTTCACAGACGTGACGATGACTCCAGATGAAAAAACAATTTTCCGTCAGAATTTTTTAAAAGTTTGACTTTGTGATGTAAAATGTTTGGTGTAGATCAAATATATACAGAAAAAAATTTGAAGCGGTTTGGAACACTTGCTCGTGAGATGTGCTCACTGGAGCATAAAAGGTACGGTTCAGGAGTTTGGCTATAACTCGGCTCAAAATAATCCAAAATTGTTCAAATTTTGAGAGAATGTGTGTCTTTAACTGCGCTACAATATATTAGGTTGGCGGGAAAGTCTTTGTCACTTTTTCAATAGTTTATTTCTCAAAGAAAAAATAACCGAATAATTAATTATATTGTCCATCATTATCAACAACATGTCTCCAACGTTCCCTCAATTTATGGATTCCATTGCGGTAGAATCCAGCCGGGCGTGAGGCAAAGTATTGTTTGAGTGCCGCTTCGACCGCTCCACGGGAATTGAAGCTTCTTCTTCGAAGGCACGTGTCATATCGCCAAATAACCAATAGTCGGAAGGAGCAAGATCAGGAGAATACGGGGGGTGAGGGAGAACATTCCATCCATATCCCATCAGCTCCTGCTTCACTTGTTTCGAAACATGTGGGCGAGCGTTATCATGTTGCTAGTACACTTTCTTGTCTTTCAGGGCCGAACGGTCGACTGCTTTCTTGAGGTTTCGTAGTTGAGTAGTGTAGAGGTCTCCAGTTATTGTTTTGCCCTCGGGCAGAAGTTCCCAGTAGATGGGGCCGTCCACTCCCCACCACACAGAGAGCATAACTTTTTTCGGATGAAGGTCGGGTTTTGGGACATCCTGTGGGCTCTCTCCTTCTCCAACCCGCTGGGATTTCCTGTGGTGATTATCGTAGAAGACCCACTTCTCATCTCCGGTTATTAGCCGGTCCAGCCATCGATCGCCCGCGTGGAGAGTGAGAAGAGTAATCGAATCGTCGACTCGGCGGTCAAGGTTGGCTTGAGTCAGGTGATGAGGTATGAATCGACCAAAAAGTTTTCTCATTCCAAGAGACTTCAAACCTTCAAGGACTGTGCTATGGTGAACTCCGAATGTGACAGCTAGTTCACGGCTAGATTGAAATGGATCCGATTGCAATGCGTGCTTCAGCTTGTCCAAATCCAACTCACGGGGTCTCCCAGAGCGATCCTTTTCATCGAGCGAGAAGTCATCTTTTTCGAAACGATGGAACCAATTGCGAATAGTATTGTAGTGAGGGGCATGTGTGTTGTACACATTCTTCAAGAAAGTTTCCGAATCCTTCATCGTGGTGTGAGATAGGAAGAGGTAAATCAAAACATGTCTGATGTGAATAGCAGTGGGAACAAACATATCGTTTCAATTACAGATGAGGAGCAGGGAAGGAGATGGGGACTTGTTTATATGGAAGGTTCTTATCACCTTGTTATTCACTAGAGTCGATATCATACACAGCCTCCATATACGAGAACAGTGATTAAACAAACAGAGTGACAAAGACTTTCCCGCCAACCTAATACATACAAAACTTTGTACTTTGTGAACAAAATTTTTCATAATTTTTTTCATTTTTATGTACCGAAGATAAGCTATGCATTATGAAAAAAAAGTCGTTCCCAAAATACAAAGGTATGTATATACAGTGCGCGTCATAATGATAGAACCACCCCATTATTTGAGGTTTTCAGAAAAACTAAAAATTTTGGAGAAAAACCGCTAATGACATTCGATTCAGCGCCCTAAAAACCTACGGGTCTCCTGGATCAAGTGCCAGTCGCGTGTTTTAGGACTACAGTAATCAAAAGTCTCTCTGCACACCGCGTCATAATGATAGAACCAACCTGGAAAACGTAAAATCTCATGTTTATTTGAGAAAAAAATTGAGATTTTTTGTTGGAACTCGTTAAAATAGTCATGAAACAGTTTATTTGGACAGTCTGTACAAAAATTGATGTCTCTATTCAATTTTTAGAAAAAATTATTTTCAGACATTTCCGTCATTTTTTGGGTTTCCAGAATAAATCTTGAATAACTTTGCTCCTGGATAAAATTTTGAGCTGAAATTGATAAGAAATATTTGTTCAGTGGTCTGGAGGATCTACTAGTTGTTTTCATGCTATTCTGAGTCGTCGTTTGTAATTTAAGGAAAACCGAAATTTCGAAAACGAGCCTTGAATTTCGGTAGTTCTGATTTCCTTTTAAAAACTGAATTTGTCCAGTAAAAATTATTTTTCTGTACAAAATCATAACTTCGAAAACGATTTTGCTAACTTAGAACATCTTTTGTACGTTTTACACTTCTTTGTAAAATTTTCATTTTTTGACATTTTTTCAGTTCAAAGCTCAATCTCAATTATGAGCTACCAGAGCTCATGAATGCCTTGAACAATTGCAGAATGACTACAAGCATTCACAAGATATTTTCTATGAATTTCAGCTCAAAATTTTATCCAGGAGCAAAGTTATTAAAGATTTATTCTGGAAACCCAAAAAATGACGGAAATGTCTGAAAAAAAGACTGTCAAAATAGACTGTTTCATGACTATTTTAACGAGTTCCAACAAAAAATCTCAATTTTTTTCTCAAATAAACATGAGATTTTACGTTTTCCAGGTTGGTTCTATCATTATGACGCGGTGTGCAGAGAGACTTTTGGTTACTTTAGTCCTAAAACACGCGACTGGCACTTGATCCAGGAGACCCATAGGTTTTTTAGGGCGCTGAATCGACTGGCATTAGCGGTTTTTCTCCAAAATTTTTAGTTTTTCTGAAAACCTCAAAATATGGGTTGGTTCTATCATTATGACGCGCACTGTATGTTGTAGAGCAATTAAGGACACACATTCTCTCAAAATTCGAGCAGATTTGGATCATTTTGAGCCGAGTTATAGCCAAACTCCTGAACCATACCTTTTATGCTCCAGTGAGCACATCTCATGAGCAAGTGTTCCAAACCGCTTCAAATTTTTTCTGTATATATATATATTTGATCTACACCAAACATTTTACATCACAAAGCCATTCTTTAAAATAATTCTGACAGAAAATGTTTTTTTTCATCTGGAGTCATCGTCACATCTGTGAAGATTCAGAAGACACAAAAATTGATTCATTTTCAAAAAACTTATACAACGTTTTGTTGGAAACCCAGCTACATTTAACAAAAAAGTTTTCAATGATTGGACAAGTTTGAGCAAAGTTATGAACAAAAGTATAGAGGGACACTCACTAACGTTCGGCACTGTACATGAGGCTCAGAAAATGCCCCTCACGAGGAAGATCTGAATTAGGAAAAAAGGCAAGAGATGATTACAGATGCTTGAACAATCATGTAATGATAGAGAAGGATTGAATCAACTTTCGAAACATTGCTTTCTCAGGATTTCTTTTGTAAAGGTAAGTTTTAAAAATCGAGTTGAAGCCGGACTGAAATATTTTCAGGGATGGGGAGAGGATTATCCGCGTCAAGATGTGACTTCTACTCCTTGTTGGCTCGAACTTCGGTTGAATGTTCCATTGGCTGTAAGTCTTACGATTGATGTTTTTGTTTTCATAAAAAGTTTCACACATTGAAAATATACAATTTTTTCAATATTGAATATATTCATTCGGATTTTCGAAAAACAGGAAGTACTAGAAAAGTTATGCACCTAATTTCTTTGTTTAAAACCATAGTTTTTTTTATAAAATCGGTGCTTCAACTATGAATTTTTTTCAGTACATCGACCAAAAAATGAAACAAACTCCACGAGTGAATCTGGTGGAGCCGAACTCAGTGACATAATTTCTGTTTTTTATTTCTAGTTTTCCCTTCAATTTTCTTTTCAATCTAACGATGCTACTTGTAACGTCTCCGATATTTGCTGGTTATGCTCATCATCACTTTCTTCTTCTTCTTTTTTGAAATGTTTTACTTTTAATTTTACTTTTACAATAAATTCATATCCGCTTCTACTTTTCAAAGTTTCAAGGGTTATTGAAATTTTGGAGAATATTAACGAAAAACAGAAGTACAAAGAATACCGTAAAACCTGCAATAGAAGGGCCCCTTAACGCTTAAATTTATCAAATTCACGAATTAAAAAAATGAAAAAAAAATTAATATGAAGGAAATTAAAGAAATGTGACATCTACAGTACTGGTTGATAAGATGTGCAACAACATATGTCTCAGTTGATCTTCGGCCATTTTGACCATTTCCAGAAGTCTGGAGCTCGGCTGTCAAGTTTCGGATTATTTTGAAATTTTTGAAGGGCACGAAACAAACCGAGATTGAAAACTTTGCATTTTCAGAATTTTTAGAAAATCCCTAGTTTTTCAGCTATTTGCCAATTTCTCAAAGAAATCTGTTTTTTCTCGTTTTCATAACAAAACTGGGCCACTATGGAGTGTGTCTGTGAAAAAAAATTTTAGATTTAGGATTGTTTAACACCCTCCAAAATTTCAACGTCCTAGTCAAAAAATAAAACCTAGATAGTGTATCAACGCCGGACCAATGGCAGGCGGATGACAGATGTATGGGGTTTCTTTAAATTGTTTACAAAACTCCAATATTAAAAGTCTGCAATTTTTGCAGCAGTACCGAATTGATTCAACTTTTGATTGCAATCGAAAAATGATCTTTCGCCGAATGAGAAAAGGAACTTTTGGTCTAAATTTTCCAAAAAATTTCTCATTATCCATGAGAACACTGTATGTTTTTCTTGCATTTCTGCTATTATTTCTCACCCGCATTCTGGTATAAAAGTTCTAATGAATCTTTATAAAACTTCACATTTCTCATACTTTCCGAAATGCAGAAACTTCTTATTTCCGCATTCATTGTAGCCGTGGTGGCTGGTTAGTTTTTTCTTTATTTTACACCCAGGATGTTCACTTTTCAGGTCAATGTTCTCTAAAATGTCCCGATGGATATTTGTCATTCAAAAGGACACCAACTCCTCAAAATTCCATGACTAGTTTGTGGTGTGTCAAGGTTTGATGAATAAAAGGAAGTCAAAGAAATGAAAAAATCGATGTTTTCCAGACAATCTTCCCTGAATCCACCATCAATGTCACATCTGCAAAGGCTCTCTGTGCCCAAGAAAATTCAGTTTTGACTACTTTTGAAAACGATGACGAACGTCATCAATTATCTTCTGCTCTTTCTGCTGGACTCGCTGCTAAGAAAATGAGCCTCGGTCAAATGTTTGTCGATGGACACCGCCTTCCACAGTGTCAAACTCAGGATCGTACCATTTTGAGAGCCTCTCCATGTTTGGATCCAACAACTGGATTCACAACTGATGATAAGCATACAGATAACACTTTCATGTTCCAGAATTGGGCTGATACTGAACCGAGTGCATCTTTCTGGCAAACGTAGGGAGTTCTAGAACATTTCCATTGTGAATGATCTCTACAATTTCAGAGATGTCGAATCGTGCATTGCTCTAGGAATCTTTCAATTCGAAAAGCGTAACAAGAAACTGAATGATATTCAATGTGATTACGATAAATCACCGGCTAATGCCAAGGCTTTGGATATGTGGAATGTTGGTGTCGCATGCGGACGTCTTCCAGAATTTCAATAATTTTTAATCGTAATGGTGCCCTGTCACAATAAAATGTTTATCTTCTCATTCATTATAAAAATAGGTCCTATTTTATGAAAAGCAACCGAAAAGAGATACAGAGTGGTACCCAGTTACCCGGACTGATAAAAACGGGTTTTTCTGCAGACATAAGTGTTTTGAAAGCCCAAAAATCGAAAGAAGTGTAATTTCAATTATTGATTCAAGGCTACCGAAATTTTCAAACCGATTCTTCTAGATATTGTTATACTTGTCCAAAGATGAACACCGCAATTTTTCTTGCAAGCTGGTGTGATTTTCATGAGATGAAGCAACTTCGAAAGCGATATCTCACTATCAGCTAAAAGTTGATCAAATAATTTGAAACTTGGCCAGTTTACTGATGAATGTTTTTAATTTTCGCAGTCCAAATGTCGCTTTACTCAAATTTAATGCAAGTAAAAACTATAATTTCCTTTCGTTCAATTCTAAAGTATTCAGAAAATGCGAAAAGACCCTGAAAAACGCCGGGAACAGTTATCCGAGAGAATTACCTGGAATCAACTTTTATTCTAGTACAAACTTGAGTCCGGGTAACTATGAACCGCCCTGTAAAGCACATCAAAACTTGTTTTCCCCAACTTCACCTGCCTGTTCAACTGGAAATTGAAAATTGATATGAAACCGACATTGCACATGCATAAAATTTGCATCTAAACATTTTCCCTACACTCTCCTCTATTTCAACGCTATTTCTCTGTTTCTTCTCTCCCAAAGTGATTGGTTTATCACCAAATCACTTTCTTCCCACTCTGTTTCTCTCGTTTTCCCGACGGGAAGGTTTGATGCATGGGTACTTTTTTCCATGCGATTTTTGTTCTCTCTTTCTCTATAGTCTCTCCGATTTCTTTTCTATTTTCTCAATTTGTCAGACAAATGTAAAGGAACCACGAGGAAACAAAAACAAAGAACAAGTCAAAGATGTCTTCTCTTCTCCTGGTTTTGAATTTTTAATCGTTCTTTGCGAAACTATGCTGCCAAATACTTTTCTCAATTGTTGACTTATTTGTTTCTCTCCGTCTCACTTTTTTCTTTTTCTCTACTCAATTATTCTATCTACTTTTAACCAAGGATTTTACGAAATGTTTCGCAATAGAACTGTCCTTTTTGGAATAGTCTGTGTCTGTGACCTTGCAACTTCCGAATTTGCAAACTATAGGCGATTTGGGAATAATATGAAAAACGAGCGAATTTCTAGATGATTTCTTTGGTTGTTGTGAGCGAAAATCTTCTTCAAAAAGGATTCTCCACTATTTACAGTAGCCGAATTATATTTTCATGATTGAACTCAAAATCTAGTTATTGATAGGCTCCAAGTTTTTTTGTTTGATATATTTCCCTTTCAGATTTCTAGCTAGCTGGAAACTAAAAAATCTTAATTTAATAAAAAAATTGATAAACTAAAAAGTAATTCCATTAGAAAAATTGCCAAGACGGCGCCATTCTCCGGAAACAGTATCATCATTTTTCTAATGGTTGCAATATTATTAGTCATCTCTTTTTTCGGTTTAGCATGTGCAATACATGTGTTTTACAATTCTTGTTTCTGATGAATATTTTGATTCAATGTAGAATATTCTAGATACAATACACCAGTCGGTTTCCTTCCGCCTACTGTATCTTACGCTTGAATTTCTAATTTTAAAGATTATGAGTTTCTGAGAAGCTCAAAGTTTCTGAATATTTTAGCTTCCAAAATTCTGAGTTACTGAACTACTGGAATTTAAATTTTTGAAATCCATAATATTCGAGTTCCTGAATCTTGGAAGTTCCATTTTTACAGGGGTATCGAATTTTGGAAATTTCTAAATTCCGAAAGTCGAAATTTCAAGATTTCAAAATTTATTGATTTTGAAGTATTTTAATGTCTGACTTTCCTAACTTCTTGATAATAGGATGCCTGATTTTACAACTTTCGAAATTCTGAAATCCGGAATATTCGAACTCCCAAATTTCTGAATTTCTAAATATCCAAAATTTTAGAAAAATCGATTTTTAAAATTTCAGGAGATGTCGCTTCCCACATCAGAAGAATCGACATCTTCTTCATCTGGATACGAACAACGTGCTCTGTTTCCTGATATTCAAAGAGATGATATTCAAGTTGGAGATCATATTGGAGTAGGATCATTTGGAGCTGTTTTCAGTGGAACATGGACACTTCCAGATGCCAGTCAACGTATAATTGCCCTCAAAAAAGTATTCGTTCTGGAGAAAGAAGCAGAGATTCTCTCGAAAATTCGACACAAGAACATTATTCAGTTTTATGGAATTTGTAAAGCAACGGGAAATGATTATTTTATTGTGACTGAATATGCTGAAAGAGGAAGTTTATACGATTTCATACATTCCGAAGAATCTCATAATCTTGCAACGGCTTCGGGTTTGAATTGTTTCGATGTCGTTGTCAAATGGGCATCTCAGGTGGGAATGTTTTTGTGAGTTTTTGAAGTTCAGAAATAGAAGGAAGATCCGTGCACACTTCTCAACATTGTGAATTTTCAGATAGCTAATGGAATACAATATCTTCATTATGATGCAGTGGACACGATTATTCATAGAGATCTTAAATCAAAAAATGTGGTTCTGGATAAGAATTTGGTTTGCAAGATTTGTGATTTCGGAACTTCGAAGGATCTGACACATTCTTGCACGGCACCATCGTGGGGTGGAACTGCCGCATGGATGAGGTGATTATTTTTACAAATAGAATTTTTCGAAACGAGAATTTTGCAGCCCTGAAATGATTCTTCAATCCGAGGGACTGACAACTGCCACCGACGTATGGAGCTATGGAGTGGTTCTTTGGGAGATTTTATCAAGAGAAGTACCATACAAAGATTACTCGGAATTCAGAATATTCACTTTGATCACACAGTCTGGAATCACTCTTGCGATCCCTCCGACATGTCCGGCTCCACTGAAACAGTTTGTTTCTTTTTGAAGTGTTTCGGCTTTAGCTATTTTTTCAGACTAATGAATAATTGTTGGAAGATGACACCGAAGGATCGAGCAAATATGCGACAGATTCAAGGAGAACTCAATCGACTACAGGGAAATCAAAAAGTGATGGACGAGTGTGAGAAGTTTATGGAGCTGGAAGATTGGAAAACGGAAATTGCAAAGCAGGAGAAAAATGTAGAGGTATGTGATACCCTATCTCCATTTTCTACAGGGTTGCTAACAAGTACCCGGACTGATAAAAACGAGTATATCTGTAGACCTAAGTATCTTGGACGCACCAAAATTGGTATAAATATAATTTTACGTTTGATTCAAAGCTACTGAAAATTTCAAAGCGATTCCTCAAGTATTTTTGTGATTGTCCAAAGATGAACGGTATAATTTTTCTTGTGATATTCATGAGATGAAGCTAGTTTGAAAAGCGACAACTCAGCTCAATGTTGATCAAATAGGTTAAAACTTAATCAGTTTACTGATGACTTATTCGAATTTCTGCATTTCAAATTTGAGCCCAGTACAACGCTTCACTCAAATTTTGTGCTAGTACCAAATTGAGTCAATCATGCACCACCCTGTCCTTTCTCTAGTTTCTTTCCGTTTAATTCTAAAGTAAGAATATTCAGAAAATGCGAAAAGATCTAGAAAAACGTCGAGAACAGTTGGAAATCCGAGAGAAAGCATTGAAAAATCGAATGAAAGTGGAGCAAGCAGTTTTGGATTCGGCACGTCATCCGCCAGAAGACGTTCATCAATGGAGCGAGCATCACACTTCGCATTGGGTTGAGACTGTGCTTGCCCGAGTTGGTAGGATTCTTTGAAAAGCTTCGAATTTCCATCTAAAATTAGTTTATAGCTAACGACAAAAAGTTTCTGGATCGTGTGAATGCGGCGGTCTTCAGAAATAGAATCACTGGAGCACGGCTTCTGGAAATGACCCAAAATGATTTGGAACATTTGGGAGTTCAAAAAGTTGGATCAAGAATCGAACTGATGAAGATGATAAGAAAACTGAAGGATACTCAAAAAGTGTTGCATGCTTTTCCAACTCTTGAGCAAGCTAAACAAATTGAAATGAGCTTGGTGGGTTATAACACTTACTTAAGATACGGGAAATAAAAAAATAACATTGTAGAAGACCGAAAAAGAGTCGGCTGGTCACTTGGCAAATGGAGTGGATATTGTTATAATCGTTGGGATGTATGTCAGAAAAATGAGTCCGACTTTGAGAAAATTTAAATTCTACGCCGACTCGGACTGGATCGATGAGACTGATATTCCGGCAAAATCGAAATCCAAACATGCTTCAGCGCTCATCAAAACAGTCTGCTTTTCGGTTCTTGATGATAATACAAAGGTAGTTTTGAATGATGTTTCCATTTCTATTCTTCAAATTCGATTTCAGAAGCCGATTAATGAGCCAGCATGCTCAATTTCTAGTGGTATGACAACAAATCCAGATTGGATTACTGTAGACACTGAAGACGATATAAAAATCAAAGTTATTGTTAGCGTCTATTTTGCGGATACTGTGGTGAGAATCATTTCAATAATTTTTTCTCAAAGTTTATTTTTCAGACCCAACCACGGAATACTGAAATTGTGGAGTTGGTAACCTCTTTGGAAGAGAGTAAGATTTTAGAAGAACGACATGTTCATTTACGTCTTCGGAGAAGTTCAAGTAGTGCTTCTGTATCAACACCTTCTCCTTCTGTCGTTCCTCCTGTCTACCAGCCATTTGGTCATTTAACTAATGGATTCCATCATGTATCAGATTTTCTCTGAAAATCGCCTGAATATTTTTGTTACAGACTACAAGCTCACCTCAATTGCGTGGATTTTGGCATCGAAAACAAGCTGGAATGAATAGACACGGACTGACGGAGACAGAATTAAGCAGTCTTCAAGAGCATTTGAGAACACCTTCCCCGGATAAGAATGGGGATGAGAATGTAGTTCTCGCTGTTCCGAAAATTCCTAGGAGAAGAAGAACAACGACTACAAATTCGGAAGAGGTTGTTCTTCCTTGAATATTGTAGTTAAAATAAAAAATTAAATTTTCAGAAAGATCCGAAAGAGCCGGACCCTCGTACTCGTCGCGTTCATGTGCATGGAGGAAAGGATAAATGGAATTGGAAAAAAGGGAAATCAAAACCGAAATTTAATTAATCCAGAACTAACACAGTTCATTTGAACGGGTTGTTTACGATATCTAGACTTTCATATGAATTTTATAAGTTCAATATTTTCCAGTACTTGTTTGAAAAATAAATAATTTATTTTACACATGTTTCAAAAGCAAAGAGATCGAAAGCAGAATATGAAGATTTCAAAGAAGAGACAATTTATTTTCGAGGAGTTTAAGAGGCAGTTGAATAATTATGATAAAGTATATTTGGGAAAAAGAAAAGAAGTTAGACAGCTTGAAGCAATGAATTGTTTTTTGTGCTCACTCCTTGATACGAAAAAATTCCGAGGTGACGAGTGAAAGCCTAAAAACAAAATGATTTTCTATGTTAATCAGAATTTGGTTTACCTTTCTAATTGGTCGATTCAGCGCCAAAAGGACCAAGGCGCTGGAATTACAGAGAACATCGTTGACGACAAACCACATCGTACGGTAGACCCAGGCATCTGGAGGCGGAGTTAATGCGGAAAGAAGAGAACAAACTCCCAGTGCCAGATAGCAAATGAAAATTATGAATGCAGAAAGAGCAAGACGAAGAGCAAGTTCTCCTGGTTTACGGACAACTACATGGGTGTGTACTCTGAAAAGTTCTAGAGTTGGGAGATTCAGATGGACTTGTTAGAAGTTCAAGGTTTTCGAAATATAACAATTTTTCTGAGATATTCGAAAACACTTTCAGTTGACACGATATTTTTTCGAATTTCCAGATATCGGAAAGCAAGATTCCCGAATTTCCAGCTCTCAAAAAACTATAGCATTTCTGGATTCCCGGATATCAGGATGCCCGGCATTCCAAATTTCCGGAATTCCAGGTTTCCAGATTTTCGATTTTCAATATTCTCAATTTCCAAATATCAGATTTATGGATTTCTAGATTTCCGGATTTTTCAGTTTCCCAACTTTCTGAAATTCCACATTTTGGATTACCGAATTCCCAAATTTCTGAGCTTCTGGATTTCTGGGTTCTATCGGACAGAACTCTGATACATTAAAAGAATTAATGTTCTTGTACTTTCTTCTGATAACCAACCTGACAAAAATTGCTCCATACAATAACAGAACAATCGAGTTGATCAAAATTCCGTCGACAATGGCCATGGCAAGGAAATAGTTCTGAAAATTCAAGGAATTGGGTGCAAAGATCGGCGACATTATATTCGTATTTGTATACTAAAAATCGACCATCTGATAAATTTTCGATAAGACAAAGAAGAAGAAGAAATGAGCAGAAATTAAAATTCCCCAGTTTCCACATATTTCAGGTGCTTACCTTATGAAAACGGGCATCACTTGCAGCAAATATCACCGAACCAGAGTTTCGAGAAAACAGAAATTTGAAATCAGTGAAAAATAATGGGGCCATGAAGAAGATTGGAGTGATCCATTGGATGAGTAGAAGGGTTTTTGTAACCTAAAAACGTTTTTGGTTACTTTGAGCTTTTCGAAAACTAACCTTGGGAGTCCACCATTGTTGTCGATGTTTTATAGGATAATGAACCGCAGTGAATCTGTTGACAGCAATGAAAATGATACCAAATGCTTGTGCATGTCCTAGATACTGCATTCCAGCTATCGGAACAACTGACCAGTTCTCCTTGTAGAAAGTATCAGGAAACACTCCAAAAGATGGAAATTTGAAGAATAAAGTGGAGAATACTTCCATCAGAATATCGGCAATCGACAGATGAATGCATAATCGGAAGAATGGAGTGTTGTATGGTGGACGATTTCTGGAAAACAAAGAAGATTTGATGCAAACGAAACGTTTAAAGTTTACTATACCTTTCGATGATCAGAATGTAGACGAAAAGGATATTTATTGGCAGACAAACGAGTGAAATCGCGGTCGAAACATACTCGATGGTGATTGCCACGTCAAGAAACGCAATCGTCATCAGGCCTCTCGCTCAGGAAGAGGCTGCCAACGGCGTCTCGTCCAAAAGACGCTATTTTTGGTTCTGGAACTATTGAAAAAGAAATGGAAACATTGAAAAATAGGTGGAAAAATGAAGATATGAGGAAATGTTATTAATGTTTACTACTATCAAATGGTTAACAGGAAGTCAGAGACTCCCAGTTATGACGTACGGAGTTTACTGAAATTCAATTTGACTGAAAAAAGCAATCTACAGTAACGTCTTCGAGAATTTCACTAAACTGAACTGAATTTGCCCCGTTATAAACAATTGTTGTTTTCAAATTGATAAGGCATACAAATATAAACATAGTGCGGTTGAAATAAGCTGCGGCATTGTTCAGGTGCGAAAAATAGGAGCTATGGAAGAGAAAAGAAGGTGGCCGTGGCCGGAGGTTCCACAATGACAACTAACATAAGCTAAAAATATTTTCATTTTCCTGGTTTATTTTTTTGTTTTTTTATTAAATTTCGTCGATTAAATCGAGAAAATAACACTTAGAAAATAAAAATAAATACCGTCGGTCTCTGCCACCGGTGTTTCTCATCAACAGCTCTTATTCTTTTGTACCAGCATTATACTAGAAAGACTACTTTACAATATTAGTTCAAAATTGTTAAATTGCTCTGAAACTTTATAATTTCCAAAAATATGAGCTTCTACTTTGCAGATTTATTTTTTTTTCTTAAGTTTGACCCAAAAAAGTATTCAGAAATGAGTCATGCTACATTCAAGATCTTGATCAAATTTGGATGGATGTTTTTAGAAAAATTAATTGAAAATGGGTTATCTACAAAAATAAAAGAAGTCTAGTTTATTTTATATGCTTTGAAGGTTTCAAAACAATTTAACACAGCCCACCCTATACTTTTATTTGAGCTCAATTATCTCGGTTCCTATGCGAGATATCGAAATTATGGCAATTAATAAAATTTTGCTGATAATATGATTAACATTTTGCTTGTTGACATATTTTTAGTATCTCTTATATTAATCGAGATAATTAAGTCCAAGTGTAAGATGGACTTCTGTTAGAGCATTTACGGTAGCAATACCTGGTAACGTCTCGCATCTTAATTTTAAAAATTTTCAGAATATTGTGACTATTCGAAACCAACAACATTCGTGTTCTTCTTTTGGATTTTGTTATCAAACACATTTGTTTCGAGATCTACGTCACGCTTTAGTTTTTTGATATTTTATGGTCGTTAGTAACGACTCGATGCTGTAATTATTTTCACCGCGAACACGAATTTCACTGAATTTCAAAAGCTGAAAGCATGAATATACAAAGAGCTAGAGAAAAAGAAAAAAGTGACAAAACTAAAATCATCAGACTTTGAAACTTTGAAGTTTTATCAAATCGATGAAGAGAGCAAAATTTAACAATGTCACTACTGTTTATCACTTGTTCTTTCTCCTCTTTCTCTTCTTTTTTCTATCTGATAATGCATTTAAATACAACATGCGATAGCCATGCTTCACCCGGAAAAATCAAAAACGCTGTTTCGAAACCTTAAGAAATTCTGGAAATTCGCGGGTGCAAAAGTCCGCGAAAGTCGATAATAACTGATTGGAGGGGAAGAGAGACTGAAACGATGACGTAGTAGATTGAAAACCCGGAAAAACGTGAGTACATCAGAGAAAGAGAGAGAGAGAGAGAGAGAGACATAAAGAAACAAGAAGAAAACGAGACAGGAGACTGAAAATGATAATCGACAGTTTTTGTGATTATCAACACTCTCCTCCTGCCACACAATCATATTCAAAATCTATCAGAATAATGAACAGATAGAGTCAGACAGTGTGACAAACATTTTATGCAAAAAAAAAATCAACTGACACTCCTGTCGATTTCCTCGTTCGATGAAGTTCAACGACCAAAGAGAATAGAACCTGTGGGCAAATTTATCTCGATTCCTGTAGGAGATATCAAAAAGTTTTCAACTAAGAAATTTTTCCTGATATTACAATGAGCATTTTCTTAGTGGATTACTTTTTGATACCTCCCACAGAAACTGAGATAAATAGAGTCAAAGTGGAGAATGTAAGGGCGGCTACAATGAAGCGTTTATAGTTTGTGATGATTACTGTAGTTTGTTATCTTCATCAAAAACTATACAAAATCTTTCATGTAGAATGCGATGACAAAAAAGTAAAAAGTAAAATTGACTGGAAGTGATACTTTCAAAAGTTGAACAATAAGCTTTCCGATTTTTTAAAGATTTTCATCGCCTGTTCTTTCTTCTAAGTATGTCGAAAAAAAACCAAAGTGACAAGTTGAAGATGATAAGACGAGTGATGATAATGAAGCAAAGAAGATAAAAATCAACTTGACGATTTCCTTGAAACTTTTATTTGGTAAAGATCTGTAATGCAAAAGAACTGAAAGAAAAATTGAAAATGATAATGATTTATAAAAATAAAATTATCGAAACCAAGAATATTTGAATTGTCCCCGGAGTTCTAGATGTTTGTCGGTTTACAGAAATTCGGGAATTCCGAAGTTCAAAAGTTTAGAAATTCGAAAAATTTCGAATTCGGGTACTCGGAAATTCCGAATCACGAAAACTTCCAAATTCCAAAATTTGAAAATCAGGAATTGGAAGAATATCAATCACACAAATTTTTCAATTCTCAACTTGGACAATCCTGAAAAAAATTTAAAAAATCGAAAATTCAGAAGTTCGAAACTTCGAAATTCTGTAAACTTCAAAGTTTGAAAATTCAGTGAATACAATGTCGGAGTTTTATTTTTTTGAAATTCAGCAATTCGGAAGCTCGAAAAGTTCAAAGATTCAGAAATTACAAAATGTAGAAATTCCTAAATTAATGAATCAGAATCTCAGAAAATTAGTTTCTGGGAAACTCGAAAATTTCCAAATTTCGAATTTTAGAAATTTGAAAATTCCAAGTTCAGGTTTTCGGAATTTCAGAAACTTGGAAATTAAGAAGTTTGAAAATTCCTTAATTTTGTGAATTGCAATCTCATAATTTTGGTTTACGAGATTTTCAGAAATAGAGAAGTCCAGAAGTTGTTAAATCCTTCAAATTCAAGTTGTGTTATTTTAGTCTTTTTTGTTCATTTTAGTCTTTTTTTGTCCAAAATTAGGGATTTTCTAAAACTTTTGATCATAAATCTTGGAATAAATTTTGAAATGTTGGAATTGTTAAGCATCCCACCATCCTCTTATTGTGTGAGTCTCAAGTTTTTTGCATGAAAGAAAACAGAGAGATGATTATGATAATTAACTTTATACAATAAAAAAAATAACGGAAATCTGTAAAAAGCTCTTTCTAAAAGCTCCAAGAGCAACAAGAGAAATTCTAAAGAAATTGGTACAAAAGATGAGAGAGGCATACTGTAACGACACGTCATGAGTTTGGTGAGGGGGGTTTCGAGAAAGTAAAGGTGTGAATTATTAAAGCTCAGCTTGGAACAATGATTATGAGCTTAAAAATGAATTAAAGTTCCCGTGTTTCAAGAGAAAAAGAGAGCAAAAATGCAATTAAGGGAACCCGTTTTTTGGATGTGTTACAGATTTTGGAAAACTGAAAAAATAAGTTAGAATATGGGAACAAAGGGGAAGATGGGAACAAAAAAAAGAGCACCGAGTGAATTAAAAAAATCATGGGAATGGGAAATGGGATGGATGAAGCTGATATAACTGGGACTAGAAGAATAGCGTATTGTGTTGAGAACGTAATGGTTTATCCGGATTTTTGAAATTTCCACGAATGAACACTGGCAAGAAGACCTGATTGATGAGAAGGCTTCATTTGAATATCGTAACCAGAAACTGATCCTTTCGAAATGAGTTCTCTGAAAACGAAAAATTGAAAAACAATAAATTCAAAGTCTTTTTCTCTCACCTAGTTTCTCGATCACTCCATTGTCGCCATGTTTTCTCTCCAGATTCCGCCCTTTTTCGTTCTGCTCTCCAGACAGCAATCTTTTCGCGTGTTTTCAACTCGTCAACTATTCTTTTGATGATTTGTTGCTGAAAGCGAAATAACTATATCTATCTGACACCCAAAATTGAAACCAACCTTATTATCGGCAAAATGAACAACGATTTTAGATTTTCCGTTTCTCAATTCCACACTTTCTTTGTTTACAGCCATTGTGAAATGTGGGAACGAGGTTGAACTGAGCTCCAGTTTTGAGTTAGGTGATCTCCACAGATGACGAGTTGGCACTAAACCCCAAGAGGCAAAGTTCAACGATTTGACTCCATCAAACAGTTTGGTGATAACTTCTCGTTCTTCCGGCTTCAAATCTGGCAACGTTTCAATTTGAATTTCTTCTGTTGCTACATTTTCATTGAGAATAAGCAAGTTTGAAAATCCAACATCATCGATTGACCAGGAAGTTTCAGTGGATTTCACAGGAATATCAGAAGCGAGACTAGTTGGAAGTACAGTAGTCAGGTGAGTGAGTGGGCGGAGCTTGCGAGGGAAGGAAGATAGAAGACGATGAACAATTGGAGAAGAAGCAGGAAGACCAAGATGGGCAGACGGCAATAGATTGCTTGAAAGTCCAGCGAGTGAGAACCATGTGGAGAAGTCTGAAAACCATAAAGATAAGAAAAAAAAAATTGAAAACAACAACAAACCTTCTGGAATATTCTCAACCTTAAATGGCTGTCTATCAGTTTCCAAAGCCATCAAGTCTATAGAATTCGAACATTGATCATTCAAATCTAGTCGTACAATAGCATCGGGTGAAATTGACATATATCGTCCACTGTGCAGATCCAACGGGCGGCCGTTATTCAAAATGGAAACTGAAATCTCGGGAATCTCAACTCCACCAAGATATCCAATGGGCAAGAAAACTTGGGATGCAGATGTCGAAAGACTTGCTCCAAAAACGGATCGATCGACGATTTTGACAACATTCGAATCTCCAATAATCGCCCGAACTGTGGATGTTTCATCGGTGAGAAGTGCATAATGAGTTCCGTCATCTGACTTCATTACGAATGGAATCGAGTCGTCGTCATATAAAATCGTTGAAATTTTTCCGTTCTTCGAGAAATGAGAAACGAGACGAGGATGATCAACGTAACCATAGTAGAGATTAGTTGAATCTCGTCCGTTATCAATCCGAACGACTCTATCTTCTCTGTCATATACGATCTTGATTTTCATTTGAGTTGGTTTCAGAATCGTAGCCGACACCAATCTACCTTTTCCATCATATCCGAATGTTGTATCGTTTCCACGTCGAACTACCCAACCAATGGAGTCAACTTGATATGGTACCTCTTGGAACGTCTTCAATGCACCTCCCCGATTCCACTCTACAATTCGATCATTGATTTTCTCGACGCGTGCATCAGAATTATATTGAATTCGTGTTGATTCTTGATCTGTTTTCTCTACACTGGCAACTCTTCCGGCAGCATCGAAAGTTCTAGTAATTTTTTGAATTTGTTCAGAACCGGATGAAACGATTTCCAATAATGATTCGAAAGCTCTACCAGCCTTATCTCTTCCAATTTTCAGTGAAGCACGAGCACTTCCGAATATCAGTTTCCGCTCAACAACTTGATGATGTTCATCAGCTTTCGATGTTTCGTACATGATTCCATGTCCTTGGCATCTAGATGTAGTTGTGTCACGAGCCCAAGTCAATCCGTTGACGGATGCCACATGCCCTCGTCGATCGTCATATGTCAGTTGAATTGATTCTAACACTGATTGTTCGATTACTGGTTGGATTGTGGTCACACGAAGCATATCGTCATATTCATAAGTAAATGAAGATGATATGGATGGTTCAGAGGAGGTTGGAGTGATAATGGTTACAGTTCTTCTAGCCACAAGATGTCCTTGCAGTGTGACATTTTCGTGGAAGTCCGGACTTCTTGAGCACATCGGTTGACCTTCTGAAGACCAGCATGTTACAACCGTCGTTTCTTCGTCGTTCAAAATCTCAGTTGTTCTTCCTGTAGCCGAATCTCTTCTTTCCAGCCAATGGTGCATCTCATCTGGTGTTGTCGATTCTAGAACACGCCCATCTCGAGCAATTCTAACGAGTGAAGGCTTCGAGTTCAGTGATGTTCTTCTTTTCAAAACCCATTCGTCTCCACCTAGAGCGATTGCGGAGAATGTTGTACTTTCTTGCGATTTACTCAACACTTCCTTTATACGATCATAGTTATCGTATTGGATTGTCCACTTAGCTCCATCATGCTGAATTTCATTTGGTCTTCTCGATGCCCCAGCGTAACTCATTTTGATCGGAACTCTCGCTCCATCCACGGAATGTTCGGTCAGGCGATTAGAGTTGTCAAATGCAAAACGAATCTTCCAGGAGCCCCAAGTCACTTCTGATTTTCTTCCGGTGCTATCCCAGGTGACATTCATTTCAGCCATTTGTGAATCTTCCGGAGCAGAAATCCGTTTCACCTGTCCTGACGAAGTGTAGTCAATGAAAAGAAGTGATTGAGCATCTTCCGTAGTTGAACCAAGGCGCAGTGTATCACGATTCGATTTCACATCATAATCCATGGAGAACATATTCACTCCATTGATCTGAAAATAAATAGTTGAGAACATGATTTAAAAGTGGAAACCAGTCGATGGGTTAGTTCGGGTGAGAAGATGGTAGAACTTCACTACAAATCTAGTGAGTGTGTAATTTGAATCTTTCCTGTTAAGAAAATCGGAGAATCTATAACGTTAGACACACCACGCACATTAATTGACACACTTCTATTATCAAGTTATTACAGAAAAATCAGTAACTCTTCTCAACCGCGATACCAACCCTCGGCCGAAACCGGACCTCCGCCACTCGTCGTCTTCCGAGACTACTGTCCGAATCATCACCACGTCGTGCAACGTGCTTCCAATCCCATTGAGTAGTTAACGCTCTTCGTTGTGGATTACCAATAGCCGGAACAGTCGTTCTTCGACGAGATATCACGGGCTCACCACCTCCATCCGGTATCGTGGAACTTTTGACAAACAGTGAAGAGGTTCCATGAGGAGATGTCAAAGAATATCCTTCGTTTCGAAGAAGACTGATAAGAGTGGAAGCACCGTTTGTTCCATGAACAGCTAGATCTCCATCGCCCAGTCTTACTTGCTGGTAGCGGTGATTATTCAGTAGAACCTCAGTGTTCACTCGTCCCATGGATATCTGAAAATAAATGACAATTGGTAACACGATTTACAATAAACAATCTTACAAATTCCTCTCCCAAACTCCAGTGCTCTCCATCTCGTTTCAATCCATTTGCTCTACCGTACTGATCATATTCAAATCCAACGGCGGTGGCCACATCGATTCTGGAGAACAGCAGTCCTTTGACGTATGACAACTTAGTTGCATCTCTCGATGTCGCAGAATCTCGTTTTGAAACTTGTTCAAGAGTACCATCATATGTTGACATAGTACATGTAGTTCTTTCGCCAAGCGTTGTCTCCAAATCATAAACAGAATCGTTACGTTTCAAAACTCTCAGAACAACTCCAGATGCAGATCGAATTTCAGACATCATCGCAGTTGGAGAATCAACTTGATAACTGAAGTTGAAAAGGGTACGTCCAGTGATTAATGATACGGTAGATGTGTGTTGTCCATGACGATTGAAGGTGTACTTCTCCTGACGTTCTACATCCGGAACTTCGTATGATCTAGATCTTCCGTCATATTTGGCGAGACGAGCCGACACTTTTTTGATTTTGGAATTTCCAGTATCCGCAATGATGACGTCCCCAGATGGTGCCACGCAAACAGCGTAAGGAGAATTCAGATGAGCTTGAGAAGCAGGAACTTCACGAAGTGTAACTGAATCATCACATCCACAAGCAGCAACATCGCAGGAGCAAGGACTTTTCCCACCAATAAGAATAGAGAAAGTTGTCCTATCAGAACTCAGCTTTCGAACTTGATTAAGTCTTCTTCCATCTGATTCCACAACATAAATTGATCCATCTGAACCAACACTGATATCTCTTGCGTTTTGAATCAAATGACGTCTATGGTCAAGAGTGAAAGCAGCATGAGACGAAGCTGAAGCCATTGATGTTGCATTGGCAAGATCACAAGTGGTTGGGGATCCAAGAGCAATTGTGATAACGTCATGTTCAATGTCAATTTCGTAAACGACGTTTGTGTCCAGGACGAAAACAGAATCAGTGATTGGATCGATAGAAAGAGAAGTTGGCCATTCCATTTGGAGATCAACGAGCTTTGTGATTTGAGCGCATGTTCTGATGGGATGTTGGTCGGGTGTAGTTTCGCCGATCGATCTAATATGTCCTGTGGTGTCGACAACACGAATACGACGACTGTCTGCCACTAAAAATTGTTTAAATTGAAATAGTCAAACGTGGAAAATAATGAGTTGAACTTACGATATAGGTTTCCATTCTTATCGAAAGCAATTCCTTTGGGGAAAATAAGCTGAGCGTTTTGAGCAAGAGCTCCATCTCCACAGGAATCTACAGCTGACCCACAAACGGTTCCATCTCCAGCCAACACATCATAGTTGTTTCGAGAATCTTGTGGATCTACACTCGAAATCTTCCAAACTTGTTTGTGGAGTGGCAATGAAATTGCAATACTTCCATCAACCGGTGAGACGGCAATGTAGTAAGAATGAGAAGTGTCAGCCAATCCCAGGGTAAGAATCGTAGTCACCTGACCATCAGGGGAAACTCGTCGAATCAAATTGTGATCCCCAATGATGAGACTTCCATCATGTCCATGAACTACAGTAGACGGACGGAACAACGAAATCGATTCGATTCTACCGTCGCATTTGCTGCATTCTACATCTCGCTTGATTCCATCGATTCCAGCCAAAGTACTGACACGCGGCTCGCCTTCGCTGATTAGCCGGTAGCCACCATTTCCCATTTCCACGATATCTGAAATTGTGTGAATTGAGATCTCATGAACTACTTTCGAAAACTCACTGTTAACAATATCCAAATGATGATGAGCATCAATTGTCCACATTCCTCCAAGCATTTTTCTAGATGTTGCTCCCAACATATGAGACTTTCTTGTCTGCCAAACTCTTTCACTAGATCGCTCACATCCTTGATACTCGTATCCCACTTGAACAGTCACTGGTATCAGTCCAGATTCACTTTGACGGTAAGCGTTCTTCTTATCCCATGCGAAGACATGCGTGAGGTTGGTTCGTGGAGCCAAAGTGTGATCAAATCGACGTCCAGCGAATCGAATGTTCAAATGGATCTTCCGAAGCTCCTTATCAACTCGATCGTCTAACAAACCGATGAGCATTGTCGACGGAGCTGCTAGAGATCTTGCCGAGTCATAAACCAGTCGTACATCGGTTCCTTGGATTGGAAGTGACTCTACAATAGATCTAGAATCTACGACAAGTCTTGACGAATCAGTCGATTTTTCGGTTTCAACACCATCCGAAGTGTACTGCCAATTTGAAATAAGCACAACTTCCGGTAGTCTTCTTGTAGTTGGAGAGCACTTTGCTCTGGCTGGAGGCGTCGTAAGAACAGGAGCAAATGACCCAGATTGTCTGTGAAGAATAATGTCATCAATGTGAATGATTTGGCGAGGAGGAACGTAAACAGTTTTCTTAACAGATTGGAATTGTGTTCGTAGAAACTGAAGAGTGACACTCCGTGCACCATTGACTGTCAGATCAAAATAACCATCTTCTCGCGTCAAAGTGAAACCGTAAAGAGGGTGTGCTGAATCAGAAATGCGAACACCAACAAGAGAGACAGTAGACTTGTTAGCATGTGTCGAAAGATCTTCTGAATTTCCAGTAAAACCACTCCATGTAACACGTCCACGAATAACAGAGATGAGAGATTCACTGAACTGCGAAGCATCCGTATAGCTCTGAACTGATTTTTCCATTATTAGGAATCCAACTCTTTGTGCGAAATTAGCGTTGAATATTGGTGGCATCCGCATGAGAACTTCAGTTGGTGTGGCAGCAGTCGAGCAAACAGATTCCGAAGAGCATGATGGGGATGAGCAGCATTCTGGATCATCACAATCGATAAGGCCATCTGAATCATTGTCCAACCCATCATCACAGTGCATTTCGACGGGGACTGAACAATCGACTCCCGTAGACCCAGCTTGGCATCGACATGACCATTCTGATGATCGACGATCCATTACGCATTCTCCTTTGCCAGAACATTGGTTTGGACATCCATCTGCAAAAAAACACAATAATTTCGATTAGTCTCACTAATAACGCCAACCTAGGTAGCAATTGTCACCGTTCCAGCCAGCCGAGCATTGACATGTTCCATCAGATTTACACTTTCCATGATCTTCACATCCGACGGCACACTTTTTCTCTGTGCAATTGGCTCCTCTCCATCCTCTCCAACACTGACAAGATCCTTCGTCAAGACAGTCTCCATTCACACAGCTACACGATCTTTGAGAACAATCGAATGTATTCCATCCAGGTTCGCATTGACAAATTCCATCGACAAGAGTTCCATGTGAAGAACAAATGTGTTGTGATTGGGAAACTTGAACTGCTGGAGAAATGGTTGATGTTTGGAGCTCGCGGCTCTCCTTCTTCTTCTCTGTTGAAACAGTTGATTTTGTTGGGTTCTTACGGGTTCTGGTGGAGTCTTCGGAAGACTTCTTGACTGGAGACTGGGCTTGCGGAGGAGGAACAACAGCGTCGGCGAAAACTGAGCAATCATTGCCTCTCCATCCATCCATACAATAACAAGTTCCATTAACACATACACCTCTATCGTTGCACGAAGCATGAGGACAGGCACGGAGTTCACACGCTTCTCCAGTCCATCCAGGATTGCAACGGCACTTTCCATCGGTATCACATCGTCCTCTGCCATTACAGTCCGCCACCTCACACCAGTTGTGACGCATTTCACATTCCTTTCCTTTGAATCCAGATTTACATACACAGCTGCCACCCGAGAAGACTCCGTTTCCACTGCAGACCACTGGACAGACTGCTTCTTCGCATGCTCGACCGGTGTATCCAGGAGCACAATGACATTTTCCATTGACGCATTCACCACGCTGATTGCAATTTGCTTCGCACAGAAGAACAGATGCCAACGGGTGCTCTTTTGATCCAGAAACACCGGGAGATGTTTTGGGAGGTGTTGTTAGCCGTTGAATTTCTTCTGCTACAAACGAGATGGGTTCGACACGACTTCGCTCATTAATAAATGTCAGGTAGTGCCTTCCTTCCAACAAAAACTGCTCAAAAATGGCACTGCGAGGAGACAGGATTTCAACGCTTCGGTGACGTGAAGATCCAGACCCAATGCTTCGACGACTACGAGAACCAAACTCTTCAACGATATGGGTAGGGCCTTTGGGGTCGCGAATTCGATCAGAACGAATTGGAAAAAGAGCATCATGAAGACTGAGACTAGGATGCACTCCGGCTGACATCAAAAGAACAAGTTGAGCTCCTGATCCGACGGTGGCGTTGAATTGAATTCGTGATGGTTTGGAAATTGTAAGCTCCCTAAAATTATTATATGGTTACTAAAAGCGGTTTTCATGAACATACGTAGTTGCCATTGATTTGGGAAAGAATTCGACATCAACTCGTTCTCCAAGACTGATAGCAGGCGGAAGGGCTCGAAGCCCAAGATCCTGATATCGACTTACAGCTGCGGATGATGCTGACGACATAGAATCAGACGATGGAGCAGGTTGAGTGTACACATAATTCGGAGCACGGACTGAAAAGTAGGAGTAAAATTGCAAAAAAAAGAAAAAAAACTCGAACTTACAAAGTAAAATACAAATAATGAACAGGGCGACGAGAAGAGCAGCAACTAATAAAAGATTCCATTTTGAAGGCCATTTGGAACAACTGTTTCCTTCCTCATCAAACTTTTTCTTCTTTTTTGTCGCTGATATTGGTGGTCCACCGACTCCCGGGTCACCATTGTTCATAGTGCCCACTTGCTGCCTTCTAAAAACGAAGTTATTCTTAAAAGACGAAAATTTGAGATTGTTACCTTCTATTCTGATAAGTTCCTACTGGTGGAGGATATTTTAACAAGGTGGTAGAGGCATCCGAATATGTTGTGTTCGGTGCTCCAGAAGAATGAGGTCTGAAAAAAAAAGAAATAAGTAAAAGAGCAAGATGGGGACTTCTAAAGAAGGCATGAGTGGTTAAGGAAAGCACATGATGATCCCATTATGGTTATGTACAAGGGCATGAAAAGGGAATGTTCTGTTTGGGGGTGGGATGCGGGAGGAACCGGAATGGAGGAAGAGATTATAGATTAGAGTTATGTAATAGAATGAAACCTTCTGCTCCATCCGAAAATAGAATAAAATGAGGAAAACTGCTAGCACATGTGCAGATACGGAAATATTTTGATAGACAAGAATCTGGATCTCTATCTCTATCTTCTTTGGCCACTATAAACTTGACCGGGTAGCCAAGCGAATAGAGCAGGTGAGATAACAATCTGTCATCTCCAGATGACACTGTTCCCAACGACCGTATGCCAACAGACGATATGGTAACAGCCATGTTTGTCAAACATTTAGAGAGTTGTGTCACAGTTGCTGGGAAATAATTTCATAAACAATCTACAAAGCTCTTGAAAACGTTGTTCATGTATGTATATATGTGTGAATCTGATTAATTAGTCAAATTTGCTCATTTTCTCTGGTCGTCTTCTTCATAGTGCTTGACTTCGCGCAGTAGTCACATCGAAAAAAAAAGAGGAGGGATAATGTTCTTCTGCTTCCCCACCGTACATATTATTGTTACGTCATAAGCTGTGTCATTGGGAGAACAATGGAATATGAAGGATCATCATATGGTGATTGAAGCTAATTAATAAAAAAAAAAACAGCATCGAACGGGTTGACTAGTAGCTTTAGAACACGACAAAAATGGGATGTTGGGGATGGGAGAAGAAAAATGCCAATAGACGAAATGGGTTCAATTTGTGTACCCTTCTGCTTCTGCTGTCCGTCTTCCTTCTATTGCCACCATGAGGTCCAACGGTTGCGGTGGTGTAATAAAACTTTATGAGGAGAAGACGGCAATTTGTGCTGCGTTGGGAGCATCGGGGTCTTGTGTGGAAGCTCTAAACTTGGCAGCTCAACCTAATTTCATTTATTTTTCCTATAGGAGAATGAACTTTTTGCGTATATTGGTATCTTGAAACCTAAGGATCTCCTAAGAAGATCGAAAAGTATAGAAAAACGGGAATGGAGAAATGTTTCTTTTTGTAGTCGTCGTCGCCTTTCACATCCTTCTTGAGGAGCACATCCTTCTCGTTAGTACATCTCTTGCTCCCCCCATTTTCGGCAAGTTTTTTGACACTTTTCTATTGAATAGAGCGCATCCATACTGCTTGTTGAGTAAAGAACAAAGAATCGAAAAACTTTTGTTAAACTTTCCAAATTTCGAATTACGGTAGCTATGCCTCTCGGAATTAATTTTCCTCGATTTGTCTGCTGACCCAGCTAACTCTCTCTAAATTTTTTTTTATCATTTCTCCCTTTCAATTTTCAGAAAATGTTCCGATTTTCTCTGAAAACAATTTTCTTCGAAAATTTCAAGATTTTCCTTCTGACTCCCACGCTCCCACACTCCACAGCTTTTCTCGCATTAGAATAATTACATACGCTTTGACGCCTTCGGAGTCGAGCATGTATACAAGGAACAAATGTTATGATTTTCTTCTTCTTCTCCTCAGCGTCTTCAGAATACACAAGAGCACCTCGAAATGACGCTAATTGAGCAGCGTAAAGCACTGCAAATGTGTGACTGCCCCCGCACACACGGATTTCAATTAGAACACTTTGAAGGTTGTGTGTGTGGTCTTTGGAAAGAGTCAGCAGAGAAAAATGAAGAACATGAAGCTAGGATAACTTTTGAAAAGAGGAAGACTCTTTTGAATTGAAGAAGTGCCGCGTTTGACACAAAATTAATCTTCTGCGCTGAGCTCTCCGGAGGACGACGTTCCATGGGAGAGATGAAGAAAAGAAGGTTAACTAGTTTATTAGTCAAGTGCTGAACAATAGACAACTAATAAGAGTTTCCTACTGGGAGCTACCTTTGATAGGTGCATTTCTGATGCGCTCAATTAGTTTAGAAAACAGACAGTTCGGAACCCTAATCCGACCACAATTACCGCATAAAGTGCAATTACGTCGCGTGTTTTGGGAACCTAAAAACGGACAGGTGTTCCTAAATTAACCCTTAATTTCATCTCTCTTGGAAGGTATAACCCTATATATCCACCTCAAAAGTTGTGTTCAAATCCGAAAAACGACGACAAGAAGATCCACACGAGAAGTCAAAACGAGCGGAAAATAATGAATTATTCGTAAAGCTAGTTGGTAGTTGGATACGAAGATGAACTCTGAATTCAGTTTTGAGTATATAGTCTTGTTATTTGTTCAGAATAAAGAGCATATGGTCCGTTTCTCGATAATTCTTGCACACCGGAAAAACAATCAAAATCAAATATCGGAAATTAAGAATAACAGAGGGAATTGATACATTCTGACCTCCCCCTGGAATTCTTAAGAGTTACTACTGTACTTTGGGCTATTCTAGATATTAATTCATCATCATTTTCTTATTTTTTATTTTCCCATCCCATACTTTCTATATGTGTATTTCTCCTTTTTCTATGTGCCGAAGTCCGAGTTGAAAGAAACTCATTCGAATTCTCATCTGATGAATCATTGATGATTTTTCGCAGCCATAGCTGTCGCTGTTTTGCTCGGGGATCTCTTCAATGTTTCCGAGAAGAAAACTAAAGTCAGATGGCACCTGAGATCCGAGAAATGAGAGGAAGCAGTGCATTTTGAATGTGAATCTTATGGGGTAGACGATTTTCGGAATATTTAACACGAGTATTCCCATCAACATTTCTCGATTTTTCAAATTTCGAAGATTGCGGTAACTGGCTGGAAACTCTTAGATTGCTCTTTCTTCTGCTCCATTGAGCCGCCAAGATATCCAAAACGTGCCCAATCACCCTTAATAAACCTTTTCCGGCTCTCATGTCATGTTCTGTCCGTTGGAGTAGAGTTCCGGATCTCATGAGCTCGCAACTTTTTCTTTCTTTACTTCTTTTTCCCCAAGAGCCACCAAAAAGCTAATCTAGTTAAATGCACTTGAGAACAATTTCGTTTTTGAGAAGAAAGGAAAAAAAGGATTGAGAAGAAAGGAATGAATGGAAAAGAAACTCACTGGTCCAAACAGCGTTGTCCTGATGCGGGAGAAAGTGTTGATGATGTCGTTCTCACTGAAAAAAATAGGCATTAGAATGGAATTTTTATTCCTGGCAGTTTTTCAGCAAATGTGACTTTTCAGGTCTGACTACGAGGTTAACCTAATTGGGATCTTACTTTCATCATCTGACGTTGTCATGACGGATTCTCTAGGAGCCGGTGGCGGCGGCCCAATAGGAGTACTACAGTATGCATAATGTGGAGGTGATATCCGATATGTCATCGAATTTCGAAAGTGTCGTGATTGTCGACCAGCGTACAATGAAGTAGACGCATAGTAGATGGGCTCATCGTAATGAGACTCACTACACATCTTTGCAATCAACGGTTATCAAGATGAGTAAGTACTTGTAGATTCTTCATAGTATTCACGGTACTGGAATACCAATGAAACGGCGACCCAGCGTTTCGAAGCTCGCATAAAATGGGGGCGGAGTTTTCTCTCCGGGAGTGGACGTCAACACCGGCCTGGCGTCAACGAGATGTGAGGAAATATAAAAAGAACAACATTCCTAGAGGCGACCGAGTCAGAGATATATGAAGGGAAAAAGAAGACTACGCCTATTTTTTTTGCCAATGAAACATAGAAAAAAGAATACCGAGAAAGGAGAAGCAAGCCCCAACAAAACGCTTTTTGACGATGTGGACGACGGGTGGTAGGAGGAGTCGAGTAGTAATGAGAACCTAGACAAGTGGAAGACACACTTGAAAACGAAAAATGAGATCATGTTTTTGTTGTGTTTGAAAACAAAATAGAGAAAAGCGCATGCAAACTATACAATAATGTCTAGAAGGTATACATGTTACTGCACTCCCTCTAATAGTCTACTCAAACCTTCAGCTTTGAGCTCATTTATCTCGATTTCTGTGCAAGATATCAACAATGTGTCAACTGATAATATTTTTACCATAACATCACTAATATTTTATCAGTTGAAGGATTTTTGATATCTCTTATATGAACCGAGATGATTGATCTCAAAGTTTACGGTTTGGCAATTCGAATTTTTGTTCGCTTTTCAAATTTCTAAAACTGCTTCAGAATCTTCAAGCGAGAGTTTCTTTAAATCGTAGTTTCCCAGAACCGTCTAATCATTTTTCCCTCATCTCCTTATGCAAATTCCTGATACACTTTTTTTTGCGAAATACCCAACACAACACCTTATTTGATCTGCATTTCATTTCGTTTCAATTCAACTGCAAAATCGTTTTCTTTTTCCTTCTTCTTCTTCTTCTTTATGCTTCTATAGGTTTTGCGGGAAAAGGTTCGTGTCTTCTCGAGAGAGAGGTTAGAAAAAAATGGGTAAATTGGCGGATAGAAGGAAACCCAAATGCGATAATTATAAGGTGGTTGCATTACACGATGTCCTTCTGTATCCATGTGCGGGAAAAAAGAACGGACCCGGATAGATTGCCGGGGAGAAGAGGTGGCTTAGAGAGGGAAGAACAGGGTAAAAACCCGAGGACTACACGAATACAATTGCAATTACCAACTGGAGTGGTTGGCTTCTAGAATAATGGGTCAGAAACCTAGAGCAAAAATAGTGAATGTCGGTGTTGCCTAGGTGCTCTGCGCGAGTTCAAGTTCTCAATACACCTTGAGCACTCTAATAGAATGCCATCCAACCCGTTAACTTTGAGCTTATATATCTCGTTTCTCCTGAAAGATATCAAAAAGTGGTTAACTGACAAAATACTGCTGATATTATCATGAAAAATTTATCAGTTGACAACTTTTTATATCTTTCACAGGAACTGAGAAAAAATAACTCAAACTTGACTTATGGTATTTTCTGGTAAAACGAAATACCTCTCCAATCAAGAATTCTCTACTCAATGAACCCCATCATATCAGAATCACCTTCGTAAAAAAGCGGCCCGGAAGGGAGAGAGAGAGGACCTCTCTCTTCCCGCCAATCATTGACACATAAGGGTCAATCCCGAGTGTAAACAACAGAGGTCTGACAAATTGTGTGTCTCTCCCTATTCTCACCAATCTCTTCTCTCTTTCCACCGACAGATGTACTGGTACATGGAGTCAATCTTACAACTAAATACGGTAGGAGGCTCGTGGTCCGAGACAATGTTTGCATAGGAGGAGCAGTAGAAGCGGAAAGATTGTTTTGTATTGGCGGCATATGGATTGAGAGAAAAAAGATATTGTTGTATGAGATTGACCCAAAGAAAGTTAAGGACCTTGCATGTTGCGCAACATCGCCGACAGAAACGAATACTCTTGAAATATCAAAAAGAAACTTACGAGATCCACTTGGAATATAGTATGCTCCGTCGGCATTTTTGTGAAGCACACCTCCATCATGCATTCCACTTCCCCAACAGTCTGAAAGTGGCGGTGCCATTGGCTGCTGTTGATTTTGTTGCGAACGTCGCTGAAATGTTGATTATATTAGTTAGAAGATATGAAATCCAAAATATATACCTGTTGCGACATTGACATCTCATACGAATTGAAATTAGTCGGATGCGACTGAGGTGGTGGTGTTGTTTTGATGAGCAAGTGATTGGTGAACCCATCTGAAACCAATTTCTGTATTACACTTTTTTTCTATTCATTCGCAATTCCAATCTGCGATAATTTTCTATTGCATTGTTTTATGACACACAACCTCTCATGCTTTTATTCGCTTATTAAAAATGGCGGCATGGCGCCGAGAAAGAAGAGAAGATGCATGCGAACACTTGAATAATTGTTTTATGTGTCGGTGCTCACTTTTGAACTTCAACTCAACTAGTATAAGATGATACTGGTTGACACTTATGATTCATAAATATACGTTTTGTTGAAAAATCTAACCTCCTCGACTTCTGGCCAATTCTTCCGGATCCTCATAATCGTTTGTGTAATCGTGTTCATGAGATGGCATCATCATTCCGGCTGGAGGCCTTGGCATAGGACGATTTGGCGGAGGGCCTTGTGCATTCGTGGTCCTATAACAATGATTACCGAAGAATTAAAATTGTATTGCTCACCTGTGTTGGAACATTTGTGACTGTCCCGAAACGCACGGCTGCCCGCACTCTTCTGGATGTGGTAGCGGTTGTGTGGGTTCTGAAAGTTTTGAAAATTAATTATTTCTTGATCATGTATGTAAGGAGTCAAATAGTTTGCGCAGGTGTAACGAGATTCTGTCCTAACACTATTTGGTGGGGTGACGATGAACGAGGTGCTAATAGAGAAACAAGTAGAAGGTGTGGGATAACATGGAATGAGAAAAGGAAAGAAAGAGGAAATGAACGAGGTGACAACCTATACATGAAAAATAGAAATGAGAATATCTGCAGGGATCTTGACAGTGCTAAAATTGACTATTCCCAAATCTTGGGGCTCAAAAATGAAGGTAAAAATGTTATCCGAGTGGTAAGATGGAATAGTTATGCTCTTCTCCACTCAAGGGTCAATCAGTACAATTAGGTCACTTGCCATCTGTATCTGTGAAACTTAAACAACAATGGAGTCATCATCTACTGGAAACTTATAAAAAAGACATCTTCCTTCGCCATAGGCCTATAATTATGCGTTAAACTGCGCAAGAAAAGAGAAACAGATGAGAAGAATGCAAGCTTCTTATGAGAACATGGATCACAAAAAAAAAATCTAAAATCCTCTGCTGATGAGTTCTTCTTGATCGTAGCTAAAAGGTGTGACCGATTGACCGCGTCTCCTTTCTCCAGAATAGAAAAGGTGGGAGGTCCACTAGCCAAACAAACACAGCGGGAGAGGAAGAAGAAGACTGTCTGAACGAGAAAAGACACCTCCTCCACGCGCTCCAAATCACCGCGGCATGTTGAAGAAGATGACAATGGGAATGCTAATAGACACCGATTCATTGGCGGTAAGTTGTGAGTTTTGATAGAATGGAACAGGTGTCAAGTTTCGGGAAATAGGTTATACAGGATTAGGACCTAACCGTTAGGCTATCGCTTTCAAGATTTCGGCGTTGCCTCAATTTTTAGGTGTTTTGTTATCTTCATCTCGTTAATGAGATGTTCGGCTGTTAGACACAAGTTTTATGAGCTCAGAAACAATGAACAGCTGTTATGATATGACCGCTAGCTGTCTTTTTTCTTTCGGCACAACATCATCATCTGTTGAGTAGAAGAGCAGGTTGAGAGGGGAGAATTTATTCACAAGTGTTCTAACTTAGAACTTCTAAGTCTTTCGGGAAGATAAGTAGAAACTAGAAAGAGGAATCTAAATTAAGAATCAAGCAAATCAAGAATTAAGAATCAAACTTCGGACGTGACGAAGTTCTTTTTTAAAGATCAAATTTCAATTTCCGTCTTATTCAAAATTAAAGTCAAAACGAGATCTCAACCCACAAGAAAGAATAGAAAGAGCAAAGAAGAAGAATAGGATGAAAACGAAAATAGTGGTGGGAGGCGAGGTAATTCATTTGTCAAATACGCAGATTATGCGCAGTGCGAATCATCGGTCATCACTATCAACAGAAGCTGCAAGAAAGCGACATTTTGACCATTCCGAAAAAGCCCGAGAAAAAAGGAATAGTTTTTGAATAGGAGAAGTTTGAGAGAGAGGGTGAGAGAGAAAGGGCACCATCTGGGCAATTCCACGAGTGACACTACTCGCACTTTGGGCGCAGGAAAAACACTAAATAGAATAAAGCATTGGGCCCACCTGTCTGAATAGCATTTCGATGAATCGAACTATGCGCGTTCAGCCTCACGAGAATTTGTGAATACGCACGTTGTGAATATTCTTTCGATATATCTAGGGACTTTTGGTGCCTAACCTACATTCTGGCACAGTGATAGAAGGTGTCAAGACAAACACTTAGGACACATGTTGAGCAGCAAAAATAAAAACAAAGAACATCTTACCTTTACTCGTTTTGTACAATATAAACATCATTGGGTCATCAGAGTTATCGAGAGTACATAATAACAATAATAAAGAATGTCTTCTAAACTAAATGGGAGGAGCAAAGTGACCACATCTGGCGGATGCGTGAGCGGAAGATAAAAAGACGAGATACAATCGTAAAACAAAAACTTGATACTTCTGGGGTCATTGTAAATCAACGAATCCACGAATCCAGCGATGACCAACATGCTCGCTGGGAGAAAAGCCTGGATGAGCAAACAATGGTCCAGAGTATTAGTATAAGGAGATTTACAACTTGACGAAACCCATGCTTATAAAAGATAAAAAATTGATAACCAGTACATATACTCAAATAAAAAAATTGGAGTGGTAAAATGGACTGTCCTCTTCTTTTCTTCTTTGTATGTCATTCCGTTTTTTTTCCCAGAAGGGAAGTTTCCCGCAAGAAAAATCCGCCATACAAATTTGATCTACCGTAAAAATTTTGGGGTTGACAGGTCAAAAGAAAAATAAGAAGATCGCACTTGGGTTCAAGCGAGGGGTCAGAAAGCGCGCCCCAGTAAATTTTTCAAAAATTCTCAATTCGCTGCCGAACTTCGTTGTCTGAGTATCACAGTTTTAAACGATGAGCGAGAATACGCGCGTTGCAACCCGTTGATTTTTGAGAAATAGATCATGATCTAGTTCAAACCCGCGTTCATTTTGAAATTATTAAATTTATTCTGGCCTACGAGTTTGCTGGGGCGCTTTTTCTAACCCCCTCGCTTGAACCCAAGTGAGAAGAGATTCTAGAGACTCAAATTAGAGGAGCAAAACGACAACCTCGCGCCGTAGACGCACCAGCCAGCCGTTTGAAGCGTCGGAGGCGCGGCAAGGCTGGTTGTTTCAAAAAACCAAACCTGGACAAGACCGCAAAAAACTCCAAAAACGTTGGCGAGAAAAAATAAATTGGCAGGAAGCATATACGGAAGGGCGGCGGGTGCTTTAGAAAGTCCGAAAAGTTGCCGTTTTGGTAATATCATCATCTTATTCTCCCACTCCCAACAGGAGGAATATACTAGAGGAGAAAATTGGGGCCAACGGGGACGAGCAAGAAGAAGAAGAAGAAGAAGTGGACGAAGATTCAGCCTACTTTTTCGCACATATTTTAAACAATCAGATTTTTGAAATTCTTTTACTATGAATATGTAAATGGCTGGGAGAAAAAAGAACAACTATTTCTATTCTTTTTTTAGGGAATCGTTTAGGCTAATAAAAACAACACAGATATAAATAAAATCATCATGAAAAGACGCATGTGGCAACTGACCTGATGCAAGGCAATGCGGTAGCGATGGTCCTTGGAACGTTTAAAGGGTACCCTGTTGCGATAAGCAAACTTAGCGGGACCCGTGGAAAAGATATCAGGAGAGGCGAAGAAACGCAGAGACCAACACACACGATTGGGCCATCACCTCGTCTGCGAATGATTGCGTAACTTGACCATTCGAAGAGAGAGAAGAAATAGCGAGGGATGTGAAAATGAATAGGAACGTTTTTGAGCGACCAATAGCACAATTATCTCATAAACACAACGCAATTCCAAACATTTTTTGTGATTTATGGGATTGGGGTAATGGATAGTCAACCTAGTTGTTTTTTCTTTGAATCCGGAAGAATAAAATGAGGATATTACTATTGATTTTGAATACATTTGCCGCCAAGTTAATTTGTCTTGTTTCTTCACCAAAGTAGTATTAAAGACACCTGTTCAAATTGAATCAAGACTGTTGAAGGGAGGGTGTTGCGCCAAGAAAATCACCATCTGCCCCTCCGGGGTACTCTAGACGTCAACTTTCCCATTGAGTCATAACTTGGAACGTAGACAGAGGATACAGCTTTAACAAATGAATCACAGCACTATCGAAAAGTATGCAAGGTGGAGAAAAAACGAAGTAATATACTTGATAGTAGTATTTTCGTGCTGGTGGAAAAGAAACGTCGGTGGCCGTAGCCGAAGGTCCCCAACGACAACTACAGTAACCAGAAAATGTTTTTTTCGTATCTATTTTCTCGCTTTTCACTGATTTTCGTCTTCATAAAACTTTTATAGCAAAACAATTGACCGAAAGGGCACGAAAATCGAGACAATTAATTCGGAAAATAAATATATTTTTAGATTACTGTAGTTGTCGTTGTGGGACCTTCTCTTCCAGAGCTCCGATTTTTAAAAGATACCAGAATAATATTAAAGCATGTAGGTATCTCACAGAATAGGGGAATTCTCGTAATTTTGAATTCTGCCACCACCCCGAATTTTTCAATTTGCATCCGCGAAAAGAGGATAGCGTGCGAGGTTTCATAGCGAGGTTTCATGTTTGTTCATATCCTACTTTTATGACTTTTAAATTGAAAAGTAGTATCATCGGGGGTGCAAAACTGATGAATATATTTATGAATGAATAGAAGAGATAAAAATACGATCTTGAAACAAAATCTGGTGCACAATAAAGCGTTATTTCTAGAGGACAGCGGCATCGAGAACCAATCCGAAAGGTAGCTTTTGAACGACGCCGATAACGATGGCGTCGTCGGCTACTTCAGTGCCGACAGCGATGATTCGTTCGTAATTGGATACCGATGTACAACGGCATACAACTTGTACTACTACAACTACCAGACAGGCGGCAAGGATAGCAAAAACTACTGCATATCAGACTAAAGTCATTGAAAAATGTGGGACGTAGGGCATATACAGTAGGACACTTCTTTTTTGAAAATCCGTACAGGGAGCGGTGTGTGTGTGTGAGTTGACACGGAAACATAAATGAACGATGATAGAGAAAAAAGAAGACACTTTGGTCGTGTCAAACAGCCAAAAGGTGTTGGTGAGAGGGTGGTCTGTGAAATGGACCGTGAATGAATCACCGGAATAGCTTTATAGGAGTTTTTTTTTGAAAGGCTGAGGAATAGTGAAGTATGAAGAAGAATTTTGATCAGAGGGTTAGTTTTCTAGAACTTTCGTTCTATTAAAAAAGGTTATTGTAGTGTCATGATTACCTCTCCACCGATAGGCGATGCTTATAATTGGAAGGGATGGGCGAGGTGTTATGCCTTTTGACTGCTGGCTATGGGTTTGCTTTGTGAAAAGAGTCAAGGCCAAAGAGATTCCATTCGATTCAAAAGATCCGCACCGGGATGTGTTTATCCGCAACTGACAACACCAAAACAAACTTATTATTGAACCAGAGTAAGCTTTAACTATGATAGATATTTCAATGTTCTAATCGTGATATGCAAATGGCGCGGGAAAAAACCACCCAGTTAGGATACCATAAAACCTGTATTAAAGGGTTCAAATTAGAAAATTTCCGTAAGTTTTAAGTGTAAAATATTCCGGAAGAATTGACCGTATTATTCAAAGAAAATTTTCGGAAAAAGTGGCTGGAAAAAACTCTAATTGAAGGGCCCTCCGGGGGTACCTTGGAACAAAAGGGTCGGCCCTTCTAATAGAGGTTTACGGTACGAATTTTAGAAAAACATAATGAAAGGAACACCCTCTGGCATGTTCAGAACAGAGTTCGAAAATTCGAAATTTCCGACTGGAATATTTCAGAAGCTTTTTTTCGGAATTAGAGATTTTCGGATTACGTTATGTCGAAAGAGGATGCGACAAATTTGCTTGCGGGTCTCTGCGTTTTCAGAATCTTTTTGTCAATTTTTCACCAATTTTTGGAGTTTTGTCATGAGAAAATTAAAATTCAACTTCAAAATTCTTAAATTCCGTAATTTTTCTAAATCTGAATATTCGGAATTTTGAAAATCTGAATTTTCGAGATTCCGAAAATTCCCGAACAGGCCATCCCGAGCACCCCTGACTTTCTCAAAAAAAAAAGAAGCTAAAAAGTCGCTCCGGAAACAATAACAATGGAGGAACACCCGGCCATTAAAATGTGCGAACCAAGAATAATCGGAACGGCGGCATCTATTCAGAGAACACACCTGTAAACCGTAATTGGTCACACTTTTGTGGTTGTTTTTCTGTGTGTGTATGCATACAAACAGATGTGTCGAGAAATTGCCGCCGAAAAGGAAGGATTCAGTCGTAAAGCTGTTGGTTTCAAGGTTCTATTTAACTATGTGAAAAGTCGGGATAACTTACTTTTCGAAAAATAAAAATTCTTGAGCAATATTTCCCGACGCATCGCCCTGAACGAATAAGATGGACAACTATACATGAGCAGTATACGGGGTAGTAAAATAGAGAGAAAGGAGAAAATAGAAAAAAAAAAGAAAATGTTGAATGAGAAAAGAAAATTTTTTATTACAATTATGAACCCCCTCACCTTTATTTTTGTCTTTGGTTAATGTAGAAATTGGTTGCGTTGAAGACGTTGTTGGGGTGGCGGAAAGATCAAGTCTCGCAGCGGCAGCCAGAATTGGAGCAGCCTCCTTCCGGTGGTACGTTCCGACAGCTAATACAGGAACTTTCGATCCGCCGTTATCCATTCTGAACCTTTTCATTGTGACGATAGATCATACAAAATCTACCTAGAAATAGTTCCAGTATCCGTTGAAGACGTCTCTGCAGAATTGTCAGCAAGGTGAGTATTTTCTGCTTTTGCAGAAGACGTTGTCACTTCATTCGACGATGGATTGTTTAATGAGCACACCGTCAATTCTATGGGAGGCTCTGGCACTTTCGAAGTAACTGAAATAAGATTTTGAGACGTAAAAAAGGATTCAGTCGTTTTCAATTAGGTGACTCTACAAGTTGAAAAAAAAGAAGATACTATTCTGGATCAAGAGAGTGTTAGAGAAAATGAGAGGACACGGAAAAGAAGAATTGTTGGACACAACTGGTGAGCACAGGAACAGCTGCCTGTGCGGGGAGAAAGAAAAGTGGACGAATTGGCTTATAGATGAAGAAAAATGTGGATGAAGTTGTAACTTTTTTGATGATGACGTCATTGATAACTGTTTAATATTAGGTGATTAGCCCATGCTTTTTTTACCCATTCAAGCGAATATAGAATAGTCGAAAGTCATTTCTACTGAGCATATGGAAGCTACGATGACTAAATTATACATATCTAAATATCGTATGTCTATAAATAATTGGACCTCTCTCTCTCTCTCTCTCCTCATTCCAAATCTTCTCACATTTACCCTTCTTCTCCTCACCCATCTGTTGAATCTTTAGTAATAACTAGGAGCAATGATTTTCGGAGGCAACAGCTAGTAATACTAAAAAAGGCAGTAGTACCTAAAAATTTCTCTTTCCTGCGTTTTTCTCACGGAGGAAGCGATTATTACCATAATCGATGGACTTTCTCACAAGGGAAAACTTGAAATTGATGCGATATGGCATGAGAAAGAAAAATCGCCATAAATAAATGGATATTTTCCCATATGAAAAATTTCAGTTCTTTTTTATAAAAATAACAGAATAAATCAAGAAAAAGTATAGAGAAAAGGGAAAAGTTGTGAAACGATGTGCTCAAAGAGCCCTCGTGAAGCTCCGTCAGACTGATGAATCATCGATTCACTTGAAACAAAGAAGAAAATTAATTGATTCGAACTGAATCAAATGCGGACACTCAAAACGAAAGTGAGAAAAAAGTAGTTTTGATTGAGGCGGCACGATGTTCTTTCGGTTTTTTCTATGAATAGAATAGTAATATAGGGGTCGTAGGTTAGCAAACATTGATTTGAATATTTTTTCGTTCTTTTTGCTGCATTTTTTAAACAAGAAAATACATAGAAAGTAAAAATGATACTCAAGTGACAAAAGTGTGCAATTTTCATCAGATAAAACATTCCGAAATCATATAAAAATACTTGGCTAAACATCAATGTCCGAAATAGCAAAACACAATAGTCCTTGTTAGTACCGGAACTACAAACCCGCTTTCACAGAGTCAAGTAAAATATCATTGGATATTGAGAAACAAATAATACAACACATTTTCTTGAGTCAATCTTGACTTCTCTATACAATAATCTCGCTGAGCTCACACCAGGTGTCATGCATTTGCCACATCTACCGTAATCTTCAGATTGTTCCCCTCTTCAGAATCGCTCTGCGTCTCTCATACGAAGCGTTGCATCTCACACATCTTCATGAGTGCCATACAACAATAATTATTAGCCGGAAACCCCACCTCTAGGCTCGGTATGCTAATAGTATCATCTCTACAGGATGAAGCTATATTCGTGACTAGTCAAGTATGAAAAATTGAGAAAAAAACCCTTACCATCATCGTCCCGCCTGACCGTCTTGATACGAAATACCTTCCGCGCGACTAGATCCGGTGTAGCCGTTTTGAATAGTCGAGGTACATTCATAGGAGAATCCTGAAAACGATCATGTTCTAAAGAAGATGTTTTTTATAAAGTCTATCCAGTCACTGGTCCAGAAGCAGTAGTAACATCTGGACTAAGTTTTAAGACTTTGACTTTTCGAACTTTCGGTGTCAAAAATAGAAAAAGATAAGGTTTAAAGTTTCAAGGAAAACGACATTTCGTCGAAACCAAAACTGTTATCAATATCAGCCAAAGATAAATTTGGCGACTGAAAGAACAAGCGACATAAATTCTCCGAGGGAGAAACAAGAAGAAATAGAAGATGAGAACCTTTTCAATGTTTCCTGAAGAGTTCCCGCTGAGCCATTAGACATTGACAGCCGTGTGTCTTAAATGCGAGAGAGTGCAGAAGAGTAGGAGACGGAGAGATAAATGAAGAAGGTTGAACATATCAAAGTTGCACAAAGACGAGAGCAAGCATATCACTCAATTGTGGATCATTAAAGTGATAGAAATCACATCAAAATGAAAAATACAATGACAAAAATTGAAATATGGGATAGGGTCTTTTTTTGTTGTTGCGAAATTTGGGTCATCATTGGGCCATACTGGGCCTTTGGGCTATACTACTCGATTTGGTCTTCTGTTCCAGTTTGGAGTGCGTGAGATGGAGGACGTTGGAATCGATACCTTTCTGTAATCTGTTATAGAATTTTTCTGAATTTTGGTTATTCAATGAAAAACGTTTTCGATTCCTAGTGTATAGACTGAACTCCAATCTATAAAGGTGGTTCAAAAAGTTTCCCGAAACGATGAATAAAAAAACTCGAATCAGGTCAAAAAACAGAAAGGAGATCCAGGAGATGGATTTAAAATATTCCTGGGAACCGATTACAGAAACCTTCAGTTGCTATACTTTCACACTGTCAAGTTTGATATTAATTATCTCAATTTCTATGCAAGATATCAAAAAAAGTCAACTGACAAAATTTTTCTATGATAAACAATTTATCAGTTGACAACTTTTTTGAATCTTTGACAGGGACCGAGAAAAATTGGCTCAAGGTTAAAAATTAGGAGGCCCTTCTTTCACAGAGTTCTGAATTTCCTTGCTTCTTCCTTTTCATTTAGAGTACTCTCCAAACTCAACGCTCCAATTTTTATTTCCCTGTATTTCAGTCTTCGTACCCAAAACACTAAACTTCCTGTTCCATATCATTTAGATTCTGAAAAATATTGAGTTCAAAAACTAAATAAATCTGTTCCCCTCTTTTTCCTCTTCTCCTTCAGTAGAGCTCCGCCCACTTCTGGCGGCACTTCACGTGGTTATCAATCTCTTTTCAGTACTCGATTACTGATAAGAGCCGTAGGCTTTATATTTTCCTTTCTTTGTCAATCAGTCCTATCTCTCTTTTTTGTCTTCAATGGTCAATATTTTTCAATCCGTATTTAATTTTTTTTTTACTTTCTTTCTTCCATTGTTGCCTATTCTTTCTTTCTCTTTGTCTTCTTCTTTTCCTTATTTTCCTTCTTCCCTTGCTTCTTCTTTTTTATTGTAAAACTTGCACAATATTCAATTTCAATTTTTTTAGAATTCAAAATGTCAACCCTCCTTGCTCTATTCAGACGTCTTCTTTTCCGTCGTCGTGCAACCACTGACAAGGCTTCAGATGAGAGTGGAAAATCACAAAAGACAAGAACCAAATCTCTCAATATTCCAGCAACGAATAATTCAATTCGCGAAAAAACGAGGTAAGCTTTACAGATGATTCACCAAAACTTTTATCAAATTGCTTATTCTTAACTGAAAACAGAAATTTTTTCCTCTATTTCGAAATCACCATTAATAGAAATTAGGTAGAATGATGATGACGTGGGGTTAAGCCGAATGATGAGTTTTCGATTACTCAGTCAGCTTAATTTAGAATTCTAAATTAGGATTTTGTGATGTAATGTTGAGAATGTGTCTTTCCCTCTTATCAGCTCCACTACTCCGTCAGATGGAGAAGAAAGTACGAAAGAGCCAATTGAAAAACAATTCAAAAACCACCAAAAATCGCATTAAAACTGCAAGTACATATTTTGTTTTTGTGCCATTGATGCAAACAATTTGCAAACCGAAATGGTCATACTGGGTTACTGTAGTTTCTGATTTCAACTTTTGTATTTTGCCCTCTTATTAACTTTTGACTCTAAAATCCGTGTTGATGATAATTTTTAATAGTAGCTAGATTCCCTGATAACCGACTGCGAAGAAATGAAATATAAACTTTTTTCACCTCGAGACCATTTTTATACCTTTTGATAAGAATTAAATATTCTCTATTAACTTTTTACAACCGATCTTTGAATTGTGTCTCCATCTCCTCTCCGAACTACTCAAAACCCATATGAGTTTTTTTCAGAATTCAAGTGAAACGTGGATCGCAGGTTGTCATCCGAAACCGGAGTCAGAGTGTTACCGTCGAGAGGAAACACGTCAGCAGAAGCACTGATAATAAAGTGAGTTACGAACTTTCTGAGGAGAGACGATGAATCACCGAAAGTGATGATCTAGAACTACTGAATCAGCGGGAAAAAGTCATGGGGCTAGGCGTGGTACTTTGTGAGTACAAGAATTAGTGTTGAGTTTTGTGTGATATGATAACCAATAGTGATAAATGTTATGCAGTAAACAGAAATTTTGATTGAGCAAATAAGATGAATTTTGGACTCATAGAGACGCAGTGAAAGAGAGAAAAAAGAAGAGCAGCAGATTAACTGAGTAAAGTAGTTCTCAAAAATTCTCTCAAAACTACAGTAATCTTCATTTTTTGAAGATTTCGAATTTTCGAAGATTACTGTGGTTCTGGGAAAAATCGAACTTTTTTCAAAAATTGAAAATTTGAAGTTTCTCTCAAAACTACAGTAGTCTTTTTTTAAACATTCGAATTACCTTTCAAACCTACAGTAATTCTAATTTTTTAAAAGTTGTCTAGTTTCATCTCAAAACTACAGTAATCTTCTTTTTTTTTAATTTTCGAATTCCTCACAAAACTACAGTACCCTTCGTTTTTTAAGTATTTTATTGATTTTTTTCAAATTGTAAGAAGTTTTGAGAAGATTTAGAAAAGTTTTGAGGAACTACAGGTTCAGATATCTGTAATTTTTCTAATATTTTTTCAACAAATTCCATTTTCAGCACTCTCCATCCACCCGGCGTCAGTCTCATTTCACAATCCACAAATCTGGGAACAATCTACCAACAAGCCTTGCTCCAACTCTTACATCCAGCTACCGTATGAGATCTTCTTCTGCTTCGAAACCTACTATTATCTATATTCATTCCTAAGATCTTTAATTTTTTGTTTTTTAAACAGTTCAATTTATCATTAAAAATCGGTTGATCTCGCAACGGGTTTTTGATTGTTCTTCACTATCAGTTTGTACCAAATTCGTTTTGTTTTTTCTGAAATATTATGAAAGATTTCAAGATATTTCTCAGTTCAAAAAAACACACATCACTCGATCCCAATGTCAGAAATTTGATCACAAAAGGCCATCCAATGCCTCTGTTTACTCAATGAGCAAACAAAGGCACCTAAGAAAGTAGACCACTGCTCATTTTTTCGCTGTTCTCATTTCTATTTTCAAATGCTACCTTTCGGTTTTTTACTTCGTCGTATTCTTGGAGGAAGAAGACGTCGTCGGAATCAGAGTTATTCCAGTGATGTGACTTATCGTACTGTCTATGTTATGCCTGGAGCTCAACAACAAGCTAGTGGATTCAATGAACCTCCACCAGCTTATTATCCACAGGATCCATCTCAACAGACCGCGTTTTATCCACCACAGAAAGGATGCGGAAGGTAATTGCTTTCTAATCGCTTTGGAAGAAAATCAATTAGTTTCAGAAGACGTCGTTGTTGTCGATGAAAAAACCCACATAAAAAATTGAAGATGAAGATTTATTATGACACCATTTAAATTTCAGAATATGCGAAATAAAATCTGTATTTATTTATTGTTGTTTATATTGAAATATCTATTCTAACTAATTTTCGGCCGAATCAGAAAATCGAGAACGCAATTTGTGCCTCTGGTGTAACAACATCAGAGTAAAGCAAACATAATTCGAAGCCTCCTCCTCCTATTTTCATCCTATAAAACCTTTATTCCAAACTCATGTTTATTTCTATTCTAATATGGTTTTCATTATTGCTATCATCCGAAGAATTCTTCGCAAACGTCGTCGCACTCGTGAAGCTGAAATTCAACATGCTAATTATCCACCAGCGGTTTATGGAAATGCACCTCCACCTCCATCTCAAGAATATAGTCAAAGAAGGCGTAGACGCTGAGTGTTTTTTTCAAACTTGTCGGTTGGGCCGGCTGATAACTCGCTTAGAAATCGAAATTGTGTCCAAAACAACCTATCAGATGATAGAGCCCACTATCAGCGAGCTCTAAAACCTCCAAAACCTGGGCCCGGATCCTAATGCCGTTTCCGAAGCCAGTCGATTCTTTTTTGGATGTTGTAGAGCTCTCCGAGCCTTATCATCTGGTATGCTGTTTTGATCATAATTTCAATTTTTGGTTATCAGCCGGCTCGTGCTGGCCCAGAATCGGCCCGTCGACATGTGTGCCTTTTCAGTATATAAGGTTTTCAAGTAGTTTAGTTGCTTAACGGATTTCAACATTATTATATTCTTCATCCATTTTTGCTTTATGGATTGTTTTGGTCTTAATTCATTCCAAGTTATTTTTCAACTATATTTTCGACTAACAATAAATTCCAAGTAACAAAAACCTCGTTTTTCTTGCTAACCGTAAAACATGTATTAGAAAAGCTCCTCTAATAGAAAAGCTCTTCTGCTCCTCCACAACAGCCATCCAATAATCCAAAATATCAACCCAGTGCTCCGGCTCATGGTTCTTGAAATGTGAGTATTTGGGAGACTGCTGGATCTACCTGATCATGAATAAATCTTTATTACAAAATTCGTAACTACGTAAACACACACATAAAAGCAGCTGATACATTTTCTTTGAGCTTTTTTGTAGGAATTTTATAAATTTTTGTTGAAATTTCAGACATATCTATATCACAGGGGGTGTTGGGCTATTTGAATTGCTCCGTTTGGCAACTAAATTTTTGAAAAAATAGGAGAAGTTTTTGGGGCAGGGCGGGATTCATAAATGAGCAAGGTAAAGAGGTTGAGGGGTAGGAGAAAAATAATGCGAAATGAAGAAAGAGTTTTTGGGATAATATTCGAATAGTTTAGACTTTGCTCAGTTGCACACGATCGTTACTGTAGCAGGTTTGACAGTGGAGGCGTCCGTCACGGACACGAACATCGGCCCCGGTAGCTCCGGATCCTGGAATTTATTTATTTATTTTATTGATTTATAAGTTAGGATAAATACCAAGAGAAGTTTTGCAAACATAACATTTGAAGCAGGCGAGATGGTAGAAGAGATTGAGGCTTTCAACAATCATTGCAGCACCACGACCTGGAAACAGTTTTTATCATGTTTTTTAAAATTATTTGACCCCTACCGAGCTCTTCATTGCAGTGTGCACATCTATGTTTTCCACTAACAGCTACCACAGCATCCTGCGATTGGCTTTGCGATTGACTTTGCGAAGTTTGGCTCTGAGACTGGCTCTGAGATTGCATCTGCGTCTCTTCTCTTCTCATGTTATTTCTTGCCACTGGCACTGGATATGTTCTCTCCTCGACTCGACTGTACTCATCTCTTTCGTACTTTTCAGTGATAATTGGTGGTTCCACTGGAGGCATACTGTACTCTCGGTCTCTCAAATATTCACGTTCTCTCTCGCGTTCCTTCTCCATTCGGCGATTGATATAGGTTGGGAGATTGCTGAAAAATATGGATTCAACAAGGAGGATGCGTTTGAGATTTGTAATACCTGAGGGAAGCTGACGTTGTAGCAATTCCTCGTCGATCAACGGAATTTCCAGGAGCTGCCTGGCGTTGTTGGTTGATGACGTCACGCCAGTCACGAGATTCCTAAAACAGAAGGTTGAAACATGCGGTGGGTGGATATAGTGAATGAGGGAAAATGAACATAATTCGGGAGAAATCGCTAATCTATGTGCTGGAGTTTCTAAAAAACTAGAAGAAACAAACTGCATTTTTTATCACTGAAGAAAATAGATTTAAATACCGTAAAACCTGTAATAGATGGGTCCCTTAACTTTCAATTATAAGCCACTTTATCCCGGTTCCTGTAAAATATATATCAAAAAGTTGTCAACAGACAAATTATTCATCATAATATCACTAATATTTTCTCAGTTGACACATTGTTGATATCTTTCACAGAAATTGAGATAATTGAGCTCAAATATGACGGTTGGTGTGGGCTTCTATTAAAGGGGATAGAAATACGAGTTTTTTCTTTTTGAACTTTGAAGTTAGTATATCTAACAAGTGTACATTTCTAGCTCATTCACACAAAACAAAATGACAACTAATCCAGCACTTTTTCATAAATCTTGGTTGTCGTAGTCACTTTTGTATCCTCTTGCTGCTCCTCCCACTTGTACGTGTTCCTCACGAAATCCAAATCCCGAGGAGTCGATCTACTACCACCGTAGTCTCTCTGAATCTGAATATCATAGGTGCGCTCTCGCGGAGCCCGAACATGGTTCCCGGAACGATCGTAGAAACGATGTGAGACTCCACTGACATCGTCAAAGTCAACGTCATCAGGCACATCATCATATCTTGGAAGACGTGATGTTGGTTGTTGACTTCTGGATCTTTGAGGAAAAACGCCATAGGATCCGACGGTATGGAACTCGTCGGAATACCGTGGCTGTTGTTGGCGATGGCGTCTCATTGACGTGTAGCTCTCCTCTATTTCTTCGTCTTCCTCTTCAGAATATCTCTGATAAGATGTCTTTTGATTTGGAATCAGAGATTCAGTTGAATAGAATCTTCGTGGTGGTGGTGGTCGTGGTGATGGATCGGATTCCTGGTGATAGTAGTTGTGAGATGACTTTTTGAGAGCACTTCTTAATGGTGATGGATCTCGTGATGTCTGTAAGATTTTGGTGGTGACAGGGACGTTTGTAAGTTACAGAAACACAATGATACATTAAAAAAACATTCAGATAGAAGTAGTAGTGGTTAGTATTGAAAAAATCCATGTTAGTAGAGGGAAATCACAACTGTTTCATGCACCGATTTCTCCGTATTCAAACATTTGGTTTTTGTGTTTCTAAAATTCTGAACTCACCCATTATCTAAAACTTCTAAAAATATATTTTCTCTTATCATTAACATATCAACAGGACAGAGGGGAACAGGGGAAAATAAGGGTAAGGGAAAATAAAATGTTGAAAAAAGTTTAGAAGAACTTACCACCGGTAACTTTTCAACAACTTCTTCTCCATCAGAATACTCGTTTTTCCACTGTGTTGTACCCTGGAAACTTACAAAATAGAACATAAAACAATTTTCGGATTTGAGAATTCGAAATTAGGTCATTCAGAATTTTTCGCCATGTGAATTCTCGACCCGAAACAGGAGTATTTGTTTTTACGTGCAAGTTCTCTGCCGGCTATTTTAAAGAAGAAAAAGAAAAAGAAGGAGAAAGAGCGCACATCCTCCTTTTATTTCAACAAATAAACTATTTCTATGAACATGATCGGACAAAAAAAAAATCGAAAAAGAGGGCGAGAAACGGGGAGGCAAATTTTGGTAGTGGTGGCAGAAACGATGCAAAAAAAATAGTGAGGGAGAGTGTGGAATCACATTGTTTACACCAGTTTTTTTTCGCATTTTTTGCACTAGGTTTTTTATTCATGAGGCGATTATAAAGTAGTCCGCGTTTTGTTGGAATTTTTAGTAGGAAATATTCAAAAGATCAAAACAGTATTATACTGGTACAAAAAATCGGAGCAGGGTACCACAACGACAACTACAGTAACCTAAAAATGTTTTAATTCTCAGAATTTATTTTCTCCGTTTTCGTGCGATTTTATATTCCGATTTTTTCCTGGAGGGAAAAGTAACAAAAAAACTCTACGAAAAGCTGCGAAATACGAGAAAATAATAAAAAACTCTAGGTTTCGGTAGTTGTCTTCGGGGGACCTTCGACAACGACCAGGGGTGTTTCTCTTCCACAGCTCCGAAATATTTTACCATAATAATACTGAAAAAGATCAGAATTTACCGCTCCCACCTGATTCTCTGGATCTTTCTTTTCTTTCTCTTTACGCTTATTCCTTCCACAGCAGAAGAGCATTCTAGAAACTAATTTCAGAGAAGAAAATATATGAGAGTGTCCTCCCAAACTGTGAGAATAATAATTCTCGCTGCTTCGCTTCTTCTTCGTTTCCCAAACAACACAATAGAGACAATACGAAAAAAGGGGGAAGAAACGATATGAGTCAGGAAATATGATGGCAGACAAGAAAAAAAAAGGATCAGTGTACAGGTTGTACGATTTTTTTTTTGATATGGCTTTTGTTTTTATTATTATTTTAGTAACACCATTTTGTTTGACAAAAAAAACACTCACACTTCTTGGCAACGTGGATCGTTTTAGTGTAGTCGTTGTGGATTCTTCTTCAGAGCCACGGCGACCGTCAAAGTTCAGATTGGTTCGCTGGAAAACAAAATTTCAGGAATTGACTTATCAAAAAGAACTAAAACTAACAGCAATATTCTCATTGCTCAGATGATAGTTTCGAATGGTTCTTGGTTCTTCTTCTCTCTGAGTTTTTGAATAAATCTCTTCCGATTGTTCTCTTCTACTCAAACGACGATCGACTTCAGGGACGAAGTCAGTCAAACGACCAGGCGCATTCTTTTCTTGGTAACTCGTTACTCTGAAAACTTTTAAACGTTGAAAATAAATAATTAAAATTTTTGAATACCTGTAATCTCCATACTCGCTTCTTGCACTGCTTCTATTCGAATCAAAGTTGTCTTTGGCGGTACGGTAGCTCGACAGCGATGTGTCTCTTTTACGATCAAGTGATGACTGAGCAGTGGTTCCACGTGGCAAACTGTTGAAATCCCTAGAGGATCTTGTTGCTCCGGATGAATTGGAGTCACGAGAAGCTCGACTATGTTTCCTCTTGAATTCTGCATACGAGTCAAACGATTTGTTCTCAGTGAACACAGAGCGGGCTTTGTCGAAATTACTCGAGTTTGAAGATGAAGTTGACATTTGTTTTGTGAGCATTGGAGCTGGAGCAGCTGAAACAAGAACTACTTGAAACTTTTAAAAATTCTGCTTGATACTTACGAGCTCTCAAAATAAGAATATCGGCTTCTCCAACACGGGCAGCTTCGTGAAGAATTCTGGTCACTCCAGATTGATATTTATCTGACATATCTTCTCCGTTGATTGAGAGTATAGTGTCACCGACCTGAAAATATGATTTATTTCTAAAAATAAAAGTTAAATTATACTTACCAAAAGGCCGGCCTTATCAGCTGGTGACCCAACAATCACGCTCTCCACAATAACTCGATTTTCTCTTTTAAAAGTGCTGAATCCCATTCCTTTGTGCACTGGTTGGGATCCCATGACAACGTTCAAAGTGAACATTCCATCTTGTTTCGAAATTGAACTTGCACTGTATCTCCGTTGTCTTGGGTAATCATTGTTTTGTTTTGGATAGTAAGCTGCTGGAGATTCATCAAATGGAATATCAACAGCATGATAGATTCTGGTGGTTGAGGAAGATTTCATTGGTGGAGGAGCATGCGTTTGGGCTTGTGGTCGGTGGTGATCCTGGAAAATATTATTGCAGATATTATTAGGACTTTCAGAACTTCCTACCTCCATAATAAAATCACTTCTTGGATACTTGGTAGCTGTGACAGTTGCCTTCTGTTCTCTATTCAACTCCACCGTCAAGTCAATATTCTCAGTTCTCGATTCGAAATCATTGTTCTCTTGAGCAGCTCTTGATACGAAAGGTTTCACCCCTTCTCTTGGTGGTGGCTGTTTGAAAGTGGCCTCAACACGAGCATTTGTTACCGGCATGTATTGATTCTTTTCTAGTAAACGAGAGCTTTCCTGAAATTTCTTTCTTTCAGAAAAAAAAAACATTTGAAATACTAACCACGTAGCTTCTGGAGTTTGTCGTCAATTCCTCGTCTTTGTCACTTTCAGATGGGCACTGATCATAATAGGTGTCTTTTTCGAGGCTACGATAGATTGGAGCGTAGTCTTGACTGCGCGACAGTTTCAGAGGAATCAGTACTTGATCTAGCTTTTCTTCGACTGGAGGAGGTGGAGGTGGATGATGAGGGGGTTCTTCGTCGATGAGACTTTTTGGTGAGACGAATAGATCGGTACCTGAAAAATAGAAAATTGATGAGTCAGAAAATATATTGTTGTAGACAAGATTATATTTTTATCCTCTAATAAAAAGGCACCCTTTAATAAAACGGCACTCATTATTTCCGGTAATAGACTCGCACTCAAACTTATAAAGTTATGCTGAATTATCTAGATTCGTGTAAAAGATATCGAAAATTCGTTAACTGGTTGAATATTTATCATAATATCACCAATATTTCATCAGTTGAAACATGTTTGATATCTCTCACAGAAATCGAGATATTTGAACTCAAAGCTGAAGGTTTGGGTGGGTTACTGTATTAGAGGAAATATGGTATCTTGAGTCGGATCATTTTCTTCAAATAATTGCAAACGGGCAAAATATGGAGCTTGAACGGACCAAAAACGGATTGGCTTGTTGGGAACTTTTCCGTTCGATCCGTTACGGAGTCGGTACAATCCGCATGCGGTTTCTATTTCATACTTGCACGAAAGTGAAACATTCGTAACGGTTAGTTCGCAAACTACCTATGCCATTATTTAAAAAAAAACTCACTTCTCGGCGAGAATTCCGACGTTGATGGTGATCCAACTGTTCGATTGTCGATTCCAGAATCGTTATTTAATTCGTCACTGGAACTTTGCAATGGGGATACTGTAGATGCCGAGTGTTGACGCGGAAGAGCTGGTCGTGAAGCGGAATTCACTTCAAGAATTTCTTCTTTGGTCTGAAAATGGAATTTTGAATATGAAATTATTTGGGTTTGTTGTGAGTGTATTTACTGAGTCATGACCTAAATGGAAGTTATATGACTTCCTATCTTTTTTCGGTTAACAATACCCCTACACATAAGAATTCGAATCGAGACAATAAAATCTGAAAGTCTCAAAAAAGTTAACGTTTCAACAATATAACATATCGACATATACACACAAAAATCGTACAATACACTCTTATTCTTCTCAACTTCCCCGTTCCTTTTTCTTCCCTTTCCTGGAGGTTTTCTCTTCTACGGAAAGTGAATGGGCGGGGACTTCTTCTTCTTCTTCTTCTTCTTTTTCTTCTTCTTCTTTTGTATATTAGAAGATGATATGTATATTGTTACAAGACGTGGATGACTAACACCTGAGTTTGGGAACAAAAAGGGAACACAGAAAAAAACAGTGATGAAAGTTGTTGTTCCCAAAATGTGCTACTGGAGAAAAGGAAGAAGGAAACCCTCCTCGTTGTCAGTTTTTTCGAGTAGACATTGGTTACGATTTATGCATAAAAAAGTATAAAAACTGGATTAGTTACGGTTTTGGCGCAACAAAAAAATGTATTCAATGGTATCCGGGGGGAAGTATATGATTCAGAAAAAGGTATTAGAGAGTAGGAAAGAAAAGGTAATTAGAGGTAATAAAGTATGGAAAACGGGATGAGAACTGGAAAATAACATTTTTTTTTCTCAAAGAAAATAAAAAATTGCACGGTAAACTATTCAGAAATCAAATTCGTCTTACCACCAACATATCGTCCCATTTGACACTTTTATTCCTTGACTTCCTTTCCTCTTCATCAAACAATTCTACAAAATTGCTTGGAAGAGTTCCAGACGCCGTTCCAGAAGACGTCGGATATGATGATGTCATCATTTCAACATCAGCAGCTCTTCCACCACCTCTTCTAGTTGTGATCTCTACGTGTACGTATCCGCGTTGATCTCTCGTCAGACGTGGTACAGCTTCGTTTGGGAATAAACGACTCCATCTGGGCCACGCCCCCTCTTCTGAGCTCATGTAGTCGTCGTATCACGTGGAGTTTATATAGGGACCGGAAGTGACGAATTAACGGGAAAGGTGTGAAAAAGGGAACACGGTCAAAACAAGAGATTTGAGTATGGAGGACACGACACAGACTGTCTCCCACGAAATATTTCTATAATATTTTCGAGATGCAGTCAGAGAGAGAGAGTGAAACGTATGCGCCTTCCAAAAAAGATTACATCGAAAAAGTTGGCCGAATCGACTGGATGCATTGGTGTCGCGTATTACCAAATTCCGAATAGCTCGAAATAGTGTGAGATTCGAGGAGACGCAGACTCGAGACCGTTTATATCTACTACCATGTATCTCCCCGCTTTATATAGATGACAAAGCCCCCGGGGGTTTTCATAAATATATTGAAATGACAAACTTTTCGTTGTTTGTGAGAAGGGTTTGAATTCTTCTCTACAGATTCTGTATATTGGTGCTTAAGGGCAGGGATCCATATTTGAGTTTCAAAAAACATGTTACATTACTCTTCCACGTGTTTGATACATGAGTTGTACTTGATTGAGCATGTACTGTAACCTTTTTACAAATCTTGTTTGTTATTTATTTTTTTGAATAAATCAAGGTGCTGTACTATATTTTTGACAGTGATGTATACCAAACGAGCCGCTGAAGAGCAAGATCCGGTTATTTCTTATCAAATAGAATTTGTTTTTCCCTAGAGGACAACATAGGTAAACTTGTAATAGCTTTAGTACAACGGGAGTTGAAAAATGTAAACACTACGAACTACACAACTTCAAAAAATAAAAAGAGCTCCGACAAATTTTGAGCCTATTTATTTCTGTAAAAGATATTGGAAAGTAGTCATCTGATAAAATATTTGTGATATTATAATAAACTTTTTATCAGTTGACAACTTTTTGATATCGTTTCCAGGAAACGAGATAAATTGGCTCAAATCTGATCTGGGGTACAAAGTGATTTAGGTATACAAAATCTACAATTCAAGGGTACATTTTTGCACCCTCCAAATTATTTGCTATGTTTACGGTATCTTTCCCAAATTTAATGTTTTCAAAATCCTATTTCAAAAATAGAGATAGTTGAAAACTCGAGATTTAGCAGGATTATTTTTCAAAAATTCATTTAAACCCAAATTTGAAAAGTGCTCTTGAAAAGTTGTGAATGCCGTAAAACCTTTAGAAGGGTCCCCAGTCAACTATTAGTTGATTTTTCTCTGCTCCCAAGCAAGATATAGATAGTATTTTAACCGACAAAACAATTCTGGCATTATGACAAACAATTTGTTAGTTGACAACTTTTTTATATCTTTGACAGAAACCGAGATAAATTGACTCAAAGTCAAAAGTTAGGGATTTTTTCTATTACATGTGTTACATTACTTTATCTTCCCATAGAACACTTCAATAAGCTCGGTCCGAGTAACATAAGAAGCGATAGAAATGTGGTGAAAGCGAAAATAGGCTAATATAAATTTCAATTTGAAATAAACATACCACACCACCGCGAACCTTGATTCGTAAAACAGAAATCTCCTTTGGACTGAAAGGACAATTTGCATTTGCACAGAATTCCGGTGGAATCACACTCAATGGTTTCTCCACTGATACAGTTGGCATTTTTCAGATCGGTTGGGGAACGAAACGAACAAAACCACGAATAGGTTTTCTTGAGAAAGCAAGCTCGAGCTCCTAACTCTTTTTTTGTTCCTTTTACTTTTCATTTCATTTTTCTTTACTCCCCAACCAGTTATCGGTATTTCCGGTGAGATATTGTGCTTGATGAGGAGGGTTTAGACAACAAGACTTGTCAAACTTTTAGTTATTTTCGAGGTTAAAACAAACAAAACTACTATGAGGGAGAGACGCTTTGCGCAATGAGAGAATGAAGGAGCACGCAGGACAACATCAAATATGTGTGTACGAGATGGTGGTGGAGCAATTTTTAGAATTTTTGGTAATATGGGTTGTTGTCAACTACGAGTACTGTGAGCACAAAACATAGGGACTTCATTCATAATCAAAATATGTAGTAGATTCAGTTGTCATACTAGTTACTTTGACTACAGTACCCTCGAAAATCAACTATCCCAAATTTTCCATTTTTTAAAAGAAATATATATTTTCAGGGAAATTTTTCATAAAAGGAGGTAAAATAAAATTACCTTTCTCGGTTGGTAGGAAGCATATTCTTCTTGTCGTTTTGGTGTTACTACAGTATTCTCTGAAACCGCTCGATCTCCAAATTTCTCCTTTCTCTTCTTCCTCCATGTATCCAAATTAGCTCGCCAAGGCTCACTGTCATCGTCAAACTTTTGCTGAAACAAATTACATAAAAATTTCTGGTACCCCTTCCAACCCATTACCATTTGTCGCTGTCCTTGAAGCATCTTTTCTCTTTGTGCTTTTTGTTGTTGTGCCATTTGTAGTGTGTTTTTCGCAGATTCAGCCATTTCGTCGCCGCCTTTTGTGACGGCGACGAACTGGAACGGATCCGAGGATTTTTGTCCCGGTCCTCGTAGCATTTTTGCTCCGGGTCTGCAACGAAACCTTTGTGCACAAGTTTTCAAAAGATTTCGCTCCCGGGTGGGCTCGAACCACCAACCTTTCGGTTAACAGCCGAACGCGCTGCCTATTGCGCCACGGAAGCACGAAAGAGACAGGAAACATTTGCCTACATGAATGCGCCGTGAAAAGATAAAAGACGCAGCTACACCAATATATTGGTCATAGACAGGAAAAAAAGGGGAGCCTAGTCGAAGTTGAAAGAAAATGATGACCGCCATTCAAAACTATTATCAAGACAGTGAAAAAGTATTAGAAGGTGCGAAAAAGAAAAGGGAAATCTTCGTCTGTGTGGAAAGCATATGGTGTGAAGACGTCGGAAGTCAAAAACAGAAAAAAAAAGAGAAAAACAAGTGTATTTTTTCTGGTAATTGATGTTTCTTTCCAGCTTTCGCCTCTCCGTTGTCTTACCAATAGCTTATTTCAGAGACCAGAAATCCTTTTGGAAAAAGCGAGAGTTTGAAAAATATAGAAAATGGGTAAAAGGATTTCTGATGGTGTGTAACACTGTGTTTAAAATAGGTTACTGTAGAAGTCAAATGGGAAATTTGAACCGTTTGAAATCAACTTACAAATCAAACTACAAAAATCTATTTCTAGAGAGATTCAGATTATTTTTTCAGATCGGGAATCAAACCGAAATGGTCCACAATAAAGAAAAAACGTTGATCCAAAGAACCGTAAAAACAAAGTGGAGATTCGACGGAGTTGTTATATCCTCTCACTCTCTCTCACTCCTATATATCCGGTCATTCATTGGCGGCTCACCAATCGTTTTTCCATGCTCTCCCATTCATTTGTTTATCTTCTCTCGCCTCTCCTCTTCCCATGCTTTCCAAGATGGTCGAAACCAGACACTATGGAGTCTTGGTCAGTTAGTGAGGTCACTTTTGGAGTTTCGCCAAAAAGACGAACAGAATTTTTTGAGATGATTGGAAATACCAAAGGGCTGTAGCCATGGAGAAATTATTCATGAATCAAAATTGAGGTCAGCTGCTCAGAAACTCTAGAAACATGAAAAGTTGAGTTTAAAAAATTCTGCTTGATCAGAAATGGGACTGGGCATGGGACAAAAAACATCAAAATAGAACAATTTAGCCTAATGATTTAGGCCATTAGTTATTGGAAATCGGAAACAATTAAACCATCGTTTTACTATTTGACCCCAAATTAAACAAAACCACTCTACCTCTGTAATAACCCAAAGAGGGAAATCCTCGTCAGGTCTGATCGCCCTGGCGAGCCATCAGGCTAGTTTTTTAAATGGAGGGAGAGAGAGAGAGAAAAAAGAGGTGATATGCCTACAATAAGTGTGCTTAATCTCCACTTTTTCGCGCTTGCTTGATACATGAGTGGCTCGTGGTTCTTGGACTCCGCGCGCGTTTTTGGGCAAAATGCGTTCACTTTTCACGTTGCGCGGCATAATGGGCAACGACAAAAGGAAGAGTTTGCGACTAAAAAGAAGACAAAAAACAGTCAAGGATTGGTTTAGGATGATTCTGAATTGTTTAGTTCAGAATTAGTGTCTTTCAAAAGAAGATATGAAAATCCTGACAGTTGGATGCTATTAAATCGAAACTTATAAAAACTTTGTTTATCAGAATAACCTTCTGTGACTTCATAAAGTTAGATTATAATTTTACAAAATTTTGGCAGTTCTTTCATTTAAAAAAAACTTTCTCATCTAGCTAGGCTTACGTAAAGTGGGTTTGCTGGGACGGTTTCGCCCAATAAAATATCGTATGAGAAATTAAATTAAATCAGATGTCTACTTGAATTCGGCAACATATTCTACCCTAACTAGAGAAAAAAACTTAATTTACCTAATTTTCGCTAAGCGAAAGTTTTTCGAAGGAAGCGAAAGTTTTTCGAAGCGAAGTTTTTCTATGTGTGCCAATGATCATACCTCAATTACCCCTCAAAATGTGAGACTTACCCAAATTCGTCTTCCGGATAATCAGAACCAAGATTTGGTGGATATTTTGCCACCTGAAAAAAAGAATGTTTTAACAAGTCATAGAGCCGAGAAAACAAAACAGAACACATAATAAGTGATAAACGATGGACAGTATTAGATAGAAAGATAGAAGGACATTAGGACAAGAGATTCAAAATCGAATGCAAACTTGTTTTCTAGAATGAATCAAAAATTTCGAAAAGAGATGTTTCAAACTGAAGAAACTGAATAGAAGTTCTTACCTTTCTTCAATGACTCATTCTCGAAAAACGGAACACTTCTACATTTCATTTTATGTCAAAAATCTATCAAAATGCCAATCAAACACAACCACTAAAAATGTCCCGGTTATCAGTCAGTTTTTTTTGGTGACTGAGGGAGAGTATGTGAGTCCTTGAAATGTAAATACAGTCAAAAATGTGCCAGCGTTTTTTGAGGTCTTTTTATGGATACAGATAACACAGAAACACATTTTTGAAACATGAAATCATCGTGTGGCAGTTAAGAGCAATGATGATGAAAAATATTATGCTATATACAAAAATCGGAGATGTGCGAGAGAAAATCTGGTGGCCGAACTACCGTAGTTCACAAATTCATGTTTCCTCTAATTTTTTTCATTTTTATCCATTTTCAGGCAGTTTTTTAGATTTATAAAAAGTTATTTTCCGACTTGTTTGGAGGTTTCCAACACAAAAATTGTCAAAAAGCAAGACTAATCGAGAAAAACGGACCGAAAATTTTTGGTTACGATAATTTTCGTTACGGGGACCGTTGGCCACGCATCCAAGCTATTCTTTTCCACAGATCCGATTTTTCATGCAAGCATAATAGTTTAAAAAGACAAACAGTAACACATTACGGATACCTTCACTGCGTAATCATTTTCAATCATTTTTGCGAATCTGAAAAAATAGGAATTTTTGAGAAAAAAGAACGAATCGATACATCTTGTGATTGAAATTTAAAATCAGATGAGCTGAAACTCAAATAGAACGCAGCCAACAAAAATAGAAAAAAATAGGAAGAAGAGACTCTGAGTAAATAAAAAACTGAGTTTAACTTGTGAGAAAAAAAAAAATAAATTCAATGACTTCTCGAGTTTATACAAGTAACAAAAAATGGAGGAAAAAACACAGATTTTGTGGTGGAAGAATGGGGGAAATGGTGGTCAAAAGACAGAAAAGGGGATATAAAATTTTATGAAATTTCTAAATTTCTCTTGTGGATAATTTCGGAAGAAACCCCAAAACCAGAATTGTTGAATTCAAAATGAATTTGACACGATAATTTGATAATCAGAGAAATGAGAGTGAATGTGTCTCGTGTGGAGAGGAGAAAGTGACCAGATCTTCTCCGATTGAATATTCAAATTTCTTCGATTCTCGTCCCCTTTTTCTCTTTTCATCTCCATGGATGAAGTCGTAAAATTTATGTCTGCGTCTCTTCGTCTTCATTACTATCTCGTCATCCTACAGATTTTTGGATCAGTAATAAGAAAAATAATGTATGTCGGTCAAAGGATATATTATGGATCAGTTATCAGTTGGTGTTGATTTGGGGATAGTCGAAAAGCGGCAGAAAATGGGCGACCTGTGGAAATAAACATAAGAGAAGACGGTGGATCAGGAAAGGAAAATAATCTGGAATCTGGGAGTTTTATAGACAAATAACTATTTCTAATATCTTGCAAAACAGTGCAATTATAATAATTTTTTTACTACAAAACCTTCTAAAAAACTTGTAACCGTATGTTCAGTTCTATTTTCTGAAAAAAAAGAAAGAATTTCTGGAAAGATCACATTTCCGATCTTTTTTCTGCCAAAGCAATTATTTTCAGACTTGGGTTTTCTAGATTTTTTAAAAGGTATACAGTATTTCCTGACTCAGACGATTTTCCATTAATCAATTTTCCCTCCTACGATTAAACTTTGACCTCAATCGTTTAGATTTCTGCAATATATAAGTGTCAAGTTTGAACTCAATTATCTCTTCTTTTATAAGAGATATAAAAAATGTGTCAACTGATAAAATACTCCTGATTTTATGATACACAATTGATTAGTTAACGACTGTTTTGTATTTTTAACGAGAACGGAGATGAATAAATTAGCTCAAAGTTTGAAGTTAGAGACCCTTCTATGTATTACACAGGGTTTACATTACTAATCATTAAAGTCCTGGCTGTTTTGCTCCAATAACTGATTTTTGAGATTTTGGTCACCTATAATTGAGCTTACAATTAGCTCATCTACAGTAACAGGAAAGGGTCACAAATTTAGATGCACCTTGAAAATTGTAGGCACAGTCTCGGGGATCTCGCTTCCTGTCAGAGATATGAAAAAGCTGTTAATTCGGGGATCTAATTAATCTAAAACCTCGAATTTCAGTTATGGCAGGAAAAAAACAACTAAAAGCAGCTTATTACGGAAAAACTTAAGTCATCATTAATACACATAAATATTACGAGAAGATGTGAAAGAACGGATAAATGAAGGGTATTAAAATAGAGGAAGCATGAAAAATTTGCAGTAATGTTACACCGGGGATCAGAAACAGAAACAAGGTGGTGGAACGGTTGTCATCGATGTTTCTTACGTCCAATCCTTCTTTCTATTCTGTGGTTTTCTTCAAAATGACATGCATATGCTTTCGTTCCGAAACAACTAGGTATCCTTCTCTCTTACTCTTCTTCTTATTCTTTTCTTCAAGAAAACACATTATGCAAATGGCGACCAGGTCGGTGTTGATTGCCCGAAACAGGTGTCCTGCTGTGTATTGGGAGGAGGAAAAAGAGGGACTGCCGCAAAATCCATACAGTCATTTTGGCTGAATTACGAACCGCCAATTATTACCTTTCCATTTGCGCCAAGGAAGTCACCTATTTCGGATGGGAGGTCAAATGTTGAAGAACAGCTGTTTGACCAGATTCCGAATGATTTATTCTGCGTGACGAGTTACGTAGATTGAGTTGAATGGAGACAAGATAGGTGGGATTGGAAAATGTTGAAATCTGTGTTATGGTACCGAGAGTTGATTCCGAACGAAGGATTTGAACTAATCAAGAATCTGAAGCCTGATTCAAGAGACGAGATTCTAACATTTTTTAATTAAAAAAATGACCGTTTTTTGGAACCAACGAGGTTGCGCAACTTTTCGAAAACTTGTCATACATTCTTGTTTCAGCAAATCATACTTCAAAACATTTTCAGCAAGAACCCCTGTAGAATGATTCATATCATTTTGAGTTTATTCGAAGATTCCAGTTTCGACGTCTTCTGGAGTCTCGCCTGAAACTTTGCAAACCAAAATAACTCCCCACTGGTTTAAAAGTACCGTAACCACAAACCATTTTTAGTTTTAACTACAAATCATTTTTGGTTTTAACTATAATACATCAAACCTTGATATAGGAAAGGGGGTATTTCAAAATTTATTTAATCGTCGATTTTTTTTTTGAAAATCCAGAAAAGTCTGTGACAATTAGACAGATCTCATTACTTGAAGTATAAAAAGTGTACACTATGTTGAATTTTGATGAAAAAAGCAGAGATGTAGGAATCTCAATGGTTTTACATTCATTATGATTTTTTATTCATTTCTCATTAATTTATTCATGTTCACGTGAAAAATATTTATTTAGATCATCAAATATAAAAAAAAGAAGATATTTGAAAAACACAGAAAGGAAGGCACTTCTTTTCTGTGTAGAAAAGAATAGACACGTAAAAAGACAGAAAAAGAATCAACTTACTTTCTGTGCTTTTTCTGTGTGGGGGAAAATAATGAATTTGAGTGATGAGCTGAAGTGATGGCGGATTTGAAGATTGGCGACATCCACTGTGAGTACTTGATACGAACCTGTTACTGCTGGATTACTTTTCAAAATC